TCTCCAGCCTAGAGCAATGGTTCTCAACAAGTGGGTCATGACCCCTTTCACAGGAGATCACATAACAGTAGCAAACATACAGTTGTGACATGGCAACAAAACAATTTTAGGGTTGGGGTCATCACAATATGAAGGACTGTATTAAAGGGTCACGGCATCAGGAAGGTTGAGAATGACTGCTCTAGAGGATCATAAATCCTGCCTCTAGCGTTGCTGTGGGGACATTACACTTTACAAAGCATGCAAGAGTGACCCCAAAGCTTGACTCAGTTCTACTTCTATTACCCTTGATCTTCCTCCCTGCTGCCCAGGAAGGCACCTTCCTTTCATCCCTGAAGGCAATCTTTGTTCATGTGCACAACAGTTGCCCACACAGCACTTTCCTGCTCTTTGATCCCCACAGCAACTGCAGGAGGAAAGCGAGGAAGCCAGGCTCGTTCCCATTTTATAGATGAGGAAGTCTACAGACAGAAAGATTGAGTGCATGACCAAGGTCGCCCCATGGGGCTGGTTTTTCTGGAGGAAGGGATGAATTGTGGAAAATTATGCTTCAGATATATTTGAAATGGACAGACATCAAGGAGACCTGTAAATTAGAGTGTGAGTCCTGCTTGAAGTTGACTAGTAAAAGCATCCTACCTACCCATGGCTGCTGCCGGACTGGCTCTAGTTGATTGTTTTGTAAAATCAGATTCTGAACTTGGAAGAACATGAGCACCACCCAAGGGACTTAGGAATATCACCTAAGGACCTTCTGTAATTGCTGATGCCTAGCATATCCAGGCAGAATGCAGTTTAAAGAAGCCTGGATGGGGGGGGGAGGGCAATGCCTACCTAATAGAGGAGCAATAGAGAGCTGCTACAGTAAAGGGGAACCTCTGAGCAGAAGCCTCTGCCTTGTACCCCCAGGCCTGGTGCTATAATGGACCTTTTCTGGCTCCCACCCGCAAAGGCTGCAGCTCTAATTTGGATGACTGATCTCTACCAAGCCTGTTCCTCAGAGCATACACAGGTGGTTTTCTTTCATTCCCAGCAGGAATGAAAGTGGAAAAATACATGTTTTTTTCCCTGCCTGACCTTACTGAGGTGGGAGTTTTTCAGGGAGCCAAGAGCCCTTTACAGATCTGAGAGCCTGATGGTAAAGCAACCTTCCAGAAGTGAAGCATTCCCTTGGGATCCCATGACTGGGGGGATCAGTGATGTCACAAGTGCCTTGATGGTTTCTGCCACAATGCCTCAGGCACAGGGAACACTGGAAGAATTTTCTCCCCCATACCTGATAGCAAAGGATAAGGATGAGGTCTATGTCCCTCCAAGAGTCAATGGGAACAGGACAGAGGGCTGTAACTTTCCATGAGGACTGAGAGACTGAGACTTACTCAGTTCAAGGCACAGCTTCCCTTACAGCCCAGGGCAGTTGTACGGGGAGACTCCCCACCATCAAGTTGAAAATGGCAGCTCAAGAGTTATATAGATAATCTCAGGCTACAGAGTCTGGAAGAATTTGAAGGATTGTCTATGTGAGCAGCCAATCGCAGCTACTCATTATTGTGCCTCTGCCATCTGTCATATACACTTTTAAAAGTGTATTTATTTAGGGGCAGACAGATGGCTCAGTGGATAAGGGCAATGGCTGTTTTTCCAAAGGACCTTGGTTTTATTCCTAGTACCCACATGGTGGTTCCCAACTATCTGTCATTCCAGTTCCAGGGCATCTGATGCCTTCTCCTGGCCCCTGTGGGTAACAGGCATTCATGTGGAGGCAGGCATACACAGGCAAAACACCCATACATAAAATAAAAATAAACACCAAAACATTTAAATTTGTTTTGGTCCCTTGACAATTTCATATATGTTCATATGTATTTTGGTCATTTTCATCCCATTACTCTTTCTCATTCTCCTCTTGTGCCCACTAAACCCCATTTTACCAACAACCGTCTTTCTGCTTTTATGTCTGTTTTGATTTTGTGACCCATTGACTTAGAGATTTTTGATGAGCTATTTAAAAGAGCATGGATGGGCACCTTACCGATGTCTATACTACAGAAGAAAATCACTCACCTTCCCAGGTAACCTTTAACCATTAACCAATGTCTCTTTGGGGAGGAGTGAAGCCTCAAGTGCCCCTACCCTTTTAAAACTTATTACTGCTATACAAGACATATATCACCATGCCCATCTTATAGATAAGGAAACTGAGGCATGGGGTGGGTGACGAGACTAACCCTGTCTGAAATCAAAAGCCTCTGCTTGGGCCTCCATTCCAGGCAGCTTGTTTTTGTTTAGCTATCTGCAGCTAGTCTCCCAAGGGATAGCCTGTGTCCTTGTTCTGGTCTTGGTTTGGGGAAGGTCTGTTCTCCTGATACCCAGCCCTGCAGATACTGAGGAGTGGTCTCCTAAACCCTTCCCCTCCTTTACCTCAGTCTTTCCTCTGTGGTTATATAATGTCTGTCTAACTGTGTTTCGTGGTTCGCTGTCTGTTCTAGACGCTTCTCCCTCCTTTCTCACCTCATCCAAAGGCAGTATTTTTACTTCCAGGTCTCCCATCCACCCTGCAAAGTGTCAATCTCTAGTGATACATCTCCTATTTCACCCAGATGGCCTACTGCAGATCATGGATTGGTTGGCAAAAAGGCAGCATCAGACAAAACCAGCCTGCTCTCTTGTTTTTTTTTTTTTTTTGTTTGTTTGTTTGTTTGTTTGTTTTTTTTTTTTTTTTTTTTTTTTTTTTTTTTGTGTGTAACGTATGAGCTCAAAGTCACTTCTACATCTTGGGGAAGTATATCTGTGACCAGAAAGTTCAACGTTGCTTTTGAAAAGACCAGTTTCTCTACCATGTTGTCTCTGTTTCTTTGTCAAGGCTTTGGGTGTCTGTATTTTTTCTGGGCCTCTCTGACCTCCATTCTGTCCCATGGATCTGTCTATTCTTTTGTTTTGGTAGTACTACACTGTCTCGATTACTGTACTCTACAGTAAGTTTTGATAGTGGGTTGTAGTGGTCCTCGGTGTTGTCTTAGCTATTTGTCTCTCCATTGAAACCTTAGAATCAGTTGGCTGATATCCACAGAGGTTTTATATGGCCCTAAAGACTAAAATGCAGAACAGTATCTTATGGCAGGGGTGAAAACTATGTAGGATATAAACTGTAACTTCTGCAGTTAACGTGTACATACTGCTTGTGGCCTCTTTCAAAACATTGGAGTCATGAAGAGAAAGAAATGGTCATGTCAGAAAAGAGACTTTAGGGTCTACAGAAGCTAAAATATGGACTATTGGTCTCTACAGAAAGCATTTGTAAGACCTAGTCTTGAGCATGTGGTTTATACCCATTTTGTTGCTTCTGAACATGACCTATGTAGCTAAGTGAGCTAGGCTATCTGTTTTGAGTCTCTCTGTCACCAGTTGCTAACTATGTGAATTTTACTGTAAGTTGAGATTTCTGGATCGCACTTTACTGCTTATAAGGTGAGATTGTGGCATTTATCTCATAGAATTGTCATAAGGATTAAAGCAATTATGTAAGTGCTCTAACCTCGGCATATAGAAGCCATATGAAGGCAGTGGCTGCCATTTACATTTATATTGCTATTCTGGCCTAGGAAGAACATTTCCTGAATGGTCACAACTCTCTGCCCTGATAACTCATCTCTCCACTACTGTAGTGACAGCATCTTAAAAATCATCTCTTCAAGGTTGGCCAAGGATAGCCTGGTGTGTGTGGCTTTGAAGTCTACCTCCTTTCCCTCTGTGGTCCACTCCTTACTTGTGCTCCATCTGCAGACCCTGTGTCCTAGCTTTTTCCAGCTCTCTATGCTTGTCTGCACCTCACTGATTTCCCATCCTGGGGGCCTTTTCTGCTCAGAAAACTGACTTCTGGAAATTTCCAAAGAGTCAGTAAGATCTGGAGGTGGGTCCTGGCCATTGCTTGTGGAAACTAGTATCTTTTCCCTGGGTGGGTAGGAACTGGAAATGTACTGTTTCCCCTTCATGTGACTTCAGATAAATTATTTTTGCTGCAGATGAAGGCTAGGGTGGGGAATTAGTCAAGCTCCACCTCCTGGGGTAGGCTTGCCTTTCACACTGTCTGCTGCTCATTAGGGGCACTTCCCTGGGACACTGTACAGAAAGCCGGGAGGACAAACATCAGAGGAAGCAAAGGGTGTAAATCCAGGCTCAAGTACCAGGCTAGAAATGTCCTGTGGTGCTCTTGAGACAGATATCAAGATTATGTTACAATCGGATAGATTTGCAGAGGGTAACATAATGGCATGTGACTTTAATGTCAGCACTTAGGAGGCAGAGGCAGGCAGATCTCTGTGAGTTGGAGGCCAGCCAGGCCAACTGGAGCTATATAGCCAGAAGTATGCTGGGATGAGGAGTATGTCTCTGTGTCTCCCTGCCTATGTTGTCTCTTCCTTTGCCTCAATTCTGAAAGACCCCTTAAGAATTGACAGTAGTGCCTAAATACATAGCATAGTCATGGCTGCCTCAAACTCTGTGATTAGCTGTTTACAGTTATCTCACTACCCTTCAGAGATTCTGGGATGCCTTTTGTCATCCATGCCTTGTCCTAGATCCCCAAAGAATGGCAGCTATCTGTCCATCACTAAGATGCTAGGGGTTCTGCTTCTTGGCAAGGAAGTGGTATGGAAATCTAATAATGCACCCATGCAGGATATAGGGTGGCGGCTGCCCCTCTCAGACAACACTCTACCTTGATCTGAGGGTTCTACCATAATGGGATATATTAATGGAATCATGGTGTTCAAAACTATGCTGTTTAGAAAAAAAGGAATCTCTGCTTTTTCTAAGATAAAGGATATCACTAATGTGGCACATAGATAGGGCCTGGAGAATGGGTATAAAGACTACGAGTTTGGGTAAGAGTTAATTTCAACTTTTAAAATCCATATCATACACAGATACACATATGTAAAATTGAACTGTTTCTGCTTGCTTACTTACTTGTGTGTTTCTTTCTATTTATCTTTAGGGCCTTCCCAAATTCATAGCTTTTCCATACAGAACACACTGGCATGGCAGCCACAGGAAGTGGTAAGGGTCTTGCCCCTGATGGGAGGTGTATGTGTATAGTGGGGAGGGGGGATGTAAGCTCCCTCCTAGTGGAAAAAAATCCACATTTCTGAGCAGGTTAGTGACCCCTCATTAAGGCCTTAACTGAGTGGGTCAAAGGAGCTGCTTTCCCAGGCCAGCCAGGATGCCTGGCAGAATGTTACCATGGCTCCTGGAATTTGGGGCTCATCATCCTTGCAGACCAAGTGGGTAGTTCCCAGAAGTGTCCCGCAAGCATTATAAACGGGCATGTTATCACTGTGAACCTTGAAGCAGATATTGTAAGTTATCCGAAGGCTTCCCAGAAGGTCCACAAGATAAGAGATTAGAGTAAATGCTGTGCATCTCTTACTGTAATCAGTAATTCAGGAGAAATTAACTTAGGTTTGTGAGATACAATGAGGGCTTCCTGTGCTTGCTGATTTTCCTGCCAGTGTGCCTCCCTTAGCATTTCCCATGTCCCAGAGAAGCCATCCTGGATTCCTGGCACCAAGACCCCGAGAAGCCCAGGCTGCCCTCAAGACTTGCAGACTGGTCACCAGATCCCTCCTCTGCTCTCCATTTGGGCTCAGGTCACTCCAATCTGGAGGCTCCCAGGTGTTTGCAGCAGCAAATATGTACAATGCCTCATATTCTTTCTTGTGTTACAATAAGAGAGGAGCAATATATAATAAAAATAAAAGAGGCACTGAATTAACTTCTTACACTTAGTCTCAGTAAACTGGGCCCTTTGATTGTTTCTGCTTTTAAAATTGAAATAAAAATCCATAACAAAAATTAATATTTACACTATGTGTGTGCAACATTGGGAACTCTGCTGTTGTGTATCCATGGCTGTCCATCTTCAGAATGTTGCTTCATCCCAAGAGTTTACTTTTTTGTTGTTTGTTTGTTTGGCAAGAGTTCATTTCTATTCTCCATCATCTGCTTTCCCTCTCCATCACACGATTCCAAGCCATGCACACGTCACTTGCTGAAATCCTCATCAAGAGACACGTACGCTTCCTCACCAGAGGAACTGGGTGGAAAATGTGCCCATAGCAAGTATTGCTTCTGGATTTTGAACCTACATAGCCAAGGGCAGGAACATGTCTATGTCAAGTGTTTTAGCAGGCAATGCTTCTCTACACAGAAATTGATATTTTGGGTGTTTGTTTTCAGTTGCAGGCCCTGAAGAATTTTCCATTCCCATGCAAGGCAAAGAAGTTAGGACTGAGTACACCTTCAAAGTCAGGTATGTGTGCACTGCCATGGGCAGGGAGCTCAGTGGGCAGGGATCCTCAGTGTCCTTTCCTCTTCTACTGCTTGGTCGTTAGCCCTCAGTCCTTCACCACACTATCCCAGTGGTTTTCAACCCATGGGTGGTGACACTGTGGAGAGTGGTGTGTCAGACATCCTGCATATCGATGTTTACATTACAATTCACAACAGTAGCAGCATTATAGTCTGAAGTAGCAATGAAATAGTGTTATGGTTGTGGGTTACCATAATACGGGGAACCGTATTAAAGGGCCGCAGCATTTGAGAACAATGGATTTACTTCCTCTTTGTTATTCCTGTGGAGGGACAGAGACAACACAATACTTAAAGGATAAAACCAACATGGGGACAGCCTCTAGTACCTTGTCTCCCTTGAGGGGTAAAATGTCCTGGGAATTGTGGGTTGGAGGCTATCCCTCGTGTGGCTACCCCATTCCTGCCATGTAGTCACAGTGGCTGTTCTAGCCACTCCCCTTTATTATGGGCTAGGTTTCTCTAAGACCTGGATGCCATAAACCAGCTTTACATGTTAAGTATGTTAAGTGTCTGGCTGTGTTTAGTGTGTGTGTGTGTGTGTGTGTGTGTGTGTGTGTGTGTGTGTGTTCTGTTGTACTGACTTTATTAGGGTTCCCATTTAAACTTATTTTAAGAAAAGTAAACTGATGCACTTTTTAGAAAATAGTATCTTTTAGAAGTTAGTTTATTCATTTATTTGTTTGTTTGCTTATTTATTTATTTATTTATTTGGGTTTTTTGAGACAGGGTTTCTCTGTGTAGCCCTGACTGTCCTGGAACTTGCTCTGTAGACCAGGCTGACATCAAACTCTCAGAGATCCGACTGCCTCTGCCTCCCGGGTGCTGAGATTAAAGCTTTACACCACCACTGCCTGGCTCGAAGTGTACATTTAAATTCCCCATAATACACCCAGGAAGTTTGGCCAGTGGTTTCAAGGCAGACACACATGTGAGTCAGGGAGATGTGTATCATTTGCATATAATTTGCATCCAGTGTTTCTTTGCGGTCGCTAGGTTTGAGTGCTATTCTCTTTAATCTTCTAACTACAGTTAACCGGTGGGTACCCTGGCAGCCCTAATTTTCGTTTCTTGGCAGTGTTATTTTATCAATGGTAGCTCAGAAACTCAGGGTCATGAGTTAGTGGGAGGTAAGAGGCAGGCAGAGGGTCAGGTGAGAGGATGCCATGACAGCTGTGGCACATGAGCTTGGAGAGGTCCAGTCCAGGTTAATCGTATGGTCTCCAGAGGGCAGGGGAGGCCTGAGTATGGGTTCTGGTGTCCTGTGAGCACAGGATCTTGAACTTGCCAGCAGGCTATGTTGTAGCTTTGGTGTGGGTCTGCTCTGTGAACCCACATAGGGTGTTCTCTGCCTACCTTGGGAGAATGTAGAACTGACCTTGCCACATGTGTTCTTATCTTCACAGTTCACTCTCTGACACCATCAGACATTAAACTTGTGGCAGCCATTGGCAACCTGGGAACTGTAAGTATTTCATATTGCTTGGTTTTGGGGACCATTTAGTACCAGTGACACCATGAATAAGCTCCTGATGTCTTGGCAGAATGTTCTGCTTGAGGCCAGGTGTGGTGGCACAAGGCTGTAATCTGAGCATTTGGGAGGTAAAGGCAGAAGAACCAGAAGTTCCAGGTCATCTTCAACTACATAATAATTTGGAGGCTAGTTGGGCAGTGGTAGTGCACGCCTTTAGTCCCAGCACTCGGGAGGCACAGGCGAGGGAATCTCTGTGTGTTTGAGGCCATGCTGGTCTACAAAGTGAGTTCCAGGAGTGCCAGGGCTGTTACACAGAGAAACTTTGTCTTGAAAAGCCACCACCACCACCACCACCAATAATAATAATAATAATAATAATAATAATAATAATAATAATAATTTGGAGGCTGGCCTGGGCTGTTAGACTTCTGTCTCAGATAGTGATCCATTTGGGAGGGAGCCTTGTGTGAGTCAAAGCTGTCCTAAAATCTAAGAGGGAGGACCTAATTTTAAAAAAAAATCAAATGGATTGCTACAACCATCTCAGGAAAGTAGCTGTCTGGGGTTTCTCCTTATAAGTTAAATCCATGGTAGGTGTTGCCCAGAGTCTTCACCATACATTTTTAAATGCATTACTTCCATTTTCTACAGGTACTTATTCTATCAAGTGTGTTCCCTTTACATTGCTTATCTCTTTACATTTATAGTATTATCTCATTGTATTTCTCACCTCTGTCCCTGCCTTTAGTCACCCTTGGGCCCTATTTTCTCTTTTGCTTTCTCTTTCATTCCACATATTCATTCATGATTTCATGTATCTATGTAAGATATGGGAACTACAACAAGAGAAAATATTTAATATTTATTTTTCTGAAATTGGCTCAATTCCTGTAACATGATTGTCTCCAGTTGCATCCCTTTTTCTTTCAACAATATGACTTGATTCTTTATGGTTGAGAAAATTTCACTATGTTTATAAACCACATGTTTTTTACCCATTCCTCTGGTGTTGGATAAGTAGGTTGGTCCTATAACATGTTATGAATAGTGCTGCAACAGACAATGATGTGTAAGTATTTTGGAAATGTTGACTTTGAATCCTCTGGGTAAATACTCAGGAGTAGCGTGGCTGGGTCATATGGAAAACCTAGTTTTAGTTTTCAAGAAGCCTCCATCCTGAATTCCACAGTCACCGAGCAGGATTGGTAAGGCAGTCCTTCAAGCTTTTGCATTTATAAGAGAAAGGAAATTCTATGTCTCCTGTGTGTGTTTTTAAAAAAAATACATGGAGGGGCTGGAGAGTTGGTACAGTGCTCAAGAACACTTGTTGAACCCAGAGGACCCAGGTTCAATTTCCAGCACCCACAGGCAGCTCACAACCATCTGTAACTCCAGCCTAGGAAAACTGGGCATCCTCTTCTGACCTTCTGACCTTGACAGGCCTCTTCTGACCTTGACGTGCACTTGGGTCCCCCATATGATGCACAGACATACATGCAGCAAAACACTCATAGAATAATTTTAAAATACTCTGATATTAATAAAAATGTGTAATTGTGATAAATATAAATTTATATATCTTACTATCTTAGCTACTTAAATACTTATTTATAATAGTTAACACAATGCAAATATAGGAAGTAGTGGCAAGAGAATGCCGACATTCAGCAGAGACACAGCCCCGTGGCCCTTCCTCGCCTCCTCGTGTCCTTCCTCACTGTACCCATTACCCTCTGGTAACTCTTCCTTGCCCCTTCTCTCTCATGTGTTCTCGTGCTTTCTCTCCTACCTCTTTCTTTTCCCCTCTTTAGTTTCCTTGCTGCTCCCTCATTTTCTGTGACATAAGGAACCTGCATCTGCCACAGAAACACTGGTACAGCCACATTGAAGCATCCCTTTACCAAGTAGTGGGGAGTCGGGACCAGCCTAGCTGTCCGTCAACGCGCGAATGAATGACGGGTATGTGGTACACATATACAGTGAAATTTTACTTGGCCACAAAGAAAAATAAAAATTCGATAACTGCAGGAAAATGGATGGAGTTGAGATAACCCAGGTCCAGCAAAGCAAATATTACGGTTCCTTCGTATATACAGACCCAAGTTTCCATGTGTGTCATTTTTAAAGTGTGCAGCTCAATAGTATAAAGTATATTTTTACTGAGTAACCAGTCTCCAGAACATTCTTCACCTTACAAACTGAAACTCTGCACACAGTAAATAACTCATCTTGCATTTACCCACCCCACCCCACCCCCAAAACACATTTCCATTTTTGGTTTATGTGAGTTTGACTGGAGACTTCACATCCTTGAAATCATGTAGTAGTATCTGTCTTTATATAAACAGCTTATTTTGATCAACATAATTTCCTTCTCTGTCAGATGCTTCCTTTTTAAGGGTAACTAATATTGCATTGTATGCATGGACATAACCATATTTTGTTTGTCCATGCATGGACACGAGGCTGAGTCATCTTCAGGCTATTGCCAATTCTGAAAAAACAAACAAACAAACAAACAAACAAACTCCACTGTATACAAATAATCTCAAGATCCTACTTTTCATTCTTTTGGAGAGGTGTCTTTAAATATGACACTAGATTACAAGATAATTATACTTTTAATGAATTTTTCTGAGGAAGTTGAAAGTGATGGTGCATGTTTATAATCCCAGTGTAGGGAAACTGTGGCAGGATCAAAGCAGATTTGAGGACAGCCTGGGTTATACAGCAAGTTCCAGGCCAGGCTGAGATAGATAGTGCTATTTTGTCTTTTAAAATTTTTCTTTTCTGAAGGAATGCATAGTTTATAAAGTTAAGTTGCTACTCCTTTTCTATCAGAATATTGCTTTTGTTTCCCCCTTCTAGCACCTCATCTTGTTTGTGAGTGAAAAGGAAACAGCCCAAGGTTAACATCAGATTTTTTTTTTTTTTTTTTTTTTGATATTGTAAGCATTTAGGTGCAGGGATAGGGACTTGTCAGGTTAATTTGGTGCCTAAATCTAAAAATATGAATTGAGTATTTGAATTGCCCTGTGTAGTTCTCTTGATTTTATTTCATACATGACTTCTGACCTCACCAGTCCATAGCCAGACCCCTCTACCTTCAGGATGAGACTTGAAGGTGAAGCTCATTGTAGGCCACCCTTCTCTGTCTGCCCTGAGAGCCAGATGTGCTGTGTATTAAAACACACACACACACACACACACACACACACACACACACACACACACGTAAAACTAACGGCAGGCTGATTTTTAAAGTACTTAATGCTAACACTTTTGCTTTGAGTTTCTAGTGTCTAAAATGAAGACACACTCTCTTACTTGGGATTCTCTAAAACTTGTTAATTGCTTTAGATTCATATTCCCTCTGTAACATTTTAAAATAAGATCTGCAAATATTTACACAACTTATTTTCAATAGCACCTGTGAAACATGTTCCATACAAGAAAAACCCAGATATACAGCATAAGAAAAATGAAAAGATCCGTTCATATCTTGTGTCTTGGCCTCCCTTGACATGTATGTTCACTTACCCCCAAACACACACACACACACACACACACACACACACACACACAATCCAGTACATTTTATTTCAGTGTATATGGGGACATACCTGACTGTGAAACCTAAACGGTAACATAACACAGTAGTACATATGAAAATTGTTTTTTTTTTCATGTTTAATTATTAAAGAAATCTCCCTACCAAACAGTGAGAGCTTATGATCCACTCTGTTGGATTCTTTGTGGGAGAGCCTGTATCTTATTTGGCTTGGGACCCTGAGGTCATAGTATTGGCCAGGCATTCATCTAATGAGACTGAGGAGAAAGCACTGGCCATCGTCATGGTTTCTGGGATCTCCCAGCTGAGCTTCCACACATCCTGGCCTTGTCCTCTTCTTCCTTCCTTTCTTCCTTCCTTCCTTCCTTCTTCCTTCTTCCTTCTCTTGAGCACCACCTCCCCTTCTGCAACTCAGCTAATTGCAGAAGAAGCAAATTTGTGGTCCTGAGACACTGTGTCTTTAACTCAGTCAGCAGCAGGAGGCTTCAAATAGTTGTTTCCACTGTCTACAATATGATATCTGACGGCCATAGGTTCCCTGCTCCTTAGGCAGCTATAAACTCAAGATGGCTGACCCAGACTGTCCAGCTTGTAGAGCCCAGGAGGTCCACTCCCCTGACTGTCTAACCCACAGCTCTGCTTCATAGGCCCTGACTTGTATGGTTTAGGGATTTTTGTTTAGCTTGTTCTCTCTCCCTGGAATATGACCTCCCCAAGTCCCTCTTCCTGACAAGTGAGAGATGTGGTCCCAGGAAGAGGGATTTGTTCTTAGACACCTTTAAAGACATGACCCAATTCCATGGGCTGGCCAGTTTGGAGCTGGTGGCTGGGACAACTGTGCTCATTAAAGCAGCCTGGGTAGACACAATGAGAATGTAACTGTCTACCTGTGGCCACTATACCTGTCATTCTGTCATACAATAACTTTGACAGATCTAAGCTTAGACATGTCTGAACTTTGTGTTCATTTGTGTGTCAAAAACTATGCCAGTATTTGTAGAGTGTTTTCAATGTTCTGACCACAGCTCCTAGTCTCCCTGGAGCTTGCTAAGCACATGACCTTGCCCCCAGGGGTAGGGTGAAACTGTCTCTTTTTTGGCACTGTGATTAGAACTTTCCCTACAAGGAATGATCTGTGTTACCCAGTATTCCATAAAGGGGAAAATAGAAATTTGCTTTATTTGTTAACATTTACTGAGAGCTTACAATATGTCAGGCCCTGTCCTAGACCCAAGGAATACAGTCAAGTACAAACAGATGAAAACACCTACCTTTGGTGGCTCTTATATTCTAGTCAAAGGGGCAGAAATGGCAAAGTCGCCCTTAGATTGCAGAGGACTAAGGAAGTTGGTCCTTTGACTCTGTAGAATATAGTGTGACTCATGATGTGCTTACATCTATACTCTGAGGAATGCTCTCAGCCATTCTCTGTGTGTCTGAGACGAGCTGTGGGGGAGCAGGGTGTGTCTTTCTCCCCATAAAGTGAGCAATGTGGACTTGGTCCTTCTGTGGATTTGTGTCATACTGGCTTCCCCTGGCTGACTTACTCACACCAGTGTCTCTTCCAGCCTCCAGACTCTGGCATGGTCTCCATGAAGAAAACTCAAAGGTAGCCACCCTGAAACATAGCTAGCAGGGATGTCCCACAGATGTCCTCTAACTTCTAGCTCAATTGATGGGGGCGGGACACCAAGGGCCAGAGACTTTGCTTCAGGCTTAGGGGCAGGGAAGCAACTGGAACCAGTTTCCAGCCTTCCAGCACCCTTGCAGAACCTTTGACACCCCAAGGCTCCTCTGGGTGAATGAAAAGTGGGGGAGGTCAGAAAGATGGAGTTCCTGTGTCTGTCACAGGCTTCCTTCCTCTGCTCTTGCTGACCCTGCATGGTTTGGACCATAGTCATTTTCCACTGGACTCAGTGTTCCCTTCAGCTTTGGGCAGGACTAGAGAGCTTGGGAAGAGGGTCCAGACGGACCTGTTTGCCCCTTATTAGCCCTAGAGAAAGGGTGAGCCAAGCTTGTTAGGAGTAGTCTGTGATGGCCAAGGAAAAGTCTCCCATGGGTGACAGCGTAGTCTGATCATTTTGTGCTTGCCTCTTACAGCATTGAGAACGAACCACAGCATGCGTGCATGGAAGTCATGACAGGTGAGGCCTGGGTTTCTAGGCAGCTTCCGGATTGTCCCCAACCCTGTGACACAGCAGACATTTTGTTAATAAAGATGTACTTGAATGGTCACTTTATCACCAGTGCCTGTGAAAAGAGGAAAGCATGCTAGGAAAGCCAGAAAGGGAGGCAGGGAACGGAAGGTCACATGTCCTGAATGTGGGACAACTGGACAAAGCCTTGTGGGTCTTACTCCTCTAGGACCTCAGAGATGGATTCATGGCAGTTACCTGAGAAGATGTCCTGATCCTTCTTCCTGCCCAAGGGGAAGACCCTAGTCTAATTTTCCATTTATTTTCAAAATAAAACCTCATCCTATATTCCCCCCCCCCTCTCTCTCTCTCTCTGTGTGTGTGTGTGTCCCCATAAAAAAATGTGTCCTAGGCTCCAGAAAGTGAAGTAATTGTGGTTAACATGCTGATCTTTTTTTTTTTTTTTCCATACAAACATGCTGCTGAATCCTGAATCCACTTTCTGTGAGCTGTTCTTTGTTTGATGACAGAGGACCTTTGTGATTCTAAAATGGCGAGTCCCTTAATGCTATTGAGCTAGGCTGGGTAGAGTGTCCCATGCCTGCTGCCTGTGAGATGAACTGGCCATTCAAATGCTAGGCTGAACTACCACACAGCTACAGTGATGAACAAGAGATAAACGGTCCCCTGGCAGCTGAACCTGGGCTTGTGATGTATCAGGTCCTTAGAAAGGACAGAGATGGGGATCCTGTCCCTCCTTTGTTCATATCCCAACAAGGAAAGCTGAGGCCACTGTCCAGCCCTCCTGCCACTTGATTGACAAGTGAGGTGTTAGGGTTAGGGAAGGTCTCCCAGGCAGGAGTCAGAGTGCTCACTGACTTGTGGCTGTCACAGCTGTGCCAACGCCTGGATGTCTTTCCATTCAAACAGTATGAGAGAAATGAAGGGGTCCATTTGGGAATGCCTAGGGATATAGTCGGACCCTGGAGACCCCAGTGCCACTCTACTGATTTGCCCGGTTTCTCATTTGCCTCCATTTCTCCCCCTCCCCCTAACAAGCTGACTCACCCCTTTTAGGTACACAGTGATCAGGAATCCCAGATGGGCAGAGGGCAGCAGAGGTGCCTGGAAAGGCAGACCTTGCATCTGGAGCCACCAGCATCAGATGTCAAAAACCGAGGGCACCCTGAGTAGGGAGGGGCAATGCCATGGCTGAAACAATACTGACAACCATGGCAGGGGTCCACAGGGAAAGTGGTCCAGGGCTGCCCAGCCCCATTCAGCATATGATGTGGTTGGTCCAGGCTCAGCCCTCCTACCCTCTGGCCCCAGTGTTTGAGAGCCTTTAGTGACTTCCACATCAAGCCAAGGCACTTTGAAGATGGAGAAACTGAATGTTGAGCAGAGAAATAGAATTTTCCCAGGTTGTATGTTCAGTAAACCAAGGGCATCTCTACCCCTCGCCTTGCCTTTTGTTCTTCCCCCTACCATCATGGGACCCTGAAAGAAAGATTAAATAACAATGACTAAAACCAGAAGATGAGAAAAAAAAAAAGATACACACAAGTTTCATGAAAAAGTTTAAAGTCAAATTGGTCACTTTTACCTTGGAAAGCTGTTCTTGCGATGACTTATTATTGTGACTCAGTGTTCATGTGTTTTCATCAGCCTTTATCAACTGTCCTCCCATGCTGAGGGAGTGGTCCCCATGTGCACACATGCATGCCATTCTTATCATGTTGAACTGAGTTCAAAGTCTGCATTTCCCACCCATGGCCCTGGGATCCCGTAAGCTTGTCACAGCTGAGAAAACCAGACTCATGTGTCCAGGTTAAGGATGGCAAAGCCAACTCACACATGAGTTAGGTGGTCACCTAAGGTCATGAAGCCAAGCAACTAGTCCTCCTTCCTTCCGCCTGTCATCTGCAGAGTATGTTCCCCTGTATAGAGCTCTCTACCATCCCGCTGGATCCTGCTTCCATGGACCAGGAGGCTCTTGGGATTGGGCACAAAAAAGGGAGTGGAGAAAGGCATCCTCTCTGCCTCCCACCCTCCCTATTCTGCCCTCTCCTCTCAGAGGAGCAAGACACAGCTTAAGTGCTCCTGACAGCACTATTTTTAGCAGTCTTCTGGCTGTCAACTTGGCAACATGTTCTCTCTGTGTTCCCTGGAGCCTTCCTACCCTGCTGTCACTCATGGAGAGCCGCCCAGGGCTCTGGTTCTAATCCCAGTAGCTCCTGTCAGCTGGGAGACCTGGTGCAGCTTGCTTGATGTCTCTATCTCAGCTTCTCCAAGAGAAAATGAGAAAATGCCTGGAGAGCACTCAAGCCTGGCCCACCTAGACTGATGCTCAGTTTAGCTCCCTTCACTTTCCAGGGTCTGCCTTGGGGATGACCTCACAGCATGGCGTGAGGGCTGTGCCTTTCCATGGGGCAGCGATTCTGTCTTGTCACCCTGGGGAATTGTTCATCATTAGATGACCCCTGGCTCTCTTTAGTCCTTTCAGATATCATCAGACATTTCAACCCTTCTGTTCTGATGCCCACGTGCTCTCCTGGGAAGAGCGGTGCAGCCCACAATATGGTTGAGTAAGTCACATTCTTGTCCCTCTCTGGTGCCGTGCACTCTTGTTAGCCTTGCACATGTAGGGACAGTCAGAGAGATTTAAAATAGAGGTCTTTATTAAATCAATGCCCAAATACCTACCCCTGCTGATTTCAGTTGGCTTTAAAAGCCAGGACAAGTCTGCCCTCAGAAGCCTGGGTGACTGATTCAGGGGAGCCTCAGGCTCAGAGACTGACAGCTGTGTTGGGGTGAGGGGCTCAGCTTCCTAACCCTCAACAATATATTTTATTGATTATTCTTTCTACCCCCTGCCTCTGCACAGAGACTTGTGGATGCAAGCTAAAGAGCTGGTGAGACATTTGAAAGAGAACCCGGTAAGAGGCTTTCTAACCTTGGTGTGGGTGGGCTGTCCAGGTTTGTGGCAAGACAATGACACCAAGACACAGAATGGCGATGACACTGGTGCCAACTGGCCATGAGCACGACTCAGGCCCTGGACTCTTAAAAATGTCCCTTCCATTGTAATACCCTGAAGGTCGCTGTGGAAATGAATGAGTAGCTCTATTTAGAATAATTTTCTGTGTGGGACTGCAGAGAGTTTGCAGCTGGACTAAATGACCTTTCACATAGGGAGGCAGTTGGGTTCTAGAGAGAGAGAGAGAGAGAGAGAGACAGAGGGAGAGAGACAGAGGGAGGGGGGAGGGAGAGAGAAGCTTCAATGTGTCCCATGACCCCAACTTTCTGCTTATCACTGTGTGATTGTGCAATTCTCTCCTAAACTTGGTTTTCCTATTTAAGAAATAGAATAGTGAGAGAGCCTGACCCGCAGGTTTATAGAGGATCAGATGAGCTATCGAATGTGCCTGGCACAATTGATGTTCAATAAAAGCTGGTAGTTATTATTGTCATTGTGGCAATGATTGCTGTGATGAATAATTACCACAGTGCTGGAGAGGTGGCTCAGTCAGAAAAATGCTTGTTGTGCAAGCATGAGGACCTGAGTTCCATTCCCAGCACCCACGGAATAACTACGCAGAATGGTATGTGCCTACAGCCCCAGCACTGGGGAGGGAGGAGACAGGAGGATCCCTCGGTCTCACAGACCTGCCAAATTGAGAGCACAGGGTTCAGCAAGAGATGCTGTCTCAGAAACAGAGTGGTTGATGAAGATACCTAACATCCATCTCTAACCTACACAAACACACACACACAGAGAGAGAGAAAGAGGAAGAGGAAGAGGGAGAGGGAGAGAGCAAATTGCCTGACAAGAAACAACTCAAGGAGGAAGAACTTTGGCTCATGGTTTGTGGGGGTACAGTCTACCATGCAGGGAAGGCAGGGCAGTCTGGGCATGAGACATCTGGTTATAATGTATCCCTCAGTTAGGAGGCAAAGAGAGATGAACACATGCTCCGCTGGTCCTCCCTTCCTTCCTCTTTTATTCAGTCTAGGCCCCTAGTCCACAGGATGGGACTAACCATATTTAGGGTGGCTCTTCCCTCCTCTAACCTCTCTGGAGCTGCCCTCACAAGCAGAGAGGTATGTCACCTAGGTGATTCTGAATCCTGTCCAAACCAGGGGTGGTAGCTTACATCTCTATTCCCAGCACTCAGGTGGTGAAGGAGGAAAATCTTAGGCAATTTGGGACCAGCCTGCATTACAGAGTTAGACTTTATCTCAAAAACAAAACAAAACAAAACAAAATCCATAAATAAATCAACCCTGTTGGCTGGCAATGTTTAGCTATCATAATGATAATACGAATGTAATTTTTCTCCATAATGGCTGGGCGGTCCTGGATCCAACCCTGTAATTTTAAACATGAAGAAACTAGAATTCCAAAAAGTCATGTGACAAGGGCAACTTCACGAAGTCTGTTAGAACTAAACCCTAAAGAGCAGACTCACAGTGTTCCCAGTGCTGCCTCAGGAAACAAGTTTGCTTTGTAGTCAAGTGGTATGTTCACTAGAGAAAAATCAGATAGCAAATGAGCAAATGTAATATTAAAGCCACCCTTAAGTCTAATGCCCAATGATAATTACTAATAGTATGTATTCCCTTCTACATTTTTCTAATTATGTATATCTTATAAAATGGGGCATTACTGAATATATATGCTTTTTGTAATGTACTTTTCTCAGTTTTTCTGATATTTTCCATTATCATTTTAATAGCCACATAGTGGTTCGCTTACATGAATGTAGCATAGCTTACACAAGAATATGCATCTTCAAACATTTATGCTATTTGCTACTTTTCATTCCTACGAACAAGGTATCATTGTAGCTAAATCTTGTATGGTCCTTCTTTCTTTAAAATATGTTTTGAGAGCTGGGCCTGGTGGTACAGGTCTGTAATCATAGCTACTTAGGAGACTGAGGCAGGAGGATTGCGGGTTCAAAGCTTGCCTGGTTAGAGTGAATTTAAGGCCAGACTGGGAAATTTTGTGAAACTCCATGCTAAAATAAAAAGAGGGCAGTGTAGCTCAGTGGTGCTTAGCATACACAAGACCCTAGATTCAATCTGACATTGAATTAAAAATACTTTTTCACAAAGAATGTCCCTTAGTTCAACAAGGTCCAAATTGCCTTCTAGAACAGTTATTCCACACAGACTACCAAGTATTACTTGAGAGAAAGAGAGAGAGAGAGAGAGAGAGAGAGAGAGAGAGAGAGAGAGAGAATGAACATCCAAGCCAGTGGTAACTCGTGCCTATAGTCCTAGCTCTCAAGAAGCAGAGTCAAGAGAATCAGATGTTTGAGGCTAAAACAAACCCATTAACAGTGGCTTAAGGTGACTGGTGTATGAGATTGAGAAACATGGACAGACTCCTGACCCAAGCTCTTACCATCATCTCTTTGCTGTGTGTTCCAGCAACTTGACTTTGAGAATGACTGGAAACTCATTACTGTGTTCTTCAGTAACACAAGCCAGTGTCACCTGTGTCCCTCTGCTCAGCAGGTAAGCTGCAGGCTGGTGGGCTGAGGGGTTGCTGGTGTAGAGACAGGACTACCTGTCTGAACACTGTCCACTGAGCTAGTTAAGAATTAGGACAGGTGGATGAATGAGTCAGGTGAGTGGGTGGATGGGTGGAAAAATGAACGGATGGATGGATTCTCAAGGAAATAAATAATATGAAATAATATATATTGCTTTTATTCCTCCAGTATTTCAGTGTGATAACATGCACTGAACATAAAACTGACTATATTAACCATTTCTGTGTGTTGTTATGATTTGGGTGGGATTACACACTGTCACGAATGTATGCCTACAGTTGTGCATTTATAACTGTCACGGGAGCCAGGAATGCTCTTAAACTTTCGTATTTTAAATTTGTAAAAGAAACTTTATTTTTATATTTTATTTTATTTTATTTTTTTATATTTATTGTTCAAAATAATGGGTCTTGTTGTGTTTTCAGTCAGGTATATAATGTACTTTCATTACCTCCCCGCTCTTGCCCAACAGTTCTTCTTCGGAAGTGTTTATCTAATTATTCCTTAATTAATTAAAAACGGGGAGTCAGATATGGGGGGGCAAAAACCTGAATGATCAGAAAAGCAGCTGCAAAGTGACCAGTGACCTCCGATCTCTTTCATTTGTCCTTCCAAAAGGCAGAGAACCTCTCTAAGCCCCACCCTACTACTTCCTGTCTCTCTATCTGTCCTCAGTCCTCCAAAACCTCTATGGGTGATTTTGGTCAGTTAGTAGCTAGTTCTACCCTCTGGTTCAAAGCAGATTTATTGTCAGAATGCAATCAAAATATCACACAACACCCTTATATGTTTGTAGGTCCTTTCTTCACCCCCACTGTGTAGGGGGTTTTACATTTAATGTCATCCTGCTAGGGATTTTAATATCCACCAATCTCATGTGACGGAAAGAAATTCAGGCTTAGATAAACTGAGTTAATGATCTTTGTACACCTGAGGAGAATCGACTTCCTAGTTAGTTAAGAACTGTTTTGCCTCTCTTGGTGTGCCTTCACATGAGTGCTGAGTTTACAGAATAGTGTAGAATGCATACACTTGCCTCACCCTAAACCTATGAGTTCCAGCTTGGGTGAGAAAGGTAGTGTTTACCAAAAGCAAACAACCTGTGGATTTTATCATTGGCTTTCCTGGGAATAAAGTGCATTGTTTTGTTTAATATATGTGTAGGTGATTATGTTACAGATTGTGACTTCAGTATTTATGGATGGCCAACTCCAATCAGCTAAAAGTGTAAGGGGTGGCTGGGGAACCTAGGCTATGGCATTATAAATGACATACAAACTCTTCTTCGGGAGTCTAAAGTCCAGCTGCCACCAAGCCACTTCTGTCAATTACCATGGCTTGCCTACTGACCCCTTAGCCTAGCTCCTAGAACCTCCATTGGGCCATGGCTTGGACATATCTAAGTGTCTTGATATGCCCTTCCCCTTCCATGTCTTGCCTTCTTCTAAATGCTGTATACTTCCACCAATCTCTGGGCCACTTTCCTTAGTCCTGTAGAATCCTAGGAGAATCGTGGTAAAGATCCCCTCTCCCCTAGCTAGCTCTCATCATTCCTGAGGTTCTTCTGAGTGTATTGTGTACAAATGATGAAAGTTTCTGTCCACTTGTGCTAAGTGAAATTTACGTGCTCTGATTGTTCTCTCCAGGGTCGTTGTGCATATTAACATTAACTCATGAATTATGTATCCCTGCATTGAAATATTCAAGCATCATTTAGACATCAATGCATTCTTCTACATAGCCACTCATTACTCTTCAGCCACTCATCCTCTTACATGCAGACTCAGACACATACTGCCATATCTGCAATGAGTTTGCTCAGGCTGGTGTTTGATTTATTTTTTATGCATGAATGTGCATTCAGGGATCTCTGCACTCTAACTTGCAGCCGAGCAAATGTACACGATTTCTTGCCTTTAATGTATTTATCCCTTCAAGCATTGTTGAATACATAATGCATTCTAAGTACATGGGTCCCATTTATGTGACTTGTTTTGTTATTATTATTATCATTATTATTATTATTATTATTATTATTTAGTTTGACAAGTAATACACAAGTCTTTTTTTACTTATAATATTCTTTTTTATTAAAATGTATCCAGTATGCATATTAATGGGTTCAGTGTGACATTTCCACATAGGTGTGCACTGTGTGTCTTTCATCAACTGAATATTTTCAAGACCTTGTCATGTTGACACCTACAGACTAAACCTAATCTTGCTGACTGATCTGCTCCACAGTGTGAATTTGTCACCTCTTGTTTCAGTATTGGCTTACTGAAAAAAAACTTCTTCGAGTTTTTTTAGTATTTTAAACATGTAAGAGTGTTTTTCTAGGTTTTGAGGTCATGGGTGCTGGTACATTAGTGAGTCCTCATAAATTAGTCAGAAAGGTTGTAACGAAACTGTAAAATGAAGGAAGAAGGAAATGGAATAGAATGAACTATAAACTATTCTAGTTAATTGCATGAAGTAAGGGGGCTATGGACTCATGAAATCTTTGCTTTCTTTGTTCTGGATACCTGCACTGAGCTGCCATGGGAAGCATATACACATTGAGTCATGGTCCAAATATTCTGAAGACAAATATCTAGAATAGATGTTATAGGCATATAATGTCTTCCACTTGGAAGCAGGGACAGTTGGTGAGTCAAGTGACAACTATTCCATGCCTGGGAAGACTGAATGAGCCTAGATGCCCCAAATAGCTAGAGACAAAACCAGGAATTTCTAAAGCAAGATTCACACTTTGGGGAGGCACCATGCTCCTCCACATTCCCTAGGGAGGGTAAATGTCCTGAATGTGGTACAGATGAGCAGCAGAGGCATCTCTGGACCCACTTCCCGGGGCTCTTCAGGGAGGAAAGTGATGCCAGCAAAAATCTAGACGGAATGCTTATCACTGGTCATTGCAACAGAAGGGCAGGGCTGGCCTCTCATCAAAGCAGGGCAGAGACAGGCATGGGCTTATTCCTAGGCTGTGGGTGGCAAGTGGCCCCCCTGCAACTGCCGTCTGATGATTGGCAGCTGTCCCTAGAATTCCTGCCCCTGTTCCCCTAGGTAATAGCATAGATTCTTGCCCTTCCTTGTCTTGCTGTCTCAGCCACATTGCTTCAGGGGACAGCCAGTCTGCAGCCAGCTGAGGAGTTCCTCTTGTGCTTTAATTTATTTCTCACATTGAAATGATAACCAGAGGTCAAATTTAGAGGTGCTCTCACTTGCTTATTTTCTCACCTGCAAAGAGAGGAGGGGCTACACTGATGGGTTGGGAATGGGGCGCAGAGGGATTTATACATTCCAGTAATGGGGCCTTCTCAACTCTCTCTCTCTCTCTCTCTCTCTCTCTCTCTCTCTCTCTCTCTCTCTGGGACCCTTTCTCTTTCTTACTCAAGGCAAATGTGGCAGAGGGGAGAATCGGGGTGGGGCATGAGAAGGAGGGATCTGGCTAAAATCCAAGCTTGGATTTCTGGTCAGGAATCCAAAAACTTTTGAGCATTTCAGATTTGGGGTTTTTAGGCAATAATTGGTCAGTTGATACAGTTTATGCAAATATCCCTGCATCTGAAAGACTACAAAGTCAGAAACACTTCTGGTACCAAACATTCCCGGGGAAGGGATACGTGGCCTGTGCCCTGTGGAAGTTTGGAGTTTAAAATTTTCTATTGTATTGTGTGTGTGTGTGTGTGTGTGTGTGTGTGTGTGTGTGTGTGTGTGTGTGTGTATACAAGATGACATATGCATGTGGAGATCAGAGGACCTGTCAGTATTCTCTTTCAAATATCATGAGGGTCCAGGGAATTGAACTTGTGTCTTCAGGGTTGACAGCAAATGCCTTTATCCAAGTTAATCATCTCACTGGCCCATTCTTTCCTTCCTTCCCTCCTTCCTTTCTCATTCTTCCTTTCTTCCTACCTTTCTTTCAATGCTGGTGTGTGTGTGTGTGTGTGTGTGTGTGTGTGTTAGTTACTGTGATGTGTGGAAGTCTAAGAACAATTTAATAGGTCGCTAGGCTTAGTGGCAGATGCCTTTACTCACTGAACAATCTTGCCAGATCTCCTTTTGGAGGTTTTTGAGGTCTGTCTAGCTCCTTAAATCCAGGTTGATCATGTTCCCTCTTCAGATTTGATTTTCTTCAGATAAAAGCAACTCCCTCAGCCCTTGGGAATGTGTCCCACCCTTTGCTGGGAGCATCAGAGCTACTGAAGTGTTTCTCATCATGTTCCAACCTTGGGCTTGGTCTCTGATTGGGACCGCCTCCCTAGTGAGAGGTTGATGGTTCTTTGGTGGAGGATTGGTTAGAGAAATAGATACTGATGCCAAAGCCCAAAGCAAACAGAGCAGCTCAGGGATTCTACACTTGTGGGGAAGTGCAGTCCTCCATTAAGCACTGGTCATGTGCCAGTGTCCCTTTGGGGTCATCTAAGTCTGGTCCCTGAGCCTCATGTCCTCCCTGTTGCCACCTTTGCTCAGCTCAGATTTTCTCTCACAGAAAAGACATTTGATGAGGAACATGGAAAAGCTGTGTGAGATACTGGATTACCTGCACCAGGAGGTGAGGCGGTGGTTCCCCTTCCGCTGGGGCTTTGGGACATGGAACATAAGGCAAGCATCACTTTGGGTGCCCCCCTGAAGCCCTTTTCAAGGGCAGCTGAGGCAGGACTTGGTTGACTTCCAATGGCATTTTCTGGAGTAGGGAAAACTGATGTCCATGTATGAGAACATGATCCTGGGGTACAGAAAACTTGAAGAAACCCATCTTCTCACCATTGTAAAAAAAAAAAAAGGGGGGGGGAGGGTGCTCCTGAGAGGGGCTTGGCAGTTCCTAGAGTACTCAGTGCCCTCACTTTCTGACTGAGGCTGACCTCTCTAGAAGGTGCATGTTCTGAGCACCCAGGAACAGGGCTGTGGCTCACCTTCCCCTATGCTCTGTGATACTCCTGTGTTGGGGCTGCACTGACCACCAGAGAGAGGGGCAGCTGCATTTCTAAGATGCACAGCTGGAGAGGTGATAGCTTTGGACAAACCTCATCCAAACCCTCTAAAGGTTGGCCCCCAAACGAGGCCCATGGAGTTGCAGAAAGTCCAGAGGCAGTCATGGCAGGCATGGCAGTTCAGCAAATACCTGTGTCACGTATGTCTCTTCATATCCCCTAGGTCCCCAGAGCATTTGTGAATTTGGTGGATCTCTCTGAGGTTTTGGCCATGTCTCATCACCATCAAGAGACTGGGTTCAGGTAAAGAGAGAGAGAGAGAGAGAGAGAGAGAGAGAGAGAGAGAGAGAGAGAGAGAGAGAGAGAGAGAGAGAATAGGCATCATCTGTTGTGTGGTTGTGGTTGTCACATGCTGGTTCTGCACAGGCTTTCCACATTATGTTGATGTCCTGGGGAGACCCATGCAAGGAGGCTGGGGAGTCCAGCAGCTGTTTAGCGCACGCACATACTAGTGAGTGGCAGAGTCGGTGGGATGTTGCAATATTTAATTTGGCTGATGCAATGGTAGAGCCCCACCCCCGCCCTTGCAGATGATTTAAGAGTTTAAACCACAGTTGGTAGAGTGCTTGCCTAGCATGCAGAAATGGGGTTCAGTCTCCAGTACTGCACAAAGCTAGGTGTGGTGATACACATCTGTAGTCCCAGCACTTAGTGATAGATAGAGAAGGGGGTCAGAAAGGCAAAGCTATATGCAACAATTTGGAAGCTAGCCTGAGCCACTCCAAGAGACACAGTCTTAAACAAAACAACCACAAACCCATGTGAGTTTAGCAAAATATCTCTGTGACAAGAAGTATTAGTGACTATGAAAAAAAACCAAAAACCTGTGAACTTTCTCAGTGGATTTTTGCTTTATATTCAGAATCTGATATTTGATTCTGTAAAAGAAGAAGTCAGAACAAGGACAGCTGAGAAAGGAAGGGAAAGGAATGTAAAAGGAGGATGGGAGAGAAATAATGATGGGATGTGGGTTTCTGAGGTGGGGAGAGGAAGAGGAAGGGAGAGGAAGTACATTATAGCATGTCCTGACCTGTGAAGAAGGGCTCCATGGGTGCCTCCCACCCTGAGCTGGTAATTTGTGTCAATTTGACACAAGTTAGAGTCATCTGAGAGAGAAGAACCCTAACTGAGAAAATGCCTCCATAAGATGGGGCTGTAGGAAAGTCTATAGAATATTTACTTAATTAGTGATTGATGGGGGAGGGAGGGCCCGGCCCTTTGTGGGTGGGGCCATCCCTGGGCTGCTGGTCCTGGGTTCTGTAAGAAAGCAGACTGAACAAGTCATGAGAAGCAAGCCAGTAAGCAGCACTCCTCTGTGGCCTCTGCATCGGCTCCTGCCTCCAGGTTCCCTACCATGTTTGAATTCCTGCCCTGACTTCCCTCAGTGGACTGATTCAGGATTTGTAAGCCAAATAAATCCTTTTCTCTTCAAGTTGCATTTAGTCATGGTGCTTCCACAGCAACAGCAGGCCTGAGAGAATTTGGTACCAGGTTTGTGGGGGTAGTCCTGTGATAGACCTGATCGTGCTGTTTGGGGTGGGGAATTGTGGGAACACTTTGGAACTCTGGACTAGAAGAGCCACTGAGTGCTCAAAGGTTGGCACAGTGTTGTGAGAACTTGGAGAATGAACCTGAAAGCCAAAGGAAACTTGAGAAATACTAAAAGACATTACATATTTTGAATTAAGAATTTGTGATTCTGGTCAGCTGGAACTAGGGAATCAGCTGTAGTTAACAAGATACCAGAAGTGAAGTCAAACAAAAGTGAAATCTTGGCTTTGCTTGGGCAATTGATGCTGGTAGGCTGGAGCTAAGAAATTAGTGGCGATTAAAAAAGAAACCAGCCTCACTGAGGGAAGTCTTCTGGGAAGTGCTACTTGAGAGGACACAGAAACTTGTGTTCCAGAGGTGGCCAAGGTTGTATATCTCATGCTGGCAGCCAAACTTGGTAGAGGAGGAATTACCCAGGTGGTACTGGTTCTGAAGGCATGAAGGGGTCACAGAGAGCAGCTGAGGTTTGGCCCTGTGTAGGAGGGATAAAGCACCTGAAGAAAAGCCTAGAAGAGGGAGAGGCTAGTGGTGAACGTGCAGCCCAGTTGCAACAAGAGAGCCTAGACAACAAGAGTCACCAAGGACAGCAGACTTTGGTGTGGTCAGAGCTTAGGAGTGCAGAGCTGGGTAAAGGACTCAGGCCCTTTGGAAGACCCCAGAGAATGTGAGTGGACCCCAGACCCTGAGTTATTTGCACAGTTGGAGCGTGGCTTTACTTTATTCAGGTTACTGTGCCCTGGTTCATCCCACTTGGAGTGAGAAAGTGTTTAACTTCTTTCACAGGAGCCCACAGCTGAGAAACTTGGAATTTTTAAAGAGGTCTTGGAGTTTTATGAGACTTTGTATTTTAAAAGAGACTTTGCATTTCTTTTTAAAGAGACTGGGTTTTGAAGTGTTTGATTTTGTAAAGGCTGAGACTAAACTTCATTGCATGTTTTGTAATGTTATTTTTATTAATGAGATGTAAGAGATGAGCAAGAAAGTAAAGGTTAACAGTGATATGATGGTGTGGTCAAGTTGACAAGGGGTCACTTGTGATAGTTTAATGCCATCTTGACAGAAGCTAAAGCCATCTGAGAGGAGTGAACCTGAGTTGAAAATGCCTCCAAAATATAGGGTTACAGCCAAGCCTGCAGAGTATTTTCTTAATTAGTGATTGATGGGGGAGAGCCCAGTCCATTGTGGTGGGCTAGTGGTCCTGGGTGCTATAAGAAAGCAGGCTGAGAAAACCATGAAGTTCAAGACTCCTCCATGGCCTCTGCATCAGATTCTGACTCCAGGCTCCATCCCCAATTGAATTCCTGCCCTAACTTCCCCCACAGGACTGTGATTCAAAACATATCAGTCCCATAAACCCTTTCTCCCCAAGATGCTCTCATCACAGTACTAGTCACCCTAACTAAGATACACCCCCCCAACCTTCATAACCACAATTTGTCTCTCCTCTGCACCCTCCAAGGCTGCAGCTTCCCCTCCCTCTTCCTAAGTAACTCTCTGCACCCCCAGTCACTCTCCATTGGAGGCCCTCTGGGTATCCCCACCCCAACAGCATAGTCAATCATGCTGCCTCCTTTTGATCTGCAGCCCTATACCAGAGCTTTGCCATTGCTCAGAGGATACCACGAAGTTGTCCAAGGCTGTCATGCAGTGGTCCTATCAGGTAAGCCCCACTTGGAACCTGAGCTACTGGCTCACAGGGGGCTCGGGAGTGTGGAGAACAGGGATGGTAGAGACAATGAGCTAACTAGCTCTAGTAAGACTTGGCTGAATTCAGGACTGCTGGGAGCCAAAGAGAGGTACCCTCATAGTTCTCCCTATTATGAATCCATAATATTAGAATAAAGGCAGACACAGCATCTGTGGGAGCTGCAGGTCATGCTGACAACAGCTAGTGAAGAGCTTCACTACATATGTGGTTCTCTAGACTTCTATGTGATAGGCCCATGCTTGGTGAGTGAGCCATGTGGGCCATCAAGAGTATGAATAGTAGATGGTGAAGGAGTCTGGGCCATGCACCTGCCCCTCCCACTTCCTGCCCTTTCCTTCATAGAACTCCCACCATACAGATGATAAAATCACGGTTCCTGAAGCCATGCATTTTAGTTGACCAAAGGTGTCGTGGGCTCAGTGAAAGCCACTATTCTTACTGGTAAACAGCTCAAAATATGGTGTCCACTGGCATGTGTTAATATTATTTGCAATCAAAGTCATAAGTACACTTGTGTGGCACTGTCTATGCTGGATATGACAGAGTTTTCTGGAGGGAGGGAGAATAATGGCACATGCCCTTGCAGACCTAGCCCTCCAGGAGAACATGGCTTCTCCATGGCATGCGGGGCTGTCTTGGACTTATTGATTTTTCAGAGAAGAGTCTCCAGCTCTATGGATTCCGAGACAAGGGAAATTCATTTCCAATCCTCAAGAGCCCTGAAGTATACAGCAGGGAGAGCATCCAAGCAGCACACCTTTGTCTATCCTGTGTAGAGGTGGCTGAGTGAACCCTGGTGTGCTAAACACTCTGCCTGGCTTGGGTTCTAGAATGTGCACTCTCTTCTCCCTTCTCAGGAAACCTGGGAAGGTCTCCTGGCCTCCAGCAAGTTCAACAAGCATGAGTCCTTCACAGTGGTTTTCCAGCCTTTCTTCTATGAGGTAGAACCACCTTCGGTGAGTGAGCCATGTGAGGCATCCAGAGTTTAGATATTGGATAGTGAGGAAGCCTGGGCCACACACCTGGGTCTCTGCCTCCTCCCTCCCCCCTCCACAGAATCCCCAGCCTTAACTGAATACCAGATAGACAGTCTCAGAGGCGATACCACAGTAGTCTCTCACCCTCTGCCATGCAGTTCCCTCTCAGGTTGCATAGCCCTGTGAGGCAGATCCTGAAAGACAGAGACTCAGGGCTGATAGCCTGAGCTAAAGCCCTGCTTCTGGAATGGACCACCTATGTGGCCTCAGGCGAAGGGTTTGACTTCTTTGTGCCTTGGTTTCACATCTGTAGCCCTCCCCCAAAAAAGGACTGTTATTAATATCCCATCCATCTGGAGTGGATGCCAGGACCCCTTGAGCTAACACATGGGAAGAACTCAGGGCCTGGAGATTTGAAGTCCTGAGTGCCTCCCCACTTTGTGTCTAGCTTTTCCCTCTGTGTGCTCCTCTACCTCCCTGGAGAGAGGCATTTGCATCTTCCTCCCCAAGGTCACTGGATTAGAGAGCACTGAGGGAGGGACAAGCCTGCTTAACCAGGTCTCTGTAGCCCCTGAGCCTTCAGGGCTGTGTCTGGGAACAGCTCCCAGCTCCTACCCAAGACTGACTTGCTGTTTAAAGCAAGGTTCATAAGGAGGAAAGGACCCCTGTCCATGCCTCATGCCTCCATGGAGTCACCTCCCTGCTACTGCTTCTGCTCTGAGTCCAGTTTTGGAGGATCCACAACAAAACAGAGCAAACAGACTCACTCTGTTCCTGCCAGCCCTGACCTCCGAATCCAGACTCCAGGCTGCACTCCTATAAATGTACTACTCATTGAGGAAGCGCTAGGGGACAGAGCTGGATGGGCCATGACCCTGTCCACAAGGGTCAGCCAGTATGTAGAGGCCATCATATCCTGTGAGCATACGTGTATGTGTGTGGGGGGTGGTAAGAGTCCTTTCTTACCTCCTTCTCTTCCAGGAGGAGAGGTCTGCACCCCAGGATCCCAGCACACTTGCCCTCAGGATCTGGAATAACATGGTGAGTGTGGAGATATGAGGCTCATGCCAGCCTGTGGGCTGATGTGGGACACCAGCAGGGATGCTGGCCAAGCTCAACGCCAGAATCTTGACTCACCAATGTCAGGAGCTAGTGGGGAGCTCCACCTTGCTTTCCCTAGAGGTTGGGTGGTTGACTGGCTTCAAAGTTTCATTTCAGGGCACAGACTCCCCTGCAGTTCCCACTCACTATCCTCGCCTAAGTGATGCCATACAGGTTTAAAAGTGTGGTGGTACCAAGAGCCATCATGGTCTTCAGAGAGACGACCTGGGCTCGAATTAGATCCTGCTTCTCATGCCTGCATCAATTCAGGATATCAACTCCCCACACAGAAAACACATAACCCCTGGCCCCACTCATTCAGGGTATCTCACTCTCTATGTCCTAGATTTTGCTGTTCTCCATAGGGTAACAATCCCAAAGATTCCCGGGGCCGTTGGGATCATTAATGGATGTAAGGTTCCCCAAAGCTTGGTGCCATTGCAGGGTGCTTCCTTTGCCATTGTTTCCCCCATACATGGTGCCCCGTCTTAGAATCCCAGCAATATAGATTGGTTTTTCTTCTTCCTTGGATTAGAAACATTTTACTCTTTCTAACTGGTAAGCTCTGTGGAGTCTACTGAGTTTCAGTTAGCCCAAGGTGACCTGTGGAGATCAGAGCAGGGAGGTTAGGGAAGAATACTAGTGACCCCATATATGGAATGTTTTGCCTTTGTCACTGAAACCCAAGGCCTTCTTTTCCAAATGCATTTGGTGGTGGGGCAGGCGCTTGGTTGGAATAATCCCCTAACAGTGTTTCTCAACCCTTCCAATGCTGTGACCCTTTATTTAATACAGTTCTCCACATTGTGTTTACCCCAACCATAAAGTGATTTTCATTGCTACTTCACAACTATAATTTTGCTACTATTATAAATTGTAATGTGATTTTTTTTTTTTTTTTTTTGAGATAGAGGTCTACTAAAGGGGTTGCAACCCACAGGTTGAGAACCTCTGCTAGCCTTTCTTCATGAAGAGCAGACAGCAGACCTTAGGTTTCCTGTCCTCCTACTGCCCTCTCTCAAGGACATAGGGTTGACTGTGCCAGCTCAGCCAAACCTCAGGCCTCTCCCACATCACACTTCCCCAGGCAACAGGTGTATGAATTTCCTCTGCCCTACCTAGTGCTAAAGGGGCAGGAGTCAAGTATGGCCTCTGCCTTTGTGGAGCTCAAGATATAGCTGGGAAAGGGCCAGTAACTACAACAGGGCACACATGACGTGGCCAGCAAGGATGTGCTGGCAGTTCCCCCAAACTCAGTATAGACAATGAGGTCAGGAGGGGCCCCAAAGATGGGATCTGAAGTGAGTCTGAAGTTGTGTATTGGCCAGGGGGCCTTTGTGAGGAAAGTGTGGGAATAATGACCCAAGTACAGCAGCAAATGGCAGGAGGGAGGCTGGCTAACCTGAAACTTGGGGACAATGGGACCCAAAGCACAGGTAAGCCCTGGAACTGCTGAAGAGAGCACAGCAGGGTGGCGGCCTTTCTTCCCCCTTCCATCCTGCTGTTGACTGTCCTCCCTGTTGGCTGCAGTGATGGTGGTAACCACCTTTATCAGGCGGCTAAGTGACAGTCCCATGCTACTGACCCAGTTTAATCTGCTCACGGGTCACAAGGAAGGAGCGCCCAGAGGGAAACAGAAGGTCTCTCCTTTAAGGTCAAGGTGTGGGGCACAGCCAGTACCAGGAGGACTTCATGGAGGAAGTGACGATTGTTCTAGGTGGGCAGTCACTGGTCTCTCCAGACCTGTCCACACACCCGCAAGCCCACAGTTTCCCACTCAGTCCCTCAAGATGCTGCAGCCCAGAAAGGGAAAGAAGGGTCCCCCCAGTGTCTCAGTTTCCCAGTTTCTTCACTGCCAGGGCACCAGGCCACCCACCTCTTTGCCAGAACTCACCCACAGCTCCGGCAGGCTTGAATCTGCCCACAGACGATCTGGAATGGGACAGGTTATGGCGAGGTTAAGGGTGTCAGAACATGGTTGAAAGTGCTCTGGCTCCAGTCCCGCTGCTGGCTGTTCCTTTGCAGATTCTCTTTTCTTTCTCCTCTGCCGAGAGCACGATGACTTCATGTTACTTTTCCGTTCTGTGGTCCTTTTGAGCATTCTGAAGCTGGAGCCCTGGTTTGTGGTTAGCTTACCCCAAAGCATTGAGGCCAATCCCAGGGGTACATTACATGGTCTATGCCACATTCAGACACAACCTCGGGGAGGCCTTTCTTCCGAGATGAGGGGGTGATGTCAGGAAGAACAGCTGTAATCTCGGGGACCCTCATCTGCTGTTCTCCTGGCCACACACCTGTGTGGGAAAGAGTATCTGCTCTACAGCCTGGGCCACTGTGCTGTCTCCTGTGCCCTCAGACAGCAGGTGTGAGCTCTAAGCACCACACACTGGCAGAGGTGGTGAGTGGCTTTGTCTGCCCATACCTGGACTAGAACTCTCCCAGCTGCATGGCCCTTGGCCCCCAGTCCTGGCTGCAGCTTGCACACCCTATACACTGCTGAAGAGGATTGCTGTTTGGGCAGAGCTCATTCTCTCTGGGCCCGTTCTGCTGCTTCCTTGGCAGATTTGGGGAATCCTTGTATAGTGGTAGAGAAGGGACACACCCTTGGGGACATTCAATCCCACAGCCTTCCAGCAATCCTAACACCCTATGTTAAGTCTCCTCACAGTACCGCCAGGCAGCAGAGAGATGTGAGAAGTGTTCATACTTCAGAATTCTTTCCAGATCTGAGTTTTAAGAAGTTAGTGGAGGCTAGACTCGCCTGCCAGACTCGCATCAGGCTTGGGGGCCATTTCACCAGCCCCCCAAGATGATTTTCTTAAAATCACCCTCATCCATCCCCATCTATTAGCTAACTTCATGGTGGCAGAGCAGAGTGGAGGAGATGTAGCAATTAAGGACCACATGATGGAGCAAAAGCAAGGATGAGACCAGGGACAGATGTCCCCAGAAGAAAAATAGTGCCGTTGTGTGACAGGCAGAGGAAGAGGGGCTGTTTGAAGTAATGGGCTTTTCTACCTACTCAGAAGTTAGAACTGGTGTCGGAAAAGGGTGACTGATGCAGGGACATTTAAGGCTTGCTGTGGCCTGAGCCTTGAGACATGATCTCACACTGTAACCAGGCTGTCCTCTCTCAGCCTCCCAAATGTTGAGATTATGGGTGTGTGGCCAACATGCCCATTTTAACAAGGTTCCAAACAGGTTTATTGGGCAAACCTAGAAACACCCTCCCCTGGGGTCCTTGGAGTATTTTTTTCAGGGTCCTGTTGAATTCATTCTGTTAGAACAGATGTAGTTCCTTTGTGGATTTTTACTTTCCTGAAAGATTAAAGAGAAAAATGCAATGCAATTGCCTACCTGACCCTGGCCATCAGCCAAGGCCCAGGGGCCTCCCTTTGTGAGCCACTTGGGTCACATTTCTAGGAGTGGCCACCATCTAAATAAAACTGAAAGGAATTTGAGAGTGCCTTTCTTCCCCAACCCCCACCCCACCCTAGGCCTGGAGCCATAGGCTGCCACTCCTTCTCCAGAAGTGTCGTAATTACACTCCTTCATCTGCTCTCCTCACACTGGGTCAGAACATAGTCCTGAACATTCCTTCTGGCTCCCGGGTTCTGGGACACAAACACAGAATTACTAGATCTTGAGAGGAATCCAAATCTTCATGGTTTGTATGTGTGACAGCTAGACAGCGGTGTCCAGGTCAGTCAGCAACCACATCCCTGTCAAAGCCCTTCTAAGGGAAGATGAGGGACAGAGCTGCTACCAGAGCCTAGCACTGTGGGTGTGGCCTGGCTGAGAGCAAAGCATAAGTTTCCTCCCAAACAGGAGGAAAAAGACATGATCAAAAGACCTTTGATCCCTCCAAGCCATTGCAGGTTCAATCCTCCCTATCTCTTCTCCCTCTCACTCCCTCCTCTCCCCCTCCTTCCTCTCTCTCTCTCTCTCTCTCTCTCTCTCTCTCTCTCTCTCTCTCTCTCTCTCTCTCTCTGTCATCTATAACTTCCATCTCCCTCTTCCTCCAGGATCTCATGTAGCCCAAGCTGGCCTTGAACTTGCTACATAAGTGAGAATGACCTGGAATTCCTGATCCTCCCACCTTTACCTTCAAAATGCTTGGATTACAGGCATGCATGACCACACTAGGTCTTCATTCAGTGCTGGGGATCAAACCCAGGGCATTGAGCATAGTAGGCAAATGCTCTGTCGGGACACATCCCCAGTCCATAGAAAGAAGTTTCAGAAACATCCTCACTTGGGCTGGGGATGTGGCTCAGTAGTAGACACTTGCCTAGCATGTAGACAGCCCTGTTCTTGATCCTCAGCATTGAAGAAAAACAACACCACCACCACCAAAAAACCTTCATCTAATTCTTCAGTTGCCTTCATTCCTCTTGTGCTTTAGCCGAAGTTCTAACGTGCTGGTTCCACCTGCTGTTGCTCTCAACACCATCTGATCTCATGCCATTCTTAAGTTTCTAGCCAGCCTGTTATTTGTGAGTATGGGGGGCCAAGTTACACCCCCATCACTCTGTCTGTGACTCAGTTAAAGACTGGGATCTGTTTGGCTTCACATGCAGCTATGTAAACTTCAATCCAGAGGGATTTTTGTTTTGTTTTTGTTTTTTAATTGGACCCGAGTTTATGTGCATGTAGATTGTTTGTTTAGGCTATGGGTTGCCTTTGGGGGGGGAGTCACATGTCAGATATCCTGCATATCTGATATTTACATTATGATTCATAACAGTAGCAAAATTAGTTTTGAAGTAGCAATGAAAGTAATTTTATGGCTGGGGTCAGTACAACATGAGGCGCTATATTAAAGGGTTGCAGCATCAGGAAGGTTGAGAAACACTGATGTAGATTATGGCTGCAGGAAGGAAGAAGCCAGGGCAAAGGAGACATACTTTTCACATGCTGCTACAGCTTGGCCTTCTTCCTTGCCTCTGTCCTTGCTATAAAAATCTTCACCAGTCTCCTGAGGAGGACACAATGACCCTGAGGAGGACATAATGACAAGTATGGTAACCACCCTAGGGTGACCCTCTGAAATATCTGGTTAGATTCAGAACACCAATGTCAGTTTGCCTTGGATACCTGCTCCAAACCATGTTCAGTTTCTCCTCTTGTACTCCTGGAAAGATGGGTTAGGAAGTCCTGCCAATGAAAAAACTAAATCAAGAACCCCACACAGTGATCTTCAAATGAGAGTGCTACCTAATCCCCAAGAAGATGTAGGCACTGCACTCCTCTGAGAGTTGAGGTTCTAATGCCTCAGTCTAGGACAGAGCTGGAAATGTCCACAAGGGCTACTGATCCAAGAGCCAACTGAGAGACTTCCTGGGTGGAGGAGTCCAACCCAGGAGTGCCATGGAGGGCTGTTACCTATATCAGGCTTCTGTTTCAGATGTCACCTTCTTTTCTAGATGAAACCAGTGGGCCACAAAGATGAGCTAATTGATACACTTGAGAGGAAGATGATGAAATGTCCGTCTCAGGTAGGAGACACTGGCCTGGGGAGACGAGGGTGGCCACATGGACTTAACTGAAAAGTGGAGTCTTACTATGACATAGCCCCAAGAGTCTTGGTCTGTTGTTCTGAGCCTGTGCAGGTTGTACATGTAGCTGTCCTAAAACTTATTCCTGTGGACTGTGAGCAGTACTAGTGGAGTGAAGGCCCTTCATACTGTGGAAATCACAGGGATGGAGCCACAGTTCACCTGGCCCTCCAGCTATGTCTCACTAACAGCATTCTTGGGGCCCCAGGTGCCACTGAAAGCCTTCCTCTCCCTCAGGAGGCAGGGTTGATGGGTTCCTACGGAGTCTTGAAGGCTGTGTCCTAAATGTACCCAACATGTAACAGATACATAGGTAATCTTTCCAAATACATGGATGAGGAAAGAACCAGACATCAGCCAGAGGAATCCCTTCTCATGGAATGCAGGTTGACTGGGGAAGGGTGTGCTTTCTTGATGAATTATAAGTTTGTTGTGGCTAGGCAAACCTCTTTCCCTCTTTGCTATGGCTTCCAAGAAGCCCAAAATGAGACCTCTTCTGGTTGAGGCACATGTGTTTAGCCTGTGATAAACCACTGAGATAGGGAGATAGAGAGCATCGGAGATGGCTGTTTTGCGGATGGGCCATTTCAAAGCCCTGGAGACCTACTTTAGGGGGCCAACAGGCAGCAAGAAGAAAAGGGGCACAGAAAGGTTGGATTCACGCAGAAGATGGTATGTGTGCAAGTGCAATCTTAGTGTCTGGCCACAGTCCAGGCCACGACACCCACAGCAGTCCCCTCGCCCCTCCCAGAAACTGGCAGGCACCTACTGAGTCCCTAGCTAACAGACCTCTGGGGCCAGGGTCTCCTGCTTGGAAAGTGGATGTATAGCCAAAGGGTTAGTGATCACACGGCCTCTTCCCAGCCCTTTCCCTGGCTCCTGTCTGGCTTACACTGTGACACCTCCCCCATCCTCATTCTGCCACTTGGGCTCTGTACCGCTCTTCAAAGCTGACATGCTGTCTCTCTCTGGTGCTGGACTCTGAACTGTCCTCAGAGCCCCGCCATGAATGTTGTCTCTCGTGAGCCCCACCCTGCTGCCACCTGAAATCTTTCAACATGAGTGTTCCAGTTAACCATATTGGTGATGATGGGCTTGATTATTGTGGGATGGAGAGCTCTGGGTCATGGCTCCATGTTACCTTTCTCTGCAGGAGAGTCCCTATCTGTTTACCTATAGAAACAGCAACTACCAGGCCAAAACGTTGAAACCCATTGCAAAGCTTCAGGTAAGGGAAGGGCAGACTGGAATCTTTGTAACCTTCCACTTGGTTCTGTGTGACCTGAAAATTCCATTTGCCTCTGGGCATGCTGAAAGCTGCAGAATTAATGGAAACTGCAATAGGTACCTGGAATTCAGCCAGGGCAGGCTTGGTGGAGGGTGGGAGTGCTTATAAAGGACCTCAAGTGTACGTGTGGCTTTCTTTGATGGCCTAGATCCACACCATCTTAGACCTATCTCCATATGTCTCTCATGGCATCATGAGATGCCGGGGTCCCATGGCACTGTGACAAGGTACTCCAGACCCTTCACAAATCTCTGGCTAGCCTTTGAAACTTGAATCTGAGGAGAAAGAAAGTAAAAATGTCAGGGAAGGGGAAAAGTGGAGTGAGGTCTGGATCCAGGTAGTCTGGGGACTAGATAGCCTTCCAGTCTACCGTACCCAAGCTGCTCACCTCTCATTGCAGCTTGATTACGATTTATCTCAGTCACCTGGGCTCTTGCTGCTGAGATTAGATAGGACACTTTGCACTCCTCAGGAAATGCAAACACCCAAAGTTTGAAGTGTTTGTTCTCAGAGAACCAGGGCAAAGGTAGATAAAGATGACTTGGTCCTTCCCTTCTCATGGGAGCATCCACTCCATGTGGTAGTGTGGATCTCCACTCTTGAAGAGACCCAATGTGCAAGATTCCCGGGTTACCAATAGGCCCCGTGTTAAAGGTTTTTTGTTGTTGCTGTTGTTTTGGTTTCTCTGTATAACAGCCCTTGCTGTCCTGGCTGTAGACCAGGCTGGCCTCTAACTCACAGAGATCCGCCTGCCTCTGCCTCCTAAGCGCTGGGATTAAAGGCGTGTACCACCACTGCCTGGCTGAGCCCCGTATTTTCTAATATCATAGGTGCACCTAGAAGGAAGCAGGCACAGTGAGAGGAAGCTGCTAATTCTATGTTCAAATCCAAAGACTTTCATATCTTGGCTCTGTGTCAATAAGCAAAGCCCTTAGCCTCCCTGTGCCTTTAGTTTTTCATTTAGAAAGTAGCGAGTATAACAGCCTTACTGCATAGCGCTTTAAAGTGTGTTATAAAGTGTGTTAAGAAATAGAAGCACTTATTCCAGTGTCTGGAATGCAGTGAATCCTATTGAAGTATTGGTATTGTTTTCTAGGTTTTGCTAATTTCCCTCAGGATACATTATTAAGTCTCTCCTACACCTCTAGAATGCAAGCTCAGAGAGGCAAAGACTCAGGGTCAGTGTTGGCATGTGTCCTTAGGTGATTAAGTAGATGGATAGGATTCTAGACTTGAGACTTTAAAACACAAATAAAATACACTGCTGGTTTAAAAGGACACAGTTTGGTAGAAAGACAGATACACCAGCCAGCAATTACATTCACTGTAATAGCAAATGGAATTAAAAATTTGCATTGGGTCTTCTGGGAATACAGAGGAAGAAAAACAAATTCAAGGTTAAAAATAACTTTCCTAAAGATACCCATGGTCTTGGTTTTGAAGAATGACTGGGGATGAGCCTGGTGGATAAAAGAGAAGGAAAACTGAAGAGAATAAAAGGAGTAGGGGGATGGCTTAGGCAAAGGCTCAGAGGTATGGGAGAGTATCGAGATTTGGTCAAGGACGGACTAGATTGGAGAAATGTTACAATCAATGGATTTTATGCTGAGGTTGGTATATGGTTGTCATTTATTTGTTCAACAAGTCATATTTTCTATAATGCTTGGCACATGATATTAACAGCATAGACAGGATGGCCTGGCCTCACTGAGAATTTATGCAGGAGAGGGTCACAGTTACATCTTCCTGAGAGAGAGAAACCACTTTGAATGGAAAGGAGAGCCCCCCCCCCAGTCTGAAGGAAGTCACACTGTTGAGGACTATGCATTCCGAGCAAGAGTATTAAAGGCTCGAGCTCCGGTGGAAGAAGAGACAATCAGAGCAATGTGTTGTGGACAGTGAGCTATGAGGTTGAAAGAGCAAGCAAGATCTTAACAGACATGACAGTTCTATTCTGTTTTAATTGTAAGTGGTTGTTTTCAATATATCCCCCTCCCAGGCTCTACTCCAGTAGATGCTTGTGTTTATTTATTTCCCTGTGGGTATCATTTCAGGTGAGAGAAGGCACAGAATTCAGCTGTTCTGACAAGGACCCCTCGGACACAGTCCCCACAACAGGTACATGGTTATTGTGTTTAGTGAGTTTTCAACTCACTTGAGGTATAAAATCTAAGTCACAGCAACTTTAAGATGACAAGGATTCCCAAGTTCTGAGCCAGGTGGGTGAACAGGTCCAAGACAGTGTTTATGGCCCTGTGTGATGACATAAGGTCATATTTATGCTTGATTATTCTTTAACTAAACTAATAGTATCATTATCAGAAAGCATTTATTGAGCGTTGATTCCATGTCAGGCCATGTTGGGCAAGGAGCCTAAGGGTTCTTCAGTGTATTGTTTCTATCTTAAAACCTTGATGGATGGATTTGTTCATTTAAAAAAATTACTTTTAAACAGAAAGAAAACTTAGTCCCATACTTAACCCAAGAATTGTGCAGAATGTGTTTAAAGGCGGCACAGAATAGGGAGGCCCAGAAGATTAAAAATGTGTCTTTTCTCTCTGTAGCTCTTTTCTCCCCCACCCCCTTCTCTTTCTCTCTCCTCTCTCCTTCCTCCCTCCCTTTCTCTCAAGACAGGGTTTTATCTATATAGTTCTGGCTATCTTGGAAATCACTCTGTAGACCAGGCTGACCTCAGACTCACAGAGATCTGCCTGTCCCTGCTCCCAGAGTGTTGGGCTCTGAATATGCAACTCATGGAATATTCTAGGCAGTCATTAACAGTCTTTCTAAAGAAGAAGTTTTCTTTGCAGGTGAAGTAGCTTGGGAAGTCATGTGTGCACATATGGGAAGTCACATGAAGGTGTTGGTGGGACTCAGGTGACTCAGAACCTTAGCTAAAACATTAGTGCTATGGGCTCTCATGCTGGGCATTAGAGGATAATTAGACATGCTCATTTCTCAGCTTGCTGGCTTGTTCATTTGTTGGCAAATTGTTGAATATCTCCTGTGAGCCCTTCAGGGATATCTGTCCTAGCTGATCTAATTTAACTTCTGACCTGGATTACTGAAAAGAGAACCAAATTTGGAGAAATCACAATACCTATAAGGAATCTTACATTTGTTGTAATATGTCTCCTTGTGTTGTGAGTAGATCGAATTAGGCACCATGGCTTAACTTGCCTTTCCCAAGTGTCTTGCCTTTGCACATGAAGATTAAGACATATGATTGTCAAGTGAATTGAAAAATCTCACTAGAGCCTGGATACAAAATTTCTTCTTCTCTTGTAATGTAACAGAGTAGGCAATGGAATTTAATCTGCTATCTCTTACTGTAACAAAATACCTGAAGCTGGGACCTTAAAAGAAATCTATTTATTTAGCCCATGGTTTTAAACCTTGAATATCCAACATTAGAAGGCCTTTCTCTTTGGTGATGCCCTCTGTGGCAAAGTTACAACATGGTGGAAATGGAAAGAGCATTGACAAAATGAATCATGTGTTGGGGTCACCTTCATTTGTAACTACCCACTCTCGTGAGAATGAATTCACTTTGCAAGGCCAGCATTAGCCCTGTCCAAGGGCAGTTCCCCAGCTCCCAGTGCCCTAATTACTTTGCATTAGGCCCATCTCTTCGGTCTGTACCTCCTGCATACCACCACATTGAGGACCAAGCCTCCAGGATTGAGTCTTTGGAGGACCAAACTACATCCAAGCCCCACAGAAGTGGTACAGATCTTAATCAAAGATGAGTTTAGTCCCTAGACTTCTTGCTCCTATGTTTGATGACACTGCATTCCTATCAATTTATTTACTGGGTGGACTTTAACAAGACAAAGAAATGATCGTCTTTATATGTGTGCCCTTTCATAGCAAAATGCCTTACTCTAAAACATGATAGAGGTGTATGTACAGAGATATGCATATATCTAAACGGAGATAGAATATCAGCTTACTCTAAAACATGATAGAGATGTATGTACAGAGATATGCATATATCTAAATGGAGATAGAATATCAGCTTAAAGGTTCTAATAGCCTGATTTAATCTTATCATTCTGAAAAGATGATGTATAAAGTATTTTGCAATCTCCCTAAACTGTGTTTATGTCATGGCAACCATCCATTAGAACCTATCTCCACATCTAGAACCAGATAAAGTACAGTTTCTCCCTTCCTCGCTGATCCTAGAGACCATTGTGTTTATGAGTGATCGGAGGATTCAGGAATAGATCTCCAGACTTTGCAATCTGAGATACCTCGGTGATAGGCACTGTTTAAGTAAACAGATAGATGATCCAAGCCTCCACTGAGTTACCCAAATAGCCTAGGACTGAACCATGAATGCTTGTCCAGTGAAATTCACACTCGATTAAGAATGTTTGACTAGACTTCTGAGTTCCCTGGAAGGTACCCATCAGGAAAACAGCCACACATAAGTGAGAAGGAAAACACACTTCATTTTTCTGCCACGGATCTATGAGTATTCTAACCATGTTTACAACTGAAATATTTCCACATTAAAAAAGTGGGGGGGGTCAGCAAAAGACCACATTACTATTTTCCTTTGATTGTTAACTATGTTTCTGGTAGGTTTCTCCCCTTTCTGGAGACAATGATTGCTAATTGAAATGAGATCATATGAGATCACATCTTTAGAATTGTCCATTTCTTATATCTCCACTGGCCCAGCAATTAGTGGGAGGACCCACTAATACTTACTGAGTATCCCTGACTTACTGATTAAATTCGTCCATTGAATTCTCATAGTTGATATGTCAACTAGGCCACAGTACCACCACTCAAATGTTGTCACCAAGACTATGGTGTAAAATAACTATTCTGCCTTCCAAATTATTTTCAAGCCAATTTTTGTAGTTCTTTCCTAGTATATCCCCTCAACCCACAGATGCACAGATCAAAATTGATGTTACAAAATAGATTACTGCCTATCATCTGAGGCCACTTATCCCTGCATCATTTCTTAGTGAAATTAATGAATAGTGAAATTAATTAATTTCTTACACTCCTATGTACAAGGTGCCCATTTATCCATATACACGTAGATTAAAATCTCCAAAGGCAGAAATGGGGTTTTATTCTAATGTCAATAAATTACCATCATTGTGGAAATCTTTTCATAAAATCCTTAAAATTGCAGAACAAATAGATTGGGAAGCCCTAGCTAACAAAGAAAGCAAATTGACTTTTTTAGATTACAGCACTGGATGGTTCAAGTTGTTGAGCTACACAAGAATAAAACAACCAAACTGCTAGTCACTACTCCTGAGTATGAATGTCCATGAGTTAATGATGAGTGTCTAGTGAACACTTCGTTCCTGATAACATTTATCTAATCAGGTCAGGTCACATAAATTTAATCTTATCTCAAAATAGTTGTCTTTCCAAAGAGAAATTGTTAAAGCATTTTACTAAATTTCTGAGTCTTTAACATATGCAGTGGTATTAATAAACCTCAAACCAAGGTCTACAGAATATTAAACCAAAGAAATGTATAGCCTGTATCATATTACCAGAATGCCAGATAAGCCAACTCCTTCTACCAAGCTATGCTTTATATGGCCTAGTCTCTCTGGTTGAAAATACAGTGTGGCCAACTAGAGAAGTCACTCCAGAAACAAACCACACACACACACACACACACACACACACACACACACACACACACACACACCACAGTAAGGGAACAGACATCTGTATATGTGTGCATATATTCTATTTCTATCCACCAAATTTTAAGATGTTTGAGCTGCTTTTATATTTCAAATTTTATTTTGCATGCACATGTATAAATGTGTGGGGGTGAGCTTGTGCCATGGAGTATGTGTGGAGGTCAGAGGTCAACTGACAGAGTTCTCTTTCCACTCTGTGGATCCTAGGGACAAAACTCAGGTTTTTAAGCATGATGGCAGCAGTATTTTATCCACTTTTCTCAGCCTATAATAAATGTTGGAGCTGTGAAAGCAAATCTGCCCATTGCCTTCACATTTTACCAACTCCAAAGACTTGTCCTAACCTTTGCATACCAGTTGACATTCAGAGAATTCACTATTATGGCCCTGAGAATATAGTAATTGACTGTCATCAACACAAGCTAAAATAAACCACTTTGGAGTTGAGGGGATGGATCTTATTTTCTGGTGTGCTTCCCCTGCCCCCACCCTCCATAGCCTGATTTCTTCGGGAAGAGGTCATTTTAAAGTTTCCATGCTTAGCCCTGTAGGCGTGTGTTAATGTGTGCAGCTGGGTTTGTGATTTGATATTGTTCTGCTAACCACATAGAGTAGCTGTGGAAAGCTGGGAAAGGCCACGTAGGCTGTAATCACGCAATAGGGAATGTGTGTGTGTATGCACGTGTATGTGGTGAATTCGAGACATGATGATAGAGGAAGACTCTAAAGATGCTTAGTGACTGTAGAATCTCAAAACAAGATGGAAAAGCAGCCAGTGTGTGAGCAAATTTGTACCTAGAACAGGAAGAAAACAGTGATGGTCTCTTCTACAAATGCAGAAATGGACCAATGCTTAAAATGAAAGTGTTTCTTAGTACTTCTCAAAATGTGATACCCAGACAGCACTGGGTGCAGCCATAGTGCCCAAGGGATTAGTTAAACATACAAATTTAGATTCACTAAAGACCTAATGAGTCTAAAGCTCTTGGTGGGGAGCAGTCATGTGTGATTTAACCAGCTCTCCAGGTGACTCTGGTGCTCAACCCAGTTGGAGGACCGCTAGTCTATACAGTGGAGGACTGCTAGTCTATACAGTGGAGGACCGCTAGTCTATACAGTCTCACAGGCATGCATTCGTGACCCCACATGTGTTACTTTACATCATGTCCTCAGAAACCCCAGGGGCTTTTCCCAGTGAGAATCCTCAGTGGAGCCGGCAGCTGCTACTCTTTGAGAAGTGTGAACGTGGTAGAGGTATTTCTATGGAAGGACAGCAGAGATGTATCTAATGCACCCTTCCCCCTGGAGAGTGATGCAGCCAAAATTACTCAAGCCTGAGTTGGCTGCTGGTGGGAGCTAGGTACACCACTGTGAAAGATAAGTCTCTCAACTCCTTCCCTGAGATACAGGGAAATTAGGTCCAAAGTCTTCCCCAAAACCCTCACTTTCCATTCACCCCAGATTTGCTTTCTAGTTCACAGGCTGAGACCAGCTGACATCAAGGTGATCGGGGCAATGGGTGACTCTCTCACGGTAGGTGGCTTCAACTGTAGGAGGAGTAGGAGATTTTGTTTATGCTTTTGAGACCGGATTTATGTACCTCAGGCTGGCCTCAAATTCACTACATAGCTGAGGTTGACCTTGAACTCCTGATCTTCCTGTGTCTACCTCCCAAGTGCTGGGGTTACAGTTGTGGGCTACCATGTCTAGCTGGGAGAGGAGATGTTAGTGATCATGAAAACGTGGAACTGAAAGTTAAGGTTTTAATCCTAGCCTGTTTCTGGTCCTGATATCCAAACCCTCCCTCCAAACCCATCTAACATGCCTTGCACAGTGTGGTTTTCATTCCAGCCTCTACATTCCTCTCCCAGTGCTTCAGAAGTAGAAGGGACCTTGGGGGAACATGAGTGACAAAATGAAGCTAAACAGCCCATGTCTAGAGTAGAACAGCATCTCCTGCCATGAGTGTCTCCAAAGGTCCAGCCAGTCCTGGTTGCCCATGTAGAAAAGCTAAGAGATTACTTCTCATACAGGCAAGAGAGACGATGAGCTAGGAGCAAGTGCTGATGGATATGAAGGTAGGGGTGAGAAATGAGGGTCAGTGGAAGGAGAGGTCCCAGACATGAACAAACCCACCTCTGGAGCTGGCCTGTGGTGATACCCCAAATAAAGCACACATCTAAAAAGTCAACCCCATAGAGAGCTTGAAGGGGTTAGTCCTCAGAGGTTCCAAGAAGCAAGTTTCTATTTAATGGTCACTACTGGTGGAGTCCAGCTGTTTCTCCAGATGCTGTCCCCTGGAGCAGCATCTCCACGTTTGAACTCTACAAGGACAATTTTGACCTAGTCACAATGAAGTTAGCTTGCTCTGTAGCCCCATGACAAAAGTCTTGTGAGGTCTGGCATTCCTCAAATTTGACCAATAAGGAAAGATGCAATAAGACTCAGCTTCTGAGTCTAGAAACCAGGCCCAAGAACTCAGAGTCCTTACCCTGGGTTCAGAATGTTAGCTCTATTGCCACCTTCTCCATATGAGACCCCAGCAGTTCCTTATCTCAAAAGTCCTACTCTGTGTCACTCCCTCCCTGGGAGAGACTGGCAGGCTTACCATCTGTGTATGTTAGCCACTTCCTGCTGAGTGAGATCTTGCTATCACCCCCACCCCTTATCCTCCTCCATGGTCTCCTAGAAGACGTTCAGGACAGAAATCCATAGAGAATCACACAAGCACTCAGGACTTCCTGGGGGAGGCCGCAAGTGTGATATGGTAGCTGGTAGAAAAGGGAATTAGGTACCAAACTGCAGCATAACCTGGGGATTTCTCCCAGAGTTTAGAAATATGTGCTTCAGGAGAGGAGATGCCTTAAAGTACATCTCACTGCTATTTCTCACCTGTGCATATGTGGGGTGTGATGTGGAAGTTTAGCATATGCATCCTTTGATTATATGTTTCACAACTTTCAAAAATGGACACAGCACCTTCAAGCATGTGCTTTTGAAAAGTACGTGCTAGTCTATAAGTCTGTGTAAGCTTCAGTTGCTGTCTAGACAGGATTCCCCAGGAGGAGGGTTAGCTATAGATGGCACCTTTCCCAGTGGGATTGAACGCTCATCCCAGAAAGGTCAGAGATGGATCCATAGGAGGTTCCATCTAGATTCAAGAACTTTCCTAGGTGCCCTGCCCAGGCTAAGGGGATGGACAGCTGTGGATCCTGAGCAAAAGCAGGGACACCCACCCATTATTTGCTTTCTCTTTCAGGCAGGCAATGGGGCTGGGGCCAAGCCTGGGAATGTCTTGGATGTTCTAACTCAATACCGAGGCCTGTCCTGGAGGTGAGCAAGGCACAGAAAGCCCCTGAGACTTCTAGAAAACAGTACATCGAGTGGGGGATGTGCAGTCTAGTTCTTTCTATAACAAATTTCTAAATTCACCTTACTGACCTCCCCAAAAGACTACCACCCCCATAACAGGAGGTGCGGATAGGAATTCTGGGGAGTGAAGGTGCACAAACATTCCTAGAAACCAATGCTGTCTCCTTTGAAAGCTTGGGTTGGGAGACCATGACTCAGGTGCACTTTCAAAAAGGGCTTTTCCAAGCTAAACGGGAACAGAAAGACCAGGGGAAGCTAGTGACAGTCATGGAGAAACTAAGTGGCACCGGGCTAGCCACAGTACAAGCTCTCTGGATCCGGAAAGGCAGTGAAAGAGACCAATTTAGTTCTCCCTGCTCCAACATCAGAGCGGGGCTCAAAGCTAAAATGATAAGAAAAGCAGCAGCCTCAGTTAAAGGTCTTTGTTTGCTCTGGCGTACAGGGCTTGGAGAGGGAAGGAGTTGTGTTCTGATTTGGATTTTTAGTTCTCTTGAAGAAATGTTGGGTAAAGGACCCAGACCTGTGATTCGGGAGGGAAATTTGTTTTGTTTAGGCATCACTGGCATTTTAAACCTTCATTTTCCTTCCTCCTCCTCATCAACAGCGTTGGAGGAGATGAGAACATCAGGACCGTGACCACGCTGGCCAGTGAGTACCTTGGTGATTTGGGGTGGGGTGGCTACGCCTGAGCCCATTGCGTCCCCTACTGGCCGCCTCTGACCTCACAAGGCAGCAGGACTCAGCTGCGTGCAGTAGGGGACGCTGCTTGCCCGTGGCTGCCATTCTGGCTTGGCTCATGAGCTAATTGGTGTTTTTCAACGGAAATCGCCTTTATCCAATAAATGAATTGTGAGAAAAGAAGAGAGAGCTTAGACCAAATCTTAGAACAATCATTTAAAAATGGTCCAATAAAAAAGGATTGGCCTCCCATTCCGGACACAGAGCCTATCTGGGAAGCTTTCCACCTGGGAGGCTTGGGCATCTGTTCACAAGGACTTTGCTGCAACAATTGCAGCAGCAAGAGACAAAGTTACCTTGCTCAGGCTGTGCAAATGCAGCCGTATTTAGAGCTCAAAGTTTTCCTTAGTACTTTGCAGACAGCCCACACGGATGAATTTTTAAAGCCTAGCTACATTTTTTCAGAAGGTCTCTCTGCCTTTAAACTTTTTGGCTATGGCTGTTGGCAATGATTTCCATTATGCTATCTGATTCACTATCATTAGTACTGCCCACACCAGTGTTTATTGGTTTTTTTTGTTTGCTAGCTTTTTGTTTTTCAAGACAGGGTTTCTCTGTGTTGCTTTGTAGACTAGGTTGGTCTTGAATTCACAGAGGTCCTCCTGCCTCCGCCTCCTAAGTGCTGGGATTAAAGGCGTGCACCACCACTGCCCAGCATTCATTTAATAAGGTGTTGGGCAATATTTACCATGAATACTTTTCTTCATAGAAACACCTAAAGGTTTTCCCTGGGGTGAGGGTGGGGGGTTGGTTGGTTTTATTCTTCCTGCTTTGGTGGGTACATAGCCCTTTGGTATATATCTTGAGCCAAGACATTATTTGAGTTTTAAAAGCCAGCAAGGTTAGACAGTAGGGATGCTTAACTTACACATTAGCACACCTGATCTGACTTCATGTCTATTTTAGCTCTTGGAAAACTGTGTTGGATTTAAATAAGTATAGTTCGTGTCAGCATTCCCTGTCCCCTGTTGCTAAGAGGTGACAAGCTGCTTCTGTGAGTGGTGATCTTGGTTTTGAGATGGACTGGCAAGATGCCTGGACATCGTATTGCTCAAGATCACTCATCAAAGTGCTTTACAAATGACTGAGATGGTGTCGCCCCCAGGTGGCTTCCCCTGACACACTTAGCCATTCAACCTTCATTCCTAATAGGAGGAAGCAACATGTAGCACTGCATGATTCAGGGGAAACAGATGTGTGGAAAGGTGCTGGGGCAGTGCATGGTCAGGACAGACCTTCTGCCCAGTGCCCTGCTTGGTTTAACCCAGCAAATTCTCCAGTACACAGTGTGTGGGAGACAGAACTCTGCCCTGATGGTATCGGTCAATCTCCAGGGAAGAGTGTGTGCCACCCTAAAGACAAACCCATGAATTGATTGATAATCAGCATGTAGTCAGCAAGGAAGATGAGATTTAGGGGGGAAGAGAAATGTTAGAAATGAAAATCTCAGTGAAATCAAATAATAGTGGAAAGTATTGCCAATAGCTATAACCCTTTAGAAGAAAAATATCAGGGAGTGGGGATAAGATTGATGAAATCTTTGATCAAATAGCAATAAAAAGTAAATGAATATGACCATAATGTCTAAGAACTCTGGGATGTGATCAAGGGGTCAAACCTGAGAATGGATAGCATAGAAGATGAAATAAATACTAAAGTAACACAGAATTATCCAATTCCGTTTATAGCATAAGATTTCTCAAATCTAGAGAAAAATACTCAAAGACATGAGACATTTAGAATTCAAAATAAACCTGGCCAATGAACCATAATGTGTTATAGACAGTATATCAAAAGTTAAAAAGCAAAGAAATAATATTAATAGCTGGAAGGGGGAAATGCCAACTCACCTACAAAGGCAAGTCCAGCAGAATGACAGCAGGTCTCATTAGCCACCATAAATGTCAGTGTGGAATTGTATATGTTGTACATTCAAGCCCTGAAAGTAAAGAACTGCCAATCAAAATTACTATATCCAGCACAACTATCTTTAAAAATTGTTGAAAATAATATTTTGAGAAGAAAATGAAGAAAATAACATTTTGATGGAGAAAAGCCCCAAACTGGACAGATTTACTAATGAATTCTACCATACCTTTGGAGAAGAGCTAACAGCAGTCCTAACCATTCCATATAACAAAGGGGACAAGAACACCACCTACCTCAAGCTACATGACAAGCATCATCCTATACCAATCCTGCTGAACACAGGATAGCATAAAAAGGACCCATTTCCTTTGTAACTATAGATGCAAAAATTTTCAACAAAATACTTGCAAATGAAATTCAAGAACACATTGAGACCATATGTAAGTTCGTTTCATTCCAGAGATACAAGGATGCATTGACATATACAAATTAGTACAGGCAGAAAATACACAATCTCAATAGATGCAGTAAAATACTTCCAACAGCCCTTGACAATAAAAACCCTTACAAGGACCTGAGGGGGGAAAACCTCAGTGTGTAAATTACAATATTCTATGCCTGATGTAAAGCAGACATTCTCAACCTGTGAGTCATGACCCCTATGGGGGTTGAAGGACTCTTCACAGGGGTCACCTAAGACCATCCTGCATGTCAGGTATTTACCTTACAATTTGCAACAGTAATGAAATTTACAGTTATGAAGTAGCAATGAAAATAATGTTATGGTTGGGGGCCACAACATGAGAAGACTGTCTATATTCAAGGGTTGCAGCATCAGAGAGGTTGATGACCCCTGCTGTAGTCTGAGGTACCCAGCATTCTGTCCCATGATGGGCTGTAAGGTGGGGACTGTGTTTTGTTCTCCAGTTGGCTATGTAATCCCAGCACTCGAGAGGCTTAGGCAGGAAGATCGCCAGTTCAAGGACAGCCTGGGCTATATCAGGTGACCCTGTCACAAAACAGCAAAAGAAAGGGAAAGGGGTTTGGGAAGATTGCTTTGGGGCCATTGATAAACATGTCCTTTGTGTTTCCAGACATCCTCCGAGAATTCAACCCCTCCTTGAAGGGCTTCTCTGTTGGCACGGGGAAAGAAAACACTGCCAAAGCATCCTTCAACCAAGCCGTAGCAGGAGCCAAAGCTGAGTGAGCCTGAGTTCCGGGGGGGGGGGGGGGCTGGGAGAGCTCTCCTTTGCCTGGATTTTAGTGTAGGGTGAAGAGTCAGGGTAAAAGGCTGAAGTGGGCACTCTCAGGAATGTCCTTTGAGGTCAGACACACAAGTCTGGCAATGTACACTCATCCCTACACTAGCAACTAATCAAATTCCTCCGATGCCCTGTATAAACTTAAGTATATCACCTGGCCTCTACCCTCAACCTTATTCCCTCTCGAAGCAGTGGCTGTGAGTGGGCTCATGAGGAATCCCCATTATTAGCTTGATGCTATGGTTTTTTAGTCTTTTTGTTTGTTTTTGAGACAGGGTAGCTCTGTGTAGCTTTGTAGACCAGGCTGGCCTCAAACTCACAGAGATCCACCTGCCTCTGCCTCCCCAGTGCTGGGATTAAAGGCATGCACCACAAATGCCAGGTTGTTTTTGAGTCTTCCACTCCATGCCTTCCTTAGAGGGTCATTCTGGGCTCTGCACTCAGTCTGTGTGCTTCCTGTACTATGGGTTACTGGCATGAGAGGCAAAGCCCTGAATGCCAGCCATTCTTCCTTGTCCTCTACAGCGGCAAGGCTGGTGCAAGCCTCTCTCCACGAGCCATGGATGCAAAAGCTCTAGTGAGCTGTACCCTTGCATGGAGTGGCTGAGGAGGGTGGTCCTGGCACTTACTCAGCAGGGCTGCAGGACTCCCCTGAGGAAATGTCTAGTGGCATGGTGCTGCTGACCTGATAGTCCCTAAAAATTAGCAGATCAGCACTGCCCCCTCCCCAGCTCTGCTTGCATAGTATTCAAAGACTTGAATGTTCCTAGCCAATGAACACACAAACTCCCCATCCAAATAGGGAAATGTGTGAAAAGACCTTTCCTATTTTATCCCAATTTTTCTTCCAGATTTAACTGGAACCAGCTCTCAGGGGTTTCCTGGAGCTATAAACCTCCTCTGAGTAGCTTTCACATTAAACCCTATTGGAAAGACAACCCATGCCAAACCTGATAGATTCTAGAATTAATTTGAAGGCTGACTCTTTCCTTTCCTTGGTGGGGATGGAGTAAAAAGCTAGTGACTTTCCCCTTTCAAAGCTGGCTTTAACATTTACAGAATTTCCCTCCCCAGTATGTATCAGCTAGCAGCACCAGAAGAAAGGCAGCTCTAAACCCGATTAGATCAGGCAGACATGTAAGAATGGGCATTTAGAGTCAAGGCCTATGAGTAACCGCAGAAAGTGTGGCTCATGCAGCCTTGAATCTGTGACCATACTTTTCCCTAGGCCTTAGGGAAGACATCCAGGTGGCAGACAAAAGCAGGGGCAGGGGGCTTGTTCCCATATGATACTTGAAAATATAGCACAAGGATGATAGCTAGCCTGAACAAGTACAGCAAGCTGACCCCAAGGGTCTGGCCTTCGGTCTTACAGACTTAATTCCCTTCTTATATACACAGCAGTGCCTACATTAGACTGCCTTCATGGCTGCCACCCTTGTGTTCCACACAGGAACGCTGTGAGGCGGACAACACAGAGGGATTATTGCCTTTGTTTTTTTATCCGTGGTTAAAAACCAAGCCTGAAGCCACAGAGTACCCATTCCAAACTCGAGTTCAAAGGCAAAGGGGCTGCCCTGATGATGCCATATCCACTGATGAGAAACATGTTAAGTTACTGACTCGAAGACCCCGTCCAAGGTGTCTGATAATCTGGTGTTCCAGGGCCAAGAGCAGAGCAATTGGGTTAGTAGTTAGGACAGGTTAAGCAGTTAAGGCATGGTGCCTGAGGAACTTTGCAGATGCTGACTATGCTAATGACCATAGATATCATTCTAAGAAAGCTTGCCTTGTGTTAGGCACTAAGTCCTTTATGTTACCCTTATTTGAGTCTCTCAACTCCATGAAGAAGGCAAGCCCACTGTTTCACTGTTCGTAAGGTAAAGATATCAAAAGGTGGCCTTGAGGATGCCTGGGATTCAAACCCATGCTATCTGGCTCTTATTCAAGGGGCTGCTTGAATCTCATTGCACCCACGACTTTCCATAAGCAGGTTGATCTGTGTTACAGTTTTTGTTACAGTATGGAGACTGAGCTTATTTATGGTCTTGTTCATGTTAAACAAGCATTTTGCCACGGGGCTAATCCACAGCTCTATATTCATTTTAAACTGAGATCACCTTGTGGGGGGGCATGGCATCTGTTAATATGGGCATAAGTTGAGTGGCACATGATGCAAATCATGTATGTGAGACATATGTGCCTTGAGCAAGCCATGCTTGAGAGACCAGAATATATTAATTAAATACACCCACTAATCTGAAAATAAACCCACTGAGAGTCAGCCCCTCAAATGTGCAAATGTCTTCCCTTCTCAGGAGTTAGTCCTCCCCAGTGGAGCCTGGGTGGAGAAGTTCTGTGTGGGTGGGGCTTCAGTCCTGCCCCCACCACCCCCAGTGTCAATTGCCAATCGCCACTGTCTCTGCTCGATTGCCCTTCTAGTCATTGATCCTCATTAAACTCCTTACTGTGTGTTCCCACAGAGACTTAGTTTCCCAGGCCCAAAAGCTGGTGAGCTTGATGAAGGCAGACAAGGTAAGTCGGGCACATCAAGGTGGGACTCCCTGGAATGGAGGATGAATCCATAGACACAGAAGTCAGTAGTAGGGTGAGAAGTTTCTAGCAGATCTGAGCCCGGTACCTCTGTTCCTTTGCAAATAGAGTTCCATCGCAGTGTTAGCCAGCTGTACAGTGTAGACACACATTATCAGCCAAACTTGGGGCTGTAGATATGTGAGAACAATACAACACAGTCCCATCCTCCAAGAGTTTATAAGAGGAGACCAACATTGAAGGATCGAGCTTATGAAACAGTTGAGTCATGCTTTGTAAAGAGAGTTATGCATAGAGCAGAGGAGGGCACAAAAGGGATAGGTTCCCTGCTTGGGAGGATTCAAAAGGGAGATTAGAGGTGTTTGAGCTGGGTTCTACAGAAGAGTGTAAGATTCTCTCAAGTAAAAGAGTGGTGCAGGCTCAGTGCAGACCTGTTTGGGAGGTAGCCTCAGGTCAGTAAAATAACAAAAGGGGGGTTAAGATCAGCTATGTTTATGTAATGCTATGCACTCCCCAAAAAATCCATTATCAAGAGAGTTTCAGAATGTGCCTGTGTCTACCAAACATCCCTTCATCTCCTCCATCCCTTCTCATCATTCTTTTTCCACCTCATTTGGAAGCAGAAGCCAGAGAAGTGAAGCTTATATGAGCCAGAGACAATGTTAACAGGCTGTGAGAGCCACAACCACCTTTGGGCCATGGTGTGTAGAATATATATATATATGTATATATATATATATATTCCCACATCTCTTCTATACAACCCTATGACTCCAAACACTTCTCTAACTTTCTTTTGTAGAAGGGTAGAATCTAGAGGGAATAGACAAACTATTCCCTCCATATTCTTGGATCTCACATGTTGCTCTGACCATCTGGAATGTTCTATTTTTTTTTTTTCTTTTCTATTTTGGTCTTTTGAGACAGGGTTTCTCTATGTACCTCTGGCTTTCCTGGAACTCTGTGTAGACCAGGTTGGCCTTGAACTCAGAAATCCATCTGCCTACCTCTGCCTCCCTAGCACTGGGATTAAAGGTGTATGTTATATGCCCATCTCCAGCTGGAATTTTTCACAGGTGCCTTTAACTCATGTGAATATCTGAATTAGGAACATTCCTTCTTAATAGAAGGTCTGTCTTCTGTCAAGCTAATTGAGAACCCCAGATTTCTAGAGATTCTAGAGCAACCATCTCTATCTCCCACCCATTTCTTTGCCATGCTAAAGACTGAGAACAAAACTCATAGAGCTCCTGCTAGGGTGGTTGGAGACAGACCTATGTCCTACTGTGCCAAAAAAAAAATTTTTTTTTTGAACTCTCTGATGCATGTGGAACTGCCCATTTGAGAGTTTTCTACTTGATGCTGTTGGTTTTCTATTTATTTCAGACAATAAACTTTCAGGAGGACTGGAAGATAATCACTGTGTTTATAGGAGGCAATGACCTCTGTGCTTCTTGCAATGACCTGGTGAGTCGTCAAGTTGGCCATTGGCTCTTGGAACAAGCATAGCTAGGTCAGGACTCTGTCCATGGCTTGGCATGGATCCAACTGAGGTTCCATTAACCCTAAGACCCAGAGGACATTCACCTGGAATACCGAGGGAGCCTAATCATATCATTCTAGAAAACAAGATAACCTTGTGCTTGGGAACTCTCGCTTGTTTTCATAGCTTATCACAGGTTGGCTCCTCTCTGCAGCACTTGCTGGCCTTGCCATTGCCAGCTATGTGCTGTCCCTAGAGAAAGTGATTTCCCACAGAGGTGGTGAGGCAAGGTTCTGGTCTGCACCTCTTGGAGCTGATGGGAAACCCACAATGGAGGCTGCTGACCCATGACTCCCAATGCTCTCTGAAGGAGACCCCTTAGCCCATACTACCTTCAAGCCCCACACCCACACCTGTGCCACACGCTGTGCCAGTGGTGATCAGTGGCCAAAGAAACACAACCTCTGTCCTTGGTGTTCCCCCCAGCCAGGGGCCAGAAACAAGCAACTCTTTATAACATGAGACACGTCACCACGGGGCTCTGATGATACATAAATAGGAGTCCACAGAGCAGGTTTGGTGTGCGGACAGCATGTAGACTCTCAGCACATAATGCAGGAGACCAGCTGGGACTCAAGGCACATGTGCTGGGCAGGAAGTGAGGGACCTGAGGTAGCAGGGGGTGAGCTCATGCCCTGAGGACAACCTGCCGCCAGCATCTTACAGCGCACTTTCCTGGCATCAGAGTCACCAAGGGCTAGAAAATTTAAAGCTGAGATTTAAAGGACCCCAGGAAAACTGACAGGCTTCTAGGGACAGGTAAGGTTTTGGGGCCTGGGTACCCCTCGCATCTTCCTGAGGGACACAGCTTTACCCCGTTGTAAAATGAGGTCCTCAGATAGATTTTCTTCAGAAAGGGGTTCCACTCCCGTGCTCTGAAAATGGAGCTTGGGAGATGGCCCAGCTAGGTAAATGTCACTATGCCAGCATGAAGGCCTAAGGATAAACCTCTAGCACCCACAGAAGCCAGCTGTGTCAGTGCACACCTGTAACTCCAGTGTGCTTGTGTCTGTGCATACCTATAACCCCAGAGTGCTATGTCAGGGCACACCTGTAACCCCAGAGAGAGACAGAGGTATTCCTGCAGCTTGATACTCAACCAGTCTAGCTGAACAGTAAAGCCTCAGAGTCAGTGCATGACCCTGTCCCAAACATTGAGGCATGGAGAGTCACTGAGATAGATACCTGATGCCAGCCTCTGGCCTGTATATACATATATATATGGATGTCTACTGTATACATCTACCCCCACACACACACTATTCTAAAACCAGATATAAAAATCAAAGTGTATTTATGTTTTGTTTTCCCCCACTGCATCCTTGAAGCAGTTGCTCAGATGTGATTGATGCTGGGCGCATGAGGCTCAGCCCAGACTCTGTGGCCGCACAAGTATAGGACAGATGGTAGAAACAGAGACAATTTACACTACAGTGCTTGAGGTCATCATCTGCTCCAACACCCCCATTTCAAAGGCATTCAGAGAGGTGATTTCACATAGCCAAGGCTTTACCTCTAGTCAATACAAAGTCAATTTGAGTTTTCTCTGGCTCTAGGCAAAAGAAAGGACTCTTCCCTGACAGCCATGAGTTCAGGCATTGTAGCTAGGGCCACCAAAGACAAACTGTGTGTTTCAATATTGCCAACTCTGAAATACAGAAAAAGGAAAAGCCAAGATGGGAAACAATCCTGCTTATAGGGTGGAGATGGGTGACTCGTGGGCCTCAGGAGACTCTTTCTCTGCCTGCAGGTTCACTATTCTCCCCAAAACTTCACAGACAACATCAAGAAGGCCCTGGACATCCTCCATGCAGAGGTATGGACTTAGACCAGATGGGCTGAGTAGCTCTGCCATAGACCTCATCTGTGGCCTGAGAGGCCTAGATGCAGCTCTGGCTTCGTTCTAAGACCACCTTGGCCAGAGTCTGCATGCTCTGGCATCCTTGGAGAGCAGAGATGAAAGTATGGGTGGGGTCGGGAAGAAGTCACATGATCTGAGCTCCAGCCCCCATGTGAAATGCTGATGCTGTGTCACCGAGTCGTCTTGGTGACAGATTCTGTGTTTCTACAGGTTCCCCGGGCCTTTGTGAACATGGTGGAAGTGATTCAGATCATCGGCCTGAGGGAACTGTACAAAGAAACTCAAGTCAGCTGCCCACGGTTGATCCTCAGGTCTGCTAGAAACTTTTGTGTTCCTGGAAGGGTTGTGGGCCTTAGCAGGTTCTTTAGGAAACCCCAGGGCAGAATGTAGGGATTTTCAGACCGCCCCACATTTTAACCTGATGGAGGACATATCAAGGTTTAAAAAACATCAGGATAGGCCTCAACAATCTCCCTAAGGGGCATCTCTTCCTGTTTTCATTGCCATGGCAACCACAGGACCCCCCCTCCATCAAGTAAGGGAGATGAGGATGTTAGAAATGGATTCAGGCCATGGTGATACTTGGGGAGCACTCAGGTCATGGGTGAGACTTGGAACACTCAGCCCACTGCTCAAACCAATTTCCAGCACATCCAGAGCAGAGTAACCGCTTCCCAGAGGCCTGTCCCCAGAACAGTGTTTCGGGTATGTGTGCACTCCAGCTGGGACAAACACAGGGCTACTGTCACTCCTTAGAAGAGAAAGAAAAGAGATCAGGGTCAGCAGGGTCAAGAGGACAGTCTTCTCAGAATGATGCCCTTGAGAGGCTGGCCTCAGCCTCCAGAACCAACCAAAGATGGCCTCCCTCTTGCACCTTTGGAAGGGAGCTGCTCTTTGAACCGAAACATGACCACTTCCCACAGATTATGCCCTGAAAGGCCTCCTCTGTACCATTTGCCCCAGCCATGGGGGCTGTGCAAACCTTCCTCCCCTGCCCTCTAGTTCTGTGCAAGCCCCCACCAAGTCCCTGAGCATACCACGTGGTCATTAGTCACCACCATGTGGTGAGTATCCCCCACAGCCTGTGAGCACTGAGTCACTGCCAGCACAGAGGAGGGGCTCAGGGGCTGTTTGCTGAATAAGTGAATAATTCACAAGGGCCAGCCTTGTTCTTAGAAATTAGGGGGGTACACTGATCCCTGGAGAACTCTGCCAACCCTTCCCTCCAGGAATGTGCACAGACAGCACAGGTTCCCTAGAGAAGGCTTCAGGGGACTGTGGAGAAAAATCGGGCTGCCTGCCAGTGACAAGTGCCTATTAACACAGCTGGTGTCAGGCAAGCTATTTTCAGCTGCTGACTCATCTGCTAGCTCCCACTTTCTCCAGTCACTGGGACATGGCAGGGGATTTAGTATGTATATGCTTTCACTTCAGAGCAGATTCCCAAGAAGCGCTCCCTCTCCCCAGCCACCCAGCTACTGGTCATCGCAAAGACTTGCAGGCCAATAAAACTCAAAAGTTCGGAGTAGGCATTTGTCAAGTCCGTTTGAAGATGAGAATGCCCGGTATTGAGGAAATCAAGAGCTTCCTTCTCTTGTGATCACACTCTCCACCTCTCTGCTGTTCTATCTCAATGACCAGGCTTCCTCTGTGGCTACATCTATGAGTTCAGATTTACCAGACAGAACTGCAGACTAGCAGAAACAGTTTAATTCAGAGACTGAGTTCAAAGTCCCTACTGCAATCGAATCTACGGCTGTGTGACCTTGAGAAAGTCACTTAACCACTGAGCCTTGGTCATCTCCTCTCCCCCACCCCCTTCACAAACTATGGTTGTACTAGGGAAGTCGATCACCACTGAACTATATCTTTAGCCCTTTTTACTTTTATTATTTTACTTATTTTTGGACAGCGTCTTGCATATCTTGAACTGGCTTCAAACTTTCTCTATTGCTGAGAATGGCCTTAAACTTCTGATTCTCCTGCCTCTACTTCCCAGAGTGCTAGGATTATAGTCGTCAGCTACCACTACACCCAGTTTTGGGATGTTAGGGACAGAATCCAAAGTTTTATGCGTGCTAGACAGGCACCCTCCTACCTGTGCCACATCTCCAACCCCCATCTCATTTTCTGTGTTAAGAGTAGTATTTTGTTAAGCTGCCCAGGCTGGATTCAAACTCGTGATCGTCTTCCTTATTTAATGAAATATCTAGTATGACAAGCTGTGCCAGCTTCAGATTTCTCACCTGTAAAATGAGGTCAATAATAATTTCTGTAATGGCTAAGAGATTTAAACATATTAATACATGGTGCTTGGTGCCGATAACTTGTAATGTGTACTAGCAATTACTGCTATTGCTGTCAGTATTGCCGTTTGGGGGGGGGTGTATGTCTCCATACATCCTTGCACAACCATCGGGTGACTCAGCTCCAGAAAATCACTCCTCCAGACATCAGGAGGAAGCTCTTGTTTCCAAGAGCAAGTTCATAGACATCCTGTGGCTTCCTTGACCCAGGCTTAGATCCCTGATGCCTTCAACTTAAAAGAAGTATATAGAAGCTCAGGCCAGAGCTTTTGCATCACTCATTTGAGATGATGACCTCAAGCTGGGGGTATCTCTTTGGTTTTGCTGGCAGGAACCTGTGTCCTTGTGTCCTGAAGTTTGAGGATAACTCAGCAGAATTTGTTGCCCTGGTTGAAAGGAACAGGCAGTATCAGGTAAGCCACAGCAGGTTCTGCTGCTGCCCTGTGCGCTGGGAGGTCTGTACCAGCAAGATTTAATTGATGCTAAGTATCTTGTCCACTGAATGGGTGATGACTACAAGCACATTCAAGGATGCTCGGGGCCACAGTGTGGCTTCTTTGAAGCTACAGAGTGAAGTCCCAGAACACACTTAACCAGACCCCATTGTCCCATCTCCTCCTCCCTTAGGAAGGAATTCAAGTGTTGGTTGGAAGTAGATGTTAAGACGTGAGACTGGTTTAAGTGTGTCTCTAGCTATTCCAACCCCTGCCTCTTGTCTCCTCCTGCAGAAAGGAACTGAACAGCTAATCAAAAGTGGGCGATACGACACCAGGGATGATTTCACTGTGGTTCTCCAGCCATTCTTTGAAAATGTAGCCGTGCCACGGACCCCGGTAAAGAAATGATGCATTAAGAATGAGGGGAACCCCCAGAGGGTTCACAGATGCATTTTTGCCATCTACAACTGCTCCTCCCTTTCTGCTTGATGCCTAGGAGGGCTTACCCGACAACTCCTTCTTTGCCCCTGACTGTTTCCACTTTAGTGGCAAGACTCATGCCCGCTCAGCCATTGCCCTCTGGAGGAACATGGTAAGAACTGTGGTATAAGAATCCTCCCTCCCAGTCCAGTTGCCTGCATCTCCCCTCTTTCTGCCCTACCCCCACATCTTGACCAGTCTGCCCTGTTCCCCATCTTCTTGCTTCTTTGTTTAGCTGGAACCTGTTGGCCACAAGACAAGACAATATGATTTTGAAAACAAGATGCCTATCATGTGTCCGAACCAGGTATATTAGGTCATCCAGGCAACACCCTCTGACTATATAGACAGGAGAGAGAATAGAGAAGGATGGGGAGTTAAAATGGAAACTGGAGCTAGAAACACAGATCTTAATCATTGGGGAAAGCAGAATAGAACCACTCACAAATTGTCAGATTCTTGGAGTTTTGTAGCCTTAGTCTCTCAGCCCTATGAATTCCTCTGGGTCCCTCAAAAGGATCTCTGGCTTCTCACTGGGAACTATTGGACCAGGGCTTGCATGGGAAGGGAGTTAGAAGTGGAGGGATCTGCTTTTTCTTGCTCAAGCAGGAAAGACTCTGGGCTGCTATAGGGTAAAGTGAGTGTTGGGTGGCAAGGCAGCCTAGCCTGTTGGGAAGGGCTGGGTAGAGAATGAGACCCAACACGCGTAGCTGATAGACTGAGCATAGGAAAGAGTACATAGGCATTCCTGGTAGCTACTTAGGGGTTCAATCTGAGTCTTGGGGCTGAGTTCAGGTTGTAGAGAAGCCTTTCTGGAAGGGTCTAAGTGTTAATTGTGGCCTGGGAAGACTGGGATAGGGCATGATGAAGCTGGTGTGAACCTGCCATTCTTCACTCCTCTCTTCACAGACCTTACCATTTCTGAGCACCTACAAGAACAGCAACCAGGTATCTACCTAAGTCTTCCCTTGGCTCACCAGGCAATGGGGTGGGCAGCCCCTGCTGGTGGGAAGATGGGTGAGAACTCCTGACAGAAAGCACAAGATGGTTTGTACCCTTTTGTGAAATCATCTCTCCACCCACACCTTCCAGCAGGGTGGAAAGCAGAATAAACTCCATTCCAATCAAACTGCAGCCCACCAAAACATAATAAGCTAATCACTCCTCTCATGGTGGAAGAAGGGGGGGGTAATTTTTGATGGCCCTGAGTCTTGCCCTAGATGAAAAAGAAGGTAGAGTTAGATGAACAGATTCCAGCTTGGCTGATATTCAGAATCATCTAGGGTGGCATCTTCCATTGCCCCTGGAGGCCCCTCCAGGTACAGGACCCAGGCTCTGAGCTTTTCAAGCCTGCTGAGTGAGCCTGATGTCATCCTACTTTTCTGGTCACTGCCCCCTTAACCCTGAGAGTCTGGGATTGGCTCTTTTCATTAGGGTTATGGAACCTGGACATTATGCAAGGACAAAGCCCCTTCTGCCTCACCACCAACCTCAGGTAAGCTGCTGTGACCACCAGGATCCAAGACCCCTGCACAAAGGCTCGCATACCCATGAGCAAGCAGTCTCTAAGGCTTCTCATGGCAACCACTCAAGGCATTTCTGACCAGTGCTTGTTTGCTAGCCCTAGGGGCTCTCTGCCCAGCTCTGGCCTTTGACAGTATCATGCCTGGCAAGCCCCAATGCATTCTGGGCCAGGAGCTATTTCCCATCCTGCGTTCATGATCTAAGCAGGGACACACAGAATACACAAGAGCTTGCCTTTGGTTAGCCCAACCCTGCAGGGCGCTAAAGTCCAGAGGTAGATGATGCCAGGCAGTCCCATTAAATGGGAATCTCTGTGGAAATGTGTCCTTAAGCTCTGCCTGCAGAAAGTTCTCTGGGCTCTTCAGAAAGCAACTGAGGGTAGGGGAAGGTCTGGCATGACTATTTCTTAGATTCTTAAGGAAATCTAGAACCCAGTTCTAAACAGGCTATACATGGACCAGTGTCTGTCTGGTTGGGCACTAAAGTGGATCCTGCCTCATCTTGTCCTCCATTCCTACGCGGTGCCTTGCAGGATCCCTTTCATCTGTTTCTTGATCTTCTGGCCAGATGAAAGCCTAAGAACTGTTTGTCTCTTGTGAGGAAGCCCTTGTATGAAATGTCTGCCAGCACAGTTTGGGGTCCCCAGCACTACATGGTCTAAGCACACATGGAGTCATGTTTTGAGTGTTGGCATGAAGCAAAAGCCCTAGACTGTTCCTGTAGCTCCAGCTTGCCCACTCATTTTTCAGTGCATGCCCTGAGACCTGCGGACATCCAAGTTGTGGCAGCTCTGGGAGGCTCTCTGACCGTAAGAACTTTTGAGCCCTGGGATGGGAGTGGAGTGGCATGGTGGGGGTGAGAGTAGGCAGTGGGCGTGGTGGGGCCATCCCAAGTCCGTGCCCTCCTAACTCTAAAGCCTGCACTCCCATCTTCTATAATCTCTTGCCCTTCTGCCCTGGCTCTATCTATCCTGGAGAATGGCAACAGTTTTATTTTTACAACTGCTTTATCAAGTAGGTGTGCAGGGGGAAAAAAATCTTTTTCAGGAATGAACTGACTATTCTCAGTTGGCAGAGGTTTTGAACACCCAACACCACTTTTTGACATATGCAAAAATATGTCATTTTGACTCAAACTTCTCCTACCGATGCCTGTGTGGGTGCTATTCCCCCTCCCTTTTGAACAGCCCAGGCCCTCCCCCATCTGTTTCCTCTGCGTCCACACAGAAGGCAGCTCTATCCTTCAGTGGCGGGTAAGGCTCTGCCCCTCACTGTCTGGGCTGGGCTGCCCTGCCATCCCAGGACACCACCTTCTGGCAGCACAGCTAGGGCTTTAGAAATGCCTTCCTGGAGGTTTTAAAGGGAAAAAAGACAAATGAGGGGTTTTTATTGGAAATCTTCCCATCACCGTGGCTACACCCTAAATACTTTGTCCACGTCCTTAAAGATCTGAGTGGTATTTACTGGTAATATTATCAACATCACTCCCATTTGTAAAGCACTTGCGAGGTTTGCAGTCTTTGCAGTTATGATCCCAATTGGGCCCCAAACCTCTCCTGTGGAAAGGCAATGCCATGGTGAAAGAAGGTATACCTGGGAAGGAGGGTTGCAGACTGGGTCCCTTCACTCCCGGCCTTTGTATCATTCTTGCTTTCATGAGTACACTGGAGGCCATGCCTCTAGAACCCTTGTTCTCACAGCTCTCCTTTCTCTCCAACTTACTGGCTTTCTTGTGGAATTTGATCTTCTCAAAGGCTGGCAATGGAATTAGCTCCCCAGAAGGTGATCTCTCCGATGTCAACACACAATATCGAGGACTTTCATATAGGTGATGTTAATCTTTGACTTCCTCTTCTCCAGAGTTTAGCCTGCTTGTTGTTTTGTTATCTTCTTGGTTTTGTGGATTTGTTTTCTTTTGTTGCAAGGGTCTCAGGGAATCTGGATTGGGCTTGAACTATTTTATGTAAGGGCTTTTATCCCTCCTGTCTCTACCTCCCAGCTGTTGGAATTGCCTGTGCACACTGGCTGGGATATGGGCTTAGCTCCTATAAATGCACAAATCTCAAAAAGCAAGGGCCAGGTCTAGAAGGGGCTTTCAGAGGAATAGCTATATCTTTCTGCAAACTATGAACATTGAGTGAATGGAGAATATAATTTTGCTGTTAATTATCCTTTTATCTTTAAATTATGCAGAAAAAGTAAACCAAGGTTCTTACCAAACTCCTGAGTTCGCAAATCCAACATGAAATGTGCCTGAAAAACACCAAGTCCTTGAGTCTCCACCTGCCACTTTCCATGTCTGTGTCAGTACGTTGGTGCTACTGTGTTTGCCTTCCCTTCATGTATGTATTTGTGTCGTTTTGTAGTCATACCTCTCCGTATATATGTCTGCACCTACACAGAAGACTGTCAAGACCTAATCCTCACTTTCAGAGGAAATAATGGATGCAAGTTGCAATCAGTGGGCATCCCTGAGCAACGCCTGTGTCTGAGGGGTCTGGGTGTCAACTGCATAGTTACCTGGTAGTGTTCTTTAGAAATAAAACTTCCTGAATGCCACAGGGTGGGAAAGGAGAGAGAAACTAGCCCTGCCGAAAAGGATGGAAGGCTTTCCCAGAGAAAGTAATGCCTAGCGTGCCATTGTACAAGTGAGGGGGTGAGAAAGGGCGCCCAGACAGAGATGGAGAGAGGCTCTAAGTCTCGGGGGTCAGGTGAGCAATTGAGTGTCGGTTGTGTTACATCATTTCTTTCCTAATAAAGTTCAAGGTTTTGCTTGTTTCAAAGTAGTGAGCCTTTAAGGGCTTAGCTGGGAAAGTGAAGTCTGCCACAAGGGGGCAGAGCATTAATGAGCAGTTGGCTGCTCAGAAGCAAAGTACTTCTTTTTGGGGGTGCATTCATTTCCAAGGTCCTTCCTAAGCGAGGGATAGGGAATGGGATGAAGTGTCCAGAACCATGGAAAGCCCCAGAGAGACCTGTTTCCCAAGGTAAGAGGCTGGATCCCAGAGCTGGTAGCCACCCACCCAGAAGTCCCAATTCACCCTCAGCATGAGTGTGATCTCCACTCTCAGAACTAGGTAACAGGCTTTCGGCTCAGAGCCCCCACATTGCCACATGTCTTCGGCCAGGTTAGTGGTCTCTAGTGGGCTACCTGTAACAAAACAATCTCCTCACTCAGCACTCTTCCCAGTTGTTGTGAAGCTATGAGGGGAGAGAAAAGGGGGTGATCCTGAAGAGGCCTGGATTGCAGCAACTGCAGCAATCTCCATCTCAGCTAAAGGAGGCAGTGACATCATCACTGTGTGAGGGAAAGCACACAGAGGACTACCCTGGGAACAGGAGTGGCTGGCATAGCTCCCCATCCAGATGCATGAGACTCCCGCAGAGACTTCCTGCACAGATGTATGCATCCAGTCACTCTGTTCTTTCCTAGGAATGAAATACCTGAACTTCAAGTTCTAATTCTAATGACCCATGGCTAATGACTATTGTCATTTTAAGTAAAAAAAAAAAAAAAAAAAAAAAAAAAAAAAACCCTGTTTTTTGTCTTAAATGTCCCAAATATCTTCCCCCAAGGGCACCTGTGTTAAGGATGGAAGTTGCAGGTTATGGTCTAAGTGACAGTGATAGACTACCAGACAAGTGTTTCTCAGGATCATTCCATGGAATGTTAACTCTCCAAAAGGGGAGTTCTCTGTATTGGAGGTAAAACATTACCTATTATTTCCTCCCTGAGCATGAGCATAGTAAAGGCTCTGAGAAGAGCTGCATTTAAGACCTCTATGTTTTATGTTTGATTCAGGGTTTTTCTTAATCCTAGAATATTCTTTCCTTAAAATATCTGTTAACCCCTGGGAAATGTCTGTGAAGTAGACTGATCAGAGAAAAATGATATTCTGGAGCCCACTATACTGGAAATACTAGGCAATGATATGATTGCAGGAGATTAAGAAAGCATCCTGGACCTTTCTGTTCAAGGAAACAGTAGGAAAATTGGACCTTGTGTAGGCAGGGAAGAAAGGGCCCCAGGATTCTTTGGGGGTGGGTGGTTGTAAACAGGACCTATAGAGGTTTCCAAGGTCCCTTGGCCGATGAGATTGTGCACCTATGGGTGTCATTGTCAGCTAGCTTATCAGTGAGTCAGTCTGAAAGCTTTCTTTAGAATATAGCATTTTCTTTAGTAGAAATACATTGACTTGTTTAGGATTATTCTAAGGACCAAAATAAAACTTATTGAACCAAAGCAAAATGCATCTTGGTTTTGTTTTTATTAGGACTTTAATATCACATTTCTGACATTTTCAACACACATTACTAAGCATCTCCTGTACTTTTCTGCACACTGAGTGATGAAGGAAGTCTAGTCACTGAGTTTATGTATCATAGATTACATTTCCTGAAGAGTCTGATGTGGACCACGTTTGACATGAGTGTTTCCTTCCATGTTTTTGTAGTTCTGACCAACATGGTGACTCAAATATTTTGACTTGTCTGTGTTTATTTGTGTACTTGTCTTTTCTCCTCTTGGACATTCCATTCTAAAATGGCACAGGGAATACTTGTTGCTCTTGCTCTGCCACCACCTCCGTTTTTTAAGTACCATGTTGCCTTTAAGAAACGAAAGTAGAAGGTACATGATATGTGTATGTGGTTATATATGTTTTCCTGTTTATTGAGGGAAATATGCAGAAGACAACAGATGGGACAGTATATAGATTTCTGATTTCCTTCCAAATGCTCCAATTTAGTAACTTCAGCTCAGAGAAGGAAGGATTCAGAAGCAACACTTTCATATGGAGCTAGAAAAGAATTTAGTGTTGACAAAAGCCCAACCATTAGCCCAGGCCCAGGCACCTGATGGGCCATGGGGGAGCTATGGTGAGGGCAGAGCTTAGTGACTTTGACTTATGGCCATCCTTGAAAAGTTGCTATGAGAGGGTTAGCGGCTAAGTGTGTATTCTCAAACTCCCCTGGCCTGAATTGGCATGCTGGAACTGAGTAAAAGGGCACAGAGGAAAAGCAAACAGTAAATATCAAATATATGAACATCTAGAATTTTTGTTTTTTGAGGCAGGGTTTCTCTGTAACAATCCTGGCTGCCCTGGAACTTGCTTTGTGGACCAGGTTGGCCTCCCAAACTCAAACATCTGCCTGCCCCTGCCTCTGGAAGGCTCGGATTAAAGGAGTGTGCCTGCCACCACGCCTGGCTAGATTTTGATAGAAATAAATACTCCTTTAAGCCTGTGGAAGGAAATGACCTCTCATGCAGTGTACTTTGAGGTTAGGCCAGATAAAATGAGATGGGGCACTGGAAGGCAGCAATCTCCCAGCCTCGGAATCTTCCATTGGAATCTACCTGATACTGGGCAGACAAGGCATATCTGTGTTCTCAAGGTTTCCAGCTCAAGCTGGCTCTTAGTTACCCTTAGCCACTAACTTTTCAGCACCTCAGCTTTCTACTCTGTCACATGGAGATGTCCACAACTAACTCCTGAGCTTGGGACAGGAGAAAGAGCTATGGCCTATAGTGCAGTCCATGCTGGGCACATAGGGTCCTCAGCTAAGCGCTCTCCACCCAAAGAGGGTAAAGAGGGAAAGTCTTTTACCTTCAAATTCTAGACTAAGGGGGAAACAGTCTACTTGTGAATCCCTCAAATTCTAAGAACAGTTGAGGATTACTCTTTGGTAAAATTTTAATACTGACTTGGATTTTCTCCTTCCCTGCCTTGCCCACGCCCTACAGTGCTGGTGGAGATGAGTCCCTAGAGAATGTGACCACCTTGCCCAGTAAGTAAATAAATATCAAGGGCTCAAGTAGGATTGACTGCTCAAGAAAATAGCACATCCTTAGGGACTAGCCCTGAAGAGGGAGAAGAGACCCCAGTAGTCAGCCTCAGGGGGTGAAATGGGCATTGGACATGGAGCCTGTAGACCTGGGTTCAATCCCTGCTCTTTCTATGCAAACCACCAAATGCCCTGGGCCTTGAGCCTTTTCAACTTGACCCCAAAAATGCCGAGACAAATCTATTTGGGCCCTTCACTGCATTGTAAATTGGGCAGAGAAAAGTACTTCTGTGAGAAACTTCCAGCCTTACCTTACTTTTTATCACGTCATTTCAGCCGAGAGGCCCTAGTTTCTGTCAGGTGTATGTGCAACCCTGTTTTCAGAGTTGCACAAGAATGATGGTACAGCCCGTGGTGAACATCTAGAACCCGTAGTACTAAAGAACCCTAGTCTTCTGTCTTGAGTTCTGTGCCTAGAATCTACCTTTCCTCTTCCAGACATTCTACGGGAATTTAATGGAAACCTCACAGGCTATGCAGTAGGCATCGGTGACGTCAATTCTACAAATGCATTCCTTAACCAGGCTGTTCCTAGGGCGAAAGCTGAGTATGACATTTGGGGAGGTTGCAGAGAGGGGAAGAGAGGCATGCAGTCAATCCCTTAGAGGTCCCCATAGAGAACTACAAAGGGGCACTTCACCAATCTACATGAAACAATGATTTTGAGGGCGCTCTTTCCTGTCCCTTATAACCAAAGTTAACACATGGAGTCCAGAGAGGCCTTGGATATGAGGAGGAGTCATGCCACCCAGCTCCTTGGTCAGGCTTTTTTGCACACATTGACATCTAAGAGTTGGACTCACTGACCAATACTGTCAATTTTTGAAGCTCACTCTGACATAATGCTGTTAGAGAAATCCTCTCTCCCCAGAGGCTCATGGGTGGTACATACCCTATATGATCGGGGAAGGCCTACTCCATGGAAGTCAAGATCTCCAACATGAGGGAGCCTCTCTTTGTCTCCCTAGTCTTGGAATGGACCTAACAAAAAACAGACTGGAGATGGGGGAGGGGAGCTGCTGAGGCAGAGCTGCCTAGCCTCCTGGGATGGTTTCTCAAGGAGGTATTAATTCTTCTAAAGACCCCAGAAACCCAAAGCTCCTGCTCCCCACAGCCTTGGCCCATCCATTGTTCTAGCCCACACCTCTATTTGGTGGGCATGCCTCCAACACCTGTTTACTGAGCTCTAGAATAGCAGTAGCCTATGACATACAATTCACTATCCTACCCAAGGACACCATCATGCTACAACTCCATCGCTCGGGCTTCTACTGGCAGCTCATAGTGTTGTGAAAGCCTGTAGCATGTACGCTCTATAGGGTAAGAGGACAAATATGGACATTTCTCTTCAACAGAGGATTGGCTTTCTCTCCCCAGGAACCTTGCAAGCCAAGTCCAGATTCTGGTTCAGAAGATGAAGAATGACCAGGTGAGTCAGACTGATGTTTGCTGATAATGTTAGTTGTCTAGCCCACTGGAGCTTCCCCAAATGGAAAGCTCTGCCATCAAAAGCTGTGAGTGCCCTTTTGCTAGAAGCATCCAAGCATAGGAGGGGAAAGCCCCCTTGTCTGAGATCTTCTAGAGTATGTCATATCCGTGGGGAAAAGGTGGCAGCTAGTCACAGTGACCTTGAAGGTCCCTCCTGTTGCTAAGATTCTGTTCTATAAATAAAGTCTTTAAAATGCCATCAACTGCAAGGTTCTGATTGTGTTATTTCAAGTGGACAAAGAGGTCACAAGGGGCTGACTGGATTTCCTAGAGCTGTGACGGTTTGTCGGAAATTATGAACATTTTCCTCCCTCCTAATGTAGAGAGTGAACTTCCTCCAAGACTGGAAGGTCATCACAGTCATGATCGGGGCCAGTGACTTGTGTGACTTCTGCACGGATTCGGTAATTGGATAGGGTCTGGGCCTGATCCTGACCCTGACCCTGACCATTAGGCATTTGGATATTGAAGTACCTACAACTCACCCCTGGGGGCATTAAACTCCAACCTCATTGTGTATGTGTACATATAACTCAGACACTCCCAAGTGGTGAGGGGTCGGTTAGCACATGCATGGTGGTTGCTGCTTTTACAACTTTTGAAAGAAACCCTCAAGCATTTTGGGAAATCATTCTTCATTTCCCACTCTGGCCAATGGTTCCAATCTTCTAACCAGCTTGTCCCTGACAACAATGAGTCATCAGGCATTTAGCTCAGATTCTAACATACTCATATAGTCACAGATGGTGGTAAGAGGGTAACAAGTCCTTGGGGCTGGACCCAGTAGGGAAACCCATGCCTAACCCTCTGTCTTCTCGCTGGAACCAACCCTCCTTCCCATTCTTTTTCTCTGTCCAGAATCGGTACTCTGCAGCCAACTTTCTTGACCATCTCCGCAATGCCTTGGACATCCTGCATAGGGAGGTGGGTAAGGGCTTCTGTAACTTGGTTACAGTTCTAATATGGTGGAGGTACAGTCGGGAGAGGAGATAAAGGATGGAGTTAGCCAGGAAAATAGGCTCTGTCTCTGTCCAGAAGCTCCAGTCTTATTCCCAAGTCCTTCCATTCTATTTGGAAGGATCCCCAGAGTTCTCAGGTATCAAGAAAGGAAGGCACCGTGTACCAACATCTCTCTCCAGGACATTCCTTGGTGTTAGCAGCTGACCAGTGCCCAGGCTTGGCATTGCATTTTGAACACGGAGTGTGTCTTGAGTAAGCCTCTATATATACCCAGCCTTGCTTCTTGCACCCCCCTGATACCTTGTGGGCAGCAACAAGCTGCCTCTGCTATGCCATGGAAACAATGTTCTAACCCTCAGATGCCCTGCGGGGTAACTGAGTCCCCATGTCTGCAAACAAGTTGCCTACCACACCATGTTTTGGCTCACTGAATAATGGCTGGAGAGAGCTGAGCTCTTAGTATTTACTGACCCATCCTGGAGGCATTATCTATATTGTAGCTGTGCAAGGCACACTTCACCTGCTGGTATACTTGTGTCATGCATAGCCTGCAGCACTCCATGAAGTAGTATGGTGTGGACTCAATCTCTTACACTCAAGGGATGAGCTCAAAGTCTGAAGGAAGCCTCTATCCAAACCCTGGGAGCCTTGTCTCACCTGCTGTCTTCTCTTTAGGTACCCAGAGCCCTGGTCAACCTCGTGGACTTCATGAACCCCAGTATCATTCGGCAAGTGTTCCTGAAGAATCCTGACAAGTGCCCAGTACATCAGGCCAGGTAGGCAAGCACTGATCATCCCATCCAAGAGATCTCCTAAGCCTTGGTCTGGCCTGCCCATTCAGCAGTGACTCCCCAGAGTCTCAGCAGCTTAATCCTTCCATGTCCATAAGCAAGGACTTGTACTAGCATCATCCTCTTCTGGGAGGTTAAGAGCTTTGATCTGTCCCTGCCAGGCAGGAACTTCTATGATACTAAGAACCATTGGGGTTACTATTGGAGAAACTTAGTAGCCTGAACTGAAAAGGGCAACCCAGAATGGTATTTCTGTGTGACTAAACTAGAATGGAAAACAAGACCCAGAACACCCAACCCAGGCACCTTGTCTGGAAGAGGGGAGTTGGGGGAAGGGAAAGGACGACTGTTCGCACTTCTATAACTGGGTGGTAGGTGTGCAGTGTGACTCCCCTTCCATGAACCTATTGACTTAGCAAATCTCACAGGGGCTGGAGAGTGGGCTGAGAGGTTAAGAGCACTGGCTGTTCTTCCAGAGGTACTGAGTTCAATTCCCAGCAACCACATGGTGACTCACAACCATCTATAGTGAGATCTGGTGCCCTCTTCTGGCATGCAGGCATACATGCAGGTTGAACACTGTATGTATAATAAATAAATAGTACGGAATTTACTGTGCCCCAGGCACCATCTGGAAGGCATTAGAAATACAGATGACCTTGATTTAGGATTCTGACCTTAATAATGGTACAAAAGCCATGTGCACTCAAGAAAGCATACTCAGAATTCAGTCTTTTCCTGGCCTGGCAATATGTAATCCCATGCTCTCAAATAACTCTGAAAGCCCCAAGAAATACCTCAGGAAAAGTCCCCCACCCCAAAAGAGAAACAAGTCAGCTCACTACACTGTGTGGGCTAATATGATGCAATATTTAGTAGGTAAGTACAGCAAATGATTTTTTTCTCTTTCTATTTTTTGAGGGTGTAGTACACATATGTGTATGCATGTTTGTATGGGGGAAGCACACCTGTGTGTGGGTGCACATGCACATGTTTGTGTGTTCCATGAAGGCCTGAAGCTGATGCCAGGACCCATCCTTGACTGTTATTCCATTCAATGAGGCAGGTTGTTGCAGTCACAAGAGCTCACTGATATGGTTAGTCTCACTGGCCAGTTTGCTCTGTGAGTCTCCTGTTTCCATTTCCTAGGATATAATTACAGGTGGGCTGCTTCACCCACCCGGCATTTCTGGGGATTCTGGGAATCCAAACTCTGGTACTCCCACTTGCACAGCAAGTACTTTAACCACTGAGCCCTCTCCCCAGCCTAGAAAATGAATGTTAATGGACAGTATTATAAACTTACCATGAACTTATTGGAATGTGACCTCCATCCTTAACTTTGCTCTTAATGCTAAGTGTATATGAATAAAGCTAACTCATAATCAGAGGAAAGACATTGGAATAGCATTAGAGGAGGTATATCAGCATGTGAGTATCAGAGTCCTGGTGTGTCTGCTTCAATACCAGGATGTGTTGCTATTTTATTTTTTAATTAAACATTGCATTCTCGTTGCCTGAATTCACTTACTTTGACAGAATGGGACAGGCCTAGCCTTTCAAGCCCAATTCTAGTACTTGTTAAAGTAGACTTATTCAAACTGCAGATCCCCCAACCCTGTCACTTTCTCTAGGACTGAGCACAGGTGCCTTAGAACCCCAGACATTTGTGCTCCCTATCCAAGGCTTGAGTGAACCTTGCTACCCCACCCAGCTCTGGGTAGCCAGAAGCAGTCCCTGAACTGTGCTTCAGCTATGAATCTTCCCTACCTGACCCCCCCCCCTACAGTGTTCTCTGCAACTGTGTTCTGACCCCCGGAGAGAATTCCCCAGAGCTGGCCAGGTTGGAGGCCTTCACCAAGTCCTACCAGGTAAGGTAGAAGAGAGCCCGTGTCCTCTTCTCCTGCTCTTCCTGTGAGAGCCCCCGCTAGCCAGGAGAGGCATGAAGGATATAAAGCAAGCTATCAGCCATCCTGGGCTCCTCCCTCTGCCCCCACCTGACTGAGGGTCCCCATGTCCTTGATTAGAAAACCCCAGAAGCATCCAGGTGACATTGGTGTGGCTGAGGCACCTTTGGGAGGGAGTGCTAAATCTCATTGTTAGCCAGGAGGCTTGGGTGCCCCATGAAGCCGCACTGGAGGCTAACTTCTCCTCATTTCCCTGGCCCCCATTCTCACCCAAGTCCCCACAAACAGACCACAAGAAAAAGATTACAGGCTAGGATTAGCCTGGCATGCTCTGGAGTGTATTCTCTGGATTTTGATTGTTTGTGGGACTTTCTGTCAGCCCTGTAGAGATGGCAGGTTTAAACAAACAGCCAACTAAAACAGTACATTCATTCCCAAACTCTGGAGTGGGAACTGCTCTCAAAAACATTTATTTCAGGCTAAGTCAGCTCCCTTGTCTGAGGGGATGGGGACAGATATGTTGTGTGCCACCTGTCCTTACCCTCCCCTGTGCTAAAGGCTCCTGTTTGTGTGTGTGTTCCCAGAGTAGCATGCTCCAGCTGGTTGAGTCGGGCCGCTACGATACCCGGGAGGACTTTACTGTGGTATTGCAGCCCCTTTTCCTCAACGCCAGGCTCCCCATCCTGGAGGTATGCTCCCCCACCTTAGGCTCTGGAGGAGCAACTGCTAAATGGGCACCCAGCAAGAGAACCATCAAGGCAGGAATTCATGGGGATGGGAAGGACACAGAGAACTCTGCAGATGCTATGCTAGCAGGCACAGTGCTGTTTAACAGCTGAACCCAGGCATTATGCATCCCACACATAAGATGGCCACAACTGTCTTTGGGATGCTGTGAGCCCCCCAGAACAGAACTATAGAGATGTGTTGTATCTTCCTAAAATCAGAAAGAACATAAAAGATGGACAAGACTCACAGGGTATCCAAGTCTACATTAGTGACTTGCTGCCACACATGGTCTCTCTCACATGAAGCCCCATGGCTATAAAGAGTTCATGTACTGTGTTCCCACGGCTTGGCACTCTGCCTGCCACTTCCTCTCAGTGTGAAAGAGCTCTGTGGGCAGAGCAGGTAAGGCCTCTATCCCAAGACCTCAGACAACTTGGGGGAAAGCAGGAAGGAGAACAGAGTGGTATATCTAGATTCTGCAGAGAAAAGAGCTGGACGCAGGTGACCTGCTGGCCTTATGTCAGCTCTGATCGGGCCTGCTTGGTGTGCATTTTGTGAAGGCTGAGGATTAGGAAGGAAGTGTCCCTACCCCTATCCCCACCCCCACCCCACCCTGGCTAGTTTTCTCCATTTGTGATAAAAAATACCTGACAAAAGCAACTTGGGGAAGGAAAGCACTTATTTTGGCCATCCTTTTAGTTTAAGAAGGAACACAGTATATCCTGGCAGGGACAGCATGGTCAGGAGCATGAGGCAGTGGGTCACATGGTGTCTACTGTCCCTACTGTCTGGAAGCAGAGCCCCAGGAACGCTGGTCCTCAGCTAGCCTTCCCTCCCTGTGCAGTCCAGTACCCCCAGTCCATTCAGTGTGGGCCTACCAACCCCCAATTCATTCACTCTCTGTCAGGTTGATGTCAATATTAACCAATACACTACCCAAGACTCCCTGGAGAGAACTGAGAAGCTAGCTTGCTTCACTTACAGCATAAGTTAGGCATTATACAAATGTGCCCAAACAGAGCACTCTTTAAATAAAGCATGGGGAATGTGGAGGCCAGAGAAGGTACAGCTTGAGATCACCCAAAGCTATTTATCTGTGGGAATTCCTTTATGTCCCTGGCATGTTCCCAAAGAGAAGAGGGCATTTTGTAGTCATTCCCAAGGATCACATGGCCTATGGCTCTCTCTGACCCCACAGGACCTGGTGGAAGTGTGTTTGTCTCTTTCAGGATGGTCATCCAGATGCCTCCTTCTTTGCCCCAGACTGCATCCTTCCTAACCAGAAATTCCACTCCCAGCTCTCGAGAGCCCTTTGGGCCAATATGGTAAGATAAAGGTCTGCTTCTGGCAGTGTAGTCTAGTGCAAAGCACCAACCCTACAAAAGGTGGGGCAGACCCAGAGGAACAGCAGCTGGCACATCTGTAGATGTCTATAGCGTGGCCATAGAGAATCCTGGAAACTGACTTGGTCAGGTTGCACTGCCACCTGTCCTCTGTGTGTGTTAGCTGTCATCCATATGTAGAGGGATGCCATCTATATAACCTGTCAGAGGACTGGGGAGAGATGGCTCAGTACGTAAATGGAATTAAGAACCCTTGGGCTACACCTCTATATCTCCAGTGCTCAGGGACAGAGATCCCAGGGGCTTGCTGGCCAGCCAGTCTAACTGAAGCAACAGACTTCCAAGTTTAGTCGGAGTCCCTAACTCAAAAAATAAGGTAGATAGAAAACAGTAGAGGAAAACACTTGGTACACTAACCTCTAACCTCCATACATGCATGGGCACCAACTCATAAATGTGCATGCATACACACACCAGCAGAAACCCCCATTTATTCACCCTTTTATGTACACCACTACATATACTAGGCAGTTGAAACTGTAATCTCCTTTTAGTCCCTCCGCTGTGTTTTGAGTTTCCAGAGATGCTAACTGATTTGCTCTGGATCCTGCTTGCCAGCACCTGACAGATCCTCACATCAAAATCATGGCCCCAAAATGAAGTTCTGATATCCACTTCATCAGACACAAACAAGCTTGGTGTGTTTCTCTTTTCTTCCCTGGTCAGCTTGAACCTCTGGGAAAGAAAACTGATACGTTGGACCTGCGAGCATTCATAGCCATGGCCTGTCCAACCCAGGTACTAAAGGAGGGACTGCTTGGTCTGTCCTCAGGAACTGGTCAGACCTACCCCTTCTCTTTCTCCTCTTCCTCATTTTCCTCCACTCCTCCTCCCTCTCTTCCTCTCCCTCCCCCTCTTCCTCCTTCTCTTCTTCCTCCTCCTCTTCTTCCTCCTCCTCCAACTGAGCTCGCTTAGCCCTAGACTGAGAAATGGCTTGGAGGAGGGAAATTTGGCTGAATTGCTTCCTTGAAGACAGGTGATAAAGTTGGGTCCACACAAAGAAAGAAGCCGGGACAGCAAAAGCCAGGAAGGCGAGAAAGTGTGGAGCAGATGAGAATGTCTTGATGTGGGTAGAAGGACTAAGAGAGGGACCCACAAAGGGAAAGCCTGAGCTACCATCAGGGAGGGCTCCGGAGGACCAGTCTGAATTGGCAAAAGGAACAGCTCAGGGTTCCTTTTAAGGAGGAATATGTTAAATGTGATTTCAGGCCTGGAGTGGGGGCAGGTTCACATTCCCATTGCCTTCAGCTCCTGTTTCTGGTCTTGTCTTATGGCTTTTTAACCAAATAAGGCCAAGACTAGAGAGCCCTTGGTGGCCATAAAAGCAGAGTGTCTGACCTAATGTGGGAGGCTGGGTTTCCAGTCTGGGTCAGGCTGCAAAACAGCGGCCACCTACCCACCCTCCTTACCAGGCAGAGCCTCGGCTGAGGCTAGAAGCTCCCTTGGGATATCTGCTGGGTGGGGATCCCAAGAAAAAGGGAGGCCCTATCCTGCTCCATGCTTCCTGTCATCTGTCTTTAGTAGCAAGAGTGCCAGGAAGAAGGGATAAGAGCAGTGGCAGCAGAGGGCTCGGTGGCTGGATCTAGTGTCCCAAACACAGGAAAAGTCAAACCCTGTAATTATCAGTGTGCAGGATAGCTCGAGTGCCAGAGATAAATGGATGCTGGATAATAGGGCTTAGGTGAGGCCCCTCTATGCCAGGTGTGAACACATCCTCTGCCCCTTCCTGAGGCTGCATCGAGGGGGAGGGGCATGGACAACTTGGGCAGTAAGGGGCATTTGAGGACTTAAGGTAGTGATCATACCATAAGAATGTCCTTTTCCTTCTGTTTGTGTGCCCTTGTATGTCTGGGTGTGCGTGCACCTGTACGCTGAGGCCGGGGTTGTGTGTTGGATGTTTCCAGCTGTTCATCACCTTAGTTTTAAGATCTGCTCTCCTAAAGACCCTGGGGCTAACAACTTGGCTAGACTGGCTGACTAGTAAGTCCCATGAATCCTTCTGTTTCCACTTCCCCAGGTCTAGGATTACAGGCTCAGACTTGAATATCTGGCTTCTTATAATGGGTCCTGGACCCAAACCCAGGTCTTCATCATACTTGTGTGGCTCACACTTTACCTCCCCGCCTATAAGTGAGTTTTTGGGTACTTTAATAATCCATGACCATATGAATAGCAAACACAAGAGTCCCCTCCAAAGTGTCAAATCTCAGTCATCATGAGCTCTTTCAACCCACAAACATATTGTATGCCAAACTGAGGTCCCATCCCTGAGTCAGGGAGAGTCCCTTCACTGTGAGCCCCAGGGCAAGTTGTGCCCCTCTCTGTCCTAGTTCAAGCAGAGAACCCCAAAGAGATGATGCTCTACCTGGAATCTCAACCTTACCTCCTCCATTCTGGACAGAACCTGACCTAACTATTGATGGGTTGAGGAGAGATCCAGCCTCCTAGAGCCTGTGAAAAGCCCAGCCCAGGAGAAGCTGTTGCTAAGCAACCCTGGAGCCCATTCCAAAAGGGTCCATCTGTTGGCCAGCCCAGCTTCCCTGCAGTGTCTCAGGTGCCATCTGCTCTCTGCTGTGTGTCTCAGAGCCATACAAAAGTCCACCCATAGCTCACTGTGAGCTGACAGGGGACCAGGCAGTGAATATTTTCATCCAGGCTGTGTCTAAACATAGAAGCAACAAGCAGGACCGGGGGGATGAGGGTGGGGTAGAGGCAGCAAGTTGGGAGTGAGCTCCTCTAGTGCCCTTCTCCTCCATCCCCAATCTAACTGCTACCACACTCTGCTGTGCCAGGAAGGGTGAGTTCACAGTACACCATGGTTTTAGGAAGTATGATTTGCAGGTTGTGTGAATTTTGTATGGCCTAGTCTTGATTAGCTCTGTGAGCCACTCTCCCCTCGCTCCCTTAACTGTCTCCTTGCCTCTTCTTTCCCTAACTCCCTTCCTACCTCTTACTGACATTCCTATCTCTAACCCTGAAAATGAGGTCCCTCGAAGACTTTCCTGTCTCCATCTTACTGGCTTCTCTCTGTATGTGTGCGTCCTCACTCTCAAGTTGATCTATTTCTAGAGATTCCCCCCCCCACCTTGAACTTCATAGCACCAGCTTCCTCAGTCTCTCACTCTACCACTGTTTTTTCCTTTCCCAGACACCAATCCTCTATTTCCAAACCCTTAAAACACATTTCCTCTTGGAAGCTCCATATGGTATAAAATTACTGCTCCTACCCAAGAAGGGGGAGGGGTTAGATGTACACAGAGCCCATCAGAAAAGCTCCCTTCCTTCTAGAACTGCAGATCTTTCCATCCAGCCATGCAGCCAGCCCAGGTCACCAGCCACTGACTGAACTGCTGGCTCTTGCCTGGGCTCTGTCTCCTTGACAGCCCAAAGAAACCACCCCTCTACCTGCTCAGGCTCAAGGCCAGGAATCTCTCATGTAGTCAGCTCCACCCCAGCCTGACTCATGTGTACTAAGCAACCAAGAGCCAATAAGAACAGAGTTCCAAGGTCCCCTTGGCTTCTGACCCCTTCAGCATTTTCTCCTCTCCCACACCTCATGGTTCCTACAATCAGATAAATAGTTATGAGGTGCCTTCTGCTCTCTCTTGTGCTGGCCACATCTAGACCAGATCCAGCCAGGACTTCTCTGCAAGGGAAAATCGTAGTTAGCACCCTCGCCCATGTCCTGAGGGATGTATGTCCCCACATCTTGTGTCAGTTCCCTCGGCAAATTCCACACTTCTTCACTGTCTAGGAATGTCTCATGCCCTCCCCTTGTGCCGAGAGGACAAGTCTCCCCCTGCCTTCCTCTCAGTATTGCTCTGGGTGCAGGAACTGGACACAGGCATAGGTCAGTCTTTTGTAGAAGGCACACAGGCTGCCCTCCTGGGGTGACTGTTGAGAAGATGACACTGATCTGAGACAGCCTAATTAGCTGTGCTGCGTGCCATTACAAGCCTCTCTGTCTTGCACTGGTGACTCAGCCCGGAGTGCACTGGTCTCTGTTTCAGATTGGAGTGCTGAGGCTGAGAAGAAAAGGGGAGGCAGGCCTCAGCATTGGGGTTGGGTTCCAGACAGGGTTTCTCTGTGTAACAGCTCCGGTTGTCCTGGAACTTGCTCTGTAGACCAGGCTGGCCTCAAACTCACAGAGATCCGCCTGCTTGCCTCCTGAGTGCTGGGATTAAAGGGGTGCACCACCACCAGGCTTGTTCCAACATTTTAACCCTCCTCCTCTTCCTCCTGCTACCCCTCCTTGAGCCAAAATAAACCCTCTCCTAGCTGTGTTTATGATGGAGAGTTAGTTTACAGCACCTGGAATTGATCTCTACAGACATCTTTTCCAAAAATCCGGCTTTCCCCTCACATCTCCCCACATCTCTTCTATTTGGTTTCCCTATTTTTCAGCCTTGGCCATTGCAGTCCACAAGCATGTCCCCGAGTGTCCCAGCCCTGGGTCTACCTCACTATCTCCGGGTTGGATCTTCAGTTGACCATGCTCCCCTCTGTTTTGTGTTTCCTCCTCATTTGTTTCTCCTCTGCCACTGCAGCCTCCTCCCTGCTTTGATTAACCCATCACCTTCAACTGGGTGGCCTGGGGGAGTTGACGGGGCTTGTATCAGCACTGACTGAACAGCAGACGGGTGAGGGGAGAAAAATACTGAAAATGCAGGAAGCCTGCTTAAAGGGGGAAACACATGTGGCAGAAGGAAGAGAGGAAAAAATGACAGGTAATAAAATACAGTGGTAATCACAACCCTTCCTCAGAAAGAAAAGTGCTGAAATGTGAGTCTTTTGCCAGAAAAATAAGAAAATAGGTAAGGCTGAGGGCTACGGAGATGTGTAATTGCTACAGTCTACATGAGATCATGGAGTCCAGATGGCAGGATGTGTAGGACTTTCTCTAAGCCTTTTATTTGTGCCTCCCTTGTTAATAAGGGTTTGCAAAAACCCTTCTGGGAATGGCTGAAATTTTGTTTACTAGGATCCTTCCACTTTGAAGCAGAACCCTGTTAAATAACCCTAGAAGTCAGGACGATTAGCTCATGAACATCCTTCATGTTGTTAGAGAAGCTCTCAGTGTGGTTTCTTTTTCCTCCTAGGATGAACCCTTCCTGAGAACCTTCCGGAACAGTGACTACATGTACCCAACCAAGCCAGCCATTCAGGTAACCTCTGAGTCATGTCTGTGTCTCTCAGACACAAGCCAGTCCCACCTGCCAGGGACTTGGGGTGTGGTACAGATTTCACTATTAGTTTAAGAACAAATATACCCTTCTTACATACTGGGAATTGGAATGTACAAAAGAGGGTACGGAACTGCGAGCCGGGGCTGGTCCTGACATGTTCTCAAGTTGCCTACCTGATATTAGTGGCCAAGCAGAGAGCAGCATGCATTGACCTTTGCTGGCCCAGGCTCAGAGACACTGCTTTTAATTAAGCATCTCAGTGTTGCAGAGGTCGACAGGGGGGGGGGGGGGAGGAGCATTGGGGGTGGGACAGAGGGCATGAAGTACTATCAACTTCCTGAAGGTGGAACCCTAACTGAAAGGAAAGGAATCTCTGCCAGGGGTGGGGCCCAACAGGAAGCTGACGCATATCCAACAAAACCTCCAGCCTTAACTAGATATAAGTCACTCAGCCCCACACTGAGCTTTCAGAGCCTGTAGCTTTAAGAATCAATGCTCCAAAGTTGGCTTGCCAGATCCTGCACTGCACCACACCACACCCTGAAGGACCTAGGGCCTGGTCCACAGGAACAGAGACTCAAACGCTTATTTCACATTCATGTTGAGGGTTGTTGAGAAGCATGTGATGCCCAACCTGGGTAGTTAGAACCTACTAGAGAGTTCACACTAGCTTACTAAGCATCTATTATGTGTCATACACTATTTCAGGGAGTTAGAAACTGATGGGACTCCACTCTTCCAAAGAGTCTCATTTGCTGAGTTGAGCTATCTAGTATGTAGCTAAAGTGATCGTTTCAAAAAGGGACAGTCATTGCTCAGAGAAGGGAGATAAGACCAAGAACGAAGGACCAAGGGAGGGATGGCCAGTTCTGATGTATCATGAATGCTGAGCTTGTCTGAGAATGGGGAGATTTGAACTGAGACATGCAAGTCAAAAAGATGCCAGCTGCCGGGAGGACCAGAAAAGGCCAAACAGAAGGGCCAGAAAGTGTGGAGGCTGGGGCAGGAGGTGAAGCAAGTGAGTATAATTGAGGAAGAGAAGGAAGGTCAGAGTGGCTGGAGTCGGGGCATGTGAATGTGGTGAGTGTGGAAATCAGAGTAGTGCTCAGGGCCAGATCACATAGCTGGAGTGCCTGGCAGTGAAGGTTAGCTTTCAGATGGAGAGCGAAGAAAAGCCAAGCCTTTAAGAGACTTTAGGAGACCCCTCTGGCTGCAGCATGGAGGCTATATCAGACATCAGTGACTGGGGGGAAAACTTGCTTTATGAGATAGAGCATCATATAGCCCAGGCTGTCCTAAAACATACATAGCCAAGGATGACCTTGGACCCCTGATTCTCTTACCCCACCTCCCAAGTCCTGGGATTATGGGTGTGCACCACCACACCTAGCCTTTGTTTAAATCTTTGTCTGATTTTGAAATATGATCTCACTCTATAGCCCAGATGGGCCTCTAATGCACAATGATCCTCCTGCCTCAGCCTCCTAAGTGCTGGGATTACAGGTGGGAACTGCCACACCTAGAAGAAAGATCTTTATAAGCCAACCAGAGTGCTGAGAATAGCCTATGTGCCAAGAACAGTCAAGGGTAACTTCCTATTACAGTAGTTTGGCTGGGAGCTGTGTCATCTCTAGGCTCTTTGAATTTTCTGACTCACATTAACCCAAAAGAGTTGAGTTCTGCTTGAACCTGTAACCAAATTCCTGTGTGACTGAAAAGCCCTGTCAACCAGGCAGTCATCAGTACATTTTCTGATTGGATACTAAGGAGCAACCATGATGCTAGTGCTGGATGGACAATGGTGAACAGAATGGGGCTCTGCCTGTTCTCAGGGTTCTTTATTCTTAGGGATCTTTTCTTCCACTGTTGGAAGACTTTAAAGCTCAGGCTAGAAGGGTTGTGCTAGTTTTAGTAGGTTGCTGCTTAAAGTAGGCAACATCAACAGAACTTTTGTTACAAAGGCAGAGTCCTGAGTGGTATCCTAGACATACTACGTGTACATATAGTAAGATGGCAAGACCCTGGGAAGTCCTGGTTGAGGTCACAGCGTGGTGTCCTCTTCCTTTGTGACAGATCTAATCTGTATGTGTCACATAAAACATGCTCAACTCTGAGAGATCGCTATGATGTGGTAACTCTAGAACTTTCTTTTGCAGTTGCATTTTTCCCATGAATTTGTCATCTGACTGTGCTTGATTTACATAAAACATCTAAACAGATGGGTGAAATCACTGTGACCTGTTGAGGAGGTCCTTGGGAATAAATGGATCCACTGGTTTAAGAGATAGTTTGGTGAAGTTCTCCCCCCCCCCCACACTCCATGAAAGCCACACTTATGTCAGAGTCTTCAGGGTTAATTGATCAGAATTCCATGCATGCACAAAGTTGGAATGTTACAGATCCAGCACCAAGTTGTCTTGTGCTATCTGTCCAACTAACTCTGTGCCCAATCCAAATCCTGTGACTATTATGGGAAACTTTTTAAAAATACATTAACAAACCACTAGCTCCTATCATCCCAAAAGCTAAAAATGCCGTCAGATAGCAACTAGGAGGACGTTTTCCTTCTTTACTGTAACCGCCTGATGTCACCATCAATGAATTTCTTTTGTTCTGTGACTATAAAAACTTCACAGAACCATTTCTACCATGTTATTTGGGGCAACCTAAAAGTCTATGTTCCTAGGCCATGGTCACTTTTTTTCCCCTCTCCCTTTAAGGCGGAGTTGTGTTTTGATTGACAGTTCTTTGCTCTCACTCAGGAGGAGGGTGAGAAGGCTTGTTTTCAGATGACCTTTCCAAGGCTCTGGCAGGCACTCATACTTGGAGAAAATCAGTCAAACCATTGTGGGGAGGCATTACCACACACCCACTTCCCTTGAATTGTCATTCCTGTGCCTTCTACCTCACACCCTACCTTTACTCTCCCTGGCACCTGGAAATCCCATCCTTTATTAGATACAAGGACTGTTGACCAAAAGGGTCCAGTGTGGCAGGTTATTTGTTTCTGACCATGGAGGGATCGATGGCTCCAGGTTAAATAGACAAAACAGGACAGATATGCAGAAACCAGGGGCTTTGCAATTACAAAACTTTGGCATTTTTAAAAAATATTTTAATGGATGGTTGTTTAAGACTCTAGAATCATAATTAATGTCAGTCAGCTTAGTGTTAACAACATACACCTATATACATCTATATACATGCATGTTAGCCTTGTAAAACCTGTCTTTTGCAGAACTAGTTGTAAGATTCACTGTTGTCTCCCTTATTTTATGGCTGTTGGTTCCATTCAAATGTAGATGGGTTGGGAAAGAAAGGCTGTGCTGTGTGTGTGTGTGTGTGTGTGTGTGTGTGTGTGTGTGTATGTGTGTGTATGTGTGTAAGCAGAAGTCCACTTGTCCCTAATTTCCCTTTTCCACATCTACAGTAACTATGCCTACCCTTCTGAGCCCCTCCAGTGATATATTTCTAGGTTCCTTGGCTGACTCTTAGGTGCACCTTGCCTGCATGTGAGTGATGGTCTTCTGTTTGTCTTCCTCTTGACTCAGAACTGGGGCAGTGACTTCCTGTGCACAGAGCGGAATCCTTCCAGCAGCGTGCCCAGCTCAGGTAAGTGAAATCATCACACCCCCTTCATCAAATACCATGTTGGATGAGAGACACCATGCACTGATTGGATGGACCTTGCTGATTCCATTGCAAGGCAGAGTTAGATGCTTGAAGTCCCTGGGAAGCTGGTGGGCAGGTACTGCTGGGCTCCCATGTGGAAGGGTTCAGACCTCTCCCAAGTAATACTTTTATCTCTTTGAGGTTTCAACACAGCTCCTCAGGCCTCTTTGATTGCTGAGATAGATGCAGCCAGGGGTATGACCCTAGCTGCCTATAGCCATGTGGCCCACACTAGAACTGTGCTGGACCACCTGTAGGATGCTGTATGGTAGCTGTCATGCCCATACACTTCAGAGCCTTAGTGTTCTGAATGAATGGAAGAGGCAGCACCAGTGAAGTTCTAGGCTAGAAACAGGGCAGGGAGGTGGGCTAGGGCAGACTCACTGGCCTTGTTTAACTCATACTGTAAAAGGCCAACACCTGCCAACTCTCCTTTTGCCTGTTTTTCCTAGTCCATGAGCTCCGACCAGCAGACATCAAGGTGGTGGCAGCACTAGGTGACTCTGTGACTGTGAGTACTAAGATGTGGGCCAGGGTGGGCCCCACAGAGTTTAGCCAGGCTGTGCAGAGTTGGCTCTTAGCATGAAGCATGGATCCCAGCCCTGCCCCATCTTCCTAAGCTCTACTTAAACTTCACCCCATGCACCCCTCCACCCTACCCTGCCCCCTAGTGTCTCATCAGTATTGTGTACGTGTCCAAAGTTGCCTGAATTCAACTCCATTAACACAGTCCTTATCTATACATTGCCCGGACCCCCTCACCCCACTGAAGGGCGTGTTCCTTAGTGACAGAGGGAAACCCAATCATTCCTGGCACAGTTGCATTAGTCCACTGTGTAGCTACTGTTCTGTGTACTGTGCTCTCTCAGCAACTATAAAAAGGACAAGTGAAACATTCATAGCCCTCTGGCTAAGACAGCAAGAAGCTTATGGAGGAGGAGAATCATGAGTGAATAGGTGACATATGGGACTCTCAAAAGGCATGTCCATTCATGTAGGAACAAAACCACCCCATGTGGAAGTGGAGTTTTCATTGTGTAGACATGGGAAAGCGAAAAATGCACAACAGGCCCCAACAACCACAACTTCACCCTGGTCCAGCGCATGTGTGCTCGAAGGCAAAGGATTCTTTGGGTTTTGTTTTATATGCTGGGATCTCAATAAAGAGCCCTGACTGGCTCCAACTTGCTCTGTAGCCCTAGCTAGCCTCAAACTCCCAGCAAGTCTTAGCCTTTCAACTGCTAGTATTATAGGCATGAGCTACCAGGCCCCGCTGAAGCAATATTGATTTTTTTTTTTAATTTGAGAGACAATCCTAAGTAGACCTGCCTAGCTCAGACTTCATGAAGATGACTTTAAACTCCTAATCCTCTTGGTCTCCATCTCTGAAGTGCTGGGCTTATGGGTGTACACCACTGAGCGCAGTTTATACATTACTGACAACTGAACCCAGGCCTCCATGTATTCAAGGCAAGCTCCCTATAGGCTTGGGGGAAGATTCCTGTGATGAGATTAAGTTGTTTATTTTTTTTTAAAGTCTGTTTAATTCACTGATAATGGCAAAGGTGTTACCTTGGTAAATTTCAAGGATAGATTGCTTCTTTTTTATTAAAATAAATAAATAAAAGATGGTGGCTTCAGAAATCTTTATAGAAAAGAAATTTTTAAAAAAGGAAGCTTTGGAGGCAGAGGCAGGCAGATCTGAGTTCCAGGCCAGCCTGGTCCATAGAGTGAGTTCCAGGACAGGCTCCAAAGCTACAGAGAAACCTTGTCTCAAAAGAAAAAAAAAAGAAAAAAGAAAAAGAAAAGAAAGTGAGCAACATGGAGAGGTAAGCTACAGATTATGATTTCCCCGTGGGATAGGGGTTTGGCTTTGACCATGCATTGGAGGAGTAGCAGGGACAGATATGGACTGAGATGGGAGAGAGTGAACTCAGGGTCTCTGGGCTGAGGAGGAGGTTCAACAGTCCAGGAAGGGTAAGGAGGGGAGGACAAGAACAGAACAGAGCAGCTCTAGGCCCTCAGGCTCTGGAAGTAGTGATCAATGAGCTTCCTTCCGAGGCCTTGTGTGGTCAGAAATGCAGGAAGCAAACATTGGGGTCAGAAAGTGGATGCTGGATTACAATGTCCATCACTGGGGACAGTGTTTTTGCTTTAGACCCTAAAGGGAAGAGACACATGGAAGTGTCAGAGTTGGAGGCAAATGGCAGAGATACAGAGAGTTGTAGGACTTGAATGCCTCCAAGGACATGAACGACAGTGCAAAAGAAAGGGCAGTCACTGGGAAAAGGGGACAGCGCCAGAAAGAATCAGCAGGACCAAGTGAAAGTCTGAGAGAAGAACTCAAACCTTAAACATGTAGAAACACAAGAGTGGGTGCCTTCCCCCAGAAAGGCCAAGGCGAGTACTGGCTGCTACACAAGGACCAGAGGGCCAGCCCTCTAACTTATCAAGTGACAGCCTTTTGAAAGCTTCTCTTTGCCTTTCACAGACAGCCTTGGGAGCTCGACCAAGTGAGTCCAGCAATCTAACCACCCCCTGGAGGGGACTGTCGTGGAGGTAAGAGTGCTCTTGGCTCACCCTCTATAGATAGTTTCCCTCTAAAGAGGATCCCCTCCACCAGCCCAGGGGTAGGCCTAGATCCCCATGGCCCAACTCTGATATCCAAGGACACTTTGTGATGCTTGTGTTTGTCCTGAGGGTGGTAGGAGTCATGCCCCAAAGATAGAATCTCTCCAGCCCGAGTCCCACCTGTGACAACTCGGGAGGCAGCAAATCAGTGTGACTTTGACAAAGTTGCTTTCTCTTCCCTAGCATTGGAGGAGATGGAACATTGGAGACCCATACCACACTGCCCAGTAAGTAGCCCACCCCAAGAGGTCCTGGTACCACAACAACCATAGCCCTCACCGAGGCTAAGGCCTTTTGCCTAGAGTTGAAGAAACAGGAAGTGGTTGGCAAGGAAGAGTCAGCTAGCCCCAGAAAAATAAGGACCCCCTTTCCATACACCTGTGACCCCAACCTATAGGCCCACTTCAATTCCTTTCACCTGTGACCTCTGCTTTGTCTCTCTTTAAAGACATACTGAAGAAGTTCAACCCTTCCATCCTTGGATTCTCTACCGGTACCTTGGAAGAGACGGCAGGATTAAACGTGGCCCAAGAAGGGGCCAGAGCTCAGTGAGTTGATGTGGGGACCAGCAAAGAAATCAAGGTGGAAAATAGGACGTAGCAAGGGTCACAGGGTCTAGGACCAAGCCTGGACTCAATGGCCTCAGTACACAGTACTCCTTGAATGCTGGATCTGCATCAAACCTTCCATGTGGGTTGTCTGGTGTAATCCTCATACCCTTGGGCACAGGTACTATAATGTAGATCTTGTGGCTAGAGAGTTTCTTAAATATCAGAGGTCATCAAGGAGGACCTAGATCAGACCATTCCTGAATGCAGCACTGACCACTGTGCTATTGAAGAAGCCAGAGGACCCTGTCTATTTTGACACAAGCAGGCTCTGCCCCTGCTAACTCCAGTTACACCTCTTGTCTATCTGGGACATGAGTCACCTATGCAGAGTGGCTCTCAACATCATGAACCACTTGGTTCTCTTCCTTGCTTTTCTATTTTGCCTCAAATCCTTGAATCTAAAAGAAGAAAAGAAAGCTGTTTTGACACCAGAGAGTAAGATGTCAGGGCCCCTAAATGGCATTGCAGTGGTTTGTTTTCACTGGGCTCTCTGTTGTTGACAGCAACCCAGGTAATTAAAGCTGAAATGCCTGACTGGGTTCATTGATTTCCTGCATGGAGTGGAGCAAGAGTGTGCTGGGTATTTACTTTGCAGAAGCATTGCTGGGTTCTTGTCACCAGGGAGACAGCACAAGCTTGACTCACATGCTGCTTACAGAGAACATTCCTTTTGGAAGCCTAACCCAGGCCCAGGGCTCAGCTTGAATCTTGGTGCTGCAGGTATTGATACTTAGCGTCACAAGAGGAGACCTATTTGTCTACAAACACTGGGCCCTGTGGGTGATGATTCCAGCACCTAGTTACTGTTAGGATTGCTGGAGCCCAGTCATTGTTCACCAGGGGCTGGCTCCTCAGTCTTTTCCTCCCCCACTTCTTCATGGGGGAAAAGGGGTGGTATGGACATGTGTGTGATGTGTGTATTCAGGCGCATGTGCACACACATGGTCCTACAAGCAGAGTCCAGAAGACAAGGTCATCTTTTTTTCTGGGTAGCTTACCACCTTAAGTTTAGATTTTAAACTTGTATGTGCATACACGTGCCTGCCACAGAGACTAGAGAGAGGACTGGAATCCTTGGAGCTGGAGCTACAGGTGGTTGTGAGCTGCCTGGCATAGGGACTGGATGTCCTGTGCAAGCAAGCATTTTTAACTCTTGAGTCATCTCTCCAGTAATTTTTTTTTGGGGGGGGACAGGGTTTCTCTGTATTGCTTTGAAGCCTGTCCTGGAACTAACTCTGTAGATCAAGCTGGCCTCGAACTCACAGAGATTCACCTGTCTCTACCTCCTGAGTACAGGGATTAAAGGCATGCATCACCAACACCCAGCTCAGTAATGTCATCTTTAGTGTGTGTGCGCATGCGATGTGGGGTACACTCGTGTATAGCAAGCACTTCAACCCACTGAGCCAACTCACTGCCCTCTCCACCTTGTATTTTGACTCTCTCTGAACCTGGAACTCACTGATATGGCTACATTAGCTGACTAGTGAACTCCAGGGTTGCACAGCCTATACCTCAGCGCTGAGATGACAGGTGTACACTGTTAAACCTGGACTTACACTGAGCCATCTCCCTGGTCTCCCATCTTCTCCTTTTCTTACTGCCTGAGTAGAGGCAGTGGTAGGAGATGTAGCTGACATCCACAGGCATCCCTTGTGTCTGCCCAGTGTTAAGGGGAAGCAAGAGGAAGCTGTTGGCTTAAATTGTTCTCTCTCTTTTCCTTATTTCTAAGTGTAAGTCATCTAAAGAGAAAGGTAACACATGAATGACCTGAGTTTGAATCCCCAGCCCCCATGTGATTGCCAGGCCCACAGAGATCAGGTCTTCTGTGTTCAAATCATCGCTCAAAAACTTGCTGGCTGTGTGATCTTGACCAAGTTGCTTAGCATCTCTGAGTCTTTAGTTTTCTCCTCTTTAATGAGGTTAATCACAGTACCTGTCTCTCAGGGCTGTCATAGGATTAAAGGAGATAAATAAGCCTTGGAAAGACTGAGCATGACCTATGTGCATACAAAAGTTTGCCATTCTTGGGCTATTTAGTTTCAAAGTCTTATTCAACACCTTATTTCCCTTCCATTAATCCTGAAGCAAAAATGCATTCATTGTCTGCATTACTTGAGGGATCCCGTAGATTCAAAGGGTGAAGTCCTTGCTCTGAGTTAGCCCAGCCAAGGAACTAGACACAGAACAACTAGCTTTGGGGGGAAGGAAGGGTTATGTATGACAGCACTGCAGACTGGAACCATCTGCTTCTCAGAAAGTACTTAGGAAGGGAGGATAATGTCAGGACACGCTGTCTCAGGCCTGGGGCCTCTACAAATTCACAGAGCTGTGGAAACAGTTGCAAGAAGAGACCCCCGGCCCTGAAGGGAAGGGGTAGACAAGATGGAGGACCTGTGGATAAGGATGCATGAAAAGAAGAGCACGGCGTATCTTGTTGCCTTTACTTTACAACTTCTGTCCCTGTCACTATAATCCCGGGTGCACAAATTCTCTTCTCTGTGACAGGGCAGTGATGGCACCACAAGTGCTGACAAGTGTCTGCCCACCAGCACACACAATTGAGTGTCTAGGACCTAACAGTGTACGTTTGTTTACACAAACAATGGGGGGACAAAAGGAGTCCCAACCCTGCCCAAACAGTCTCTCCTAGCCTGTCTTGTTGGGGGAGGGGGTCGAGGGGAGATAATAGTGTCAAAATCCAAATAACCATGGAGAACCTAAAGGGATCAAAGAATTGGCCACTGGGGCTCAGGCACAGCAGTGAAAGGAGCCATCAAGCCTGGGAAGGAGAAATCTGAGGACTAATTTAGGAATGTGACTTTTTTCAAAAATAAAAATTATTTTTAAAACAGGCAACAGAATAAGAATCAAACAGGCTTGGCTTGTAGTGAAAAGACTTGATAAAAGAGGAAAGAAATCTGAGGTCAGTGAGACCCTGGTGCAGTCCCAGGAGCAGCAGGGTCTGGAGCAGTGTAGCCCCCAGCTGTTGCAGGACAGAAATGCAAAGGCTGGCTGGGAAGAAAGGCATTCATGGGGTTAGTCTTTCTGGAGTCCAGCTTAAGGCCTCCATCCTGAGCAACCCTGATAATGACTTCTCTCCCTTCTCTCTAGGGACATGCCGGCCCAGGCCCAGGCTCTGGTGGAGAGAATGAGAAACACACCTGTGAGTACAGACCCCAAAAAGTGCTTTAACTGGGGAGACACAGAGCCTGCTGAATTCCATGGTTGCCCTGCAGCAGCTCTTCCAGGGAGCTCACAGGAGCCCTGCCTGTCACCCTGCCCCAGGGCTGGCTGCAGGAGGGCAAGGTAGCTGGCCAAGATTACAGGCCTTGGGCTCTTTATCCCAGAGTTGGCTTTCTGGAGCCCTCTTATATAAACACAAAGTGCTAAAAATAGGCTGCTCATTCCAAACCTTCCCCGTCCCCAGCCCCTCAGAATCTCACTGGCACTTTTTTCTGCTGCTCTGTTCTTATGCTGCAGACTGTGGCTCCTGGAGGACTCCTTTTATGGTGGAGGCTGAGTGGGGAGCCGCAGCTCCTGGGCCTTCCTGGTCTCCCACCATCTTGACCCTGCAGGGTTTTCCCTCCATGAACCCCTTAGATCACATTTGAGGAACATAATAATCCAGGAGGCCTTTCAAAAGCTTGGGAAAATGTGAGATACTCCATCCTCGCACTTTAAGAGATTTGGGGGAGAGAAAGTCTTTATGTGTGAGAAAATAGCCCCCCCACACTTCTTATGGGGGAGCTCCCATCAGCATAGGGCACCATGGCAATGGAGAAATTACCACCTCATACTCCGTATGATTCAAAAAAGATGGAGGTACCTGAGAGTCAGTAGACTCTGTAGCATGGCTAGTATTGCCAGCAATTGCCCCCAAACCTTAACCTCAGAATCTGTCCCCTCAGACGATCAACCTAGAGGAAGACTGGAAGCTGGTTACTCTCTTCATCGGGGTCAATGACCTGTGTCATTACTGTGAGAACCCGGTAAGCCACTGACTAGACACATTGGGGCATGAGAACAAAATGGCTGATCCCCATCCTCCTCCTCACTGTGGGCCGTGACATCTGCCCTTCCCTTTCAAGTGTCACAATAGCCTGGGATCCAGGCACTTTATTCTACCCTGGCAGCCTCGGGTCCACACAGAGCAAGTGAGGCTTAGCTTTTCCTAAGTGGTTCCCTACTCAGAAGAAAGGTCTAGAAGGATCCAATCTTCATACACTGGGGATGTGGCCTCCTTGAGGCATACTCATGGCACGTCCTGGTAGATAGGTGACCAGTGATTCTGACTCATGCCTGTTTGGAGTCTGCCCTCCCTTGGAAGGGGAGGTAATACAATCTCCTAAATGGAATTGGGGAAAAGTAGAGCCAAACTTGATTGTCCTTGCTGCCCTTCAGGACCACAGTAAGTTAACCAGCCACCCCCAGCCAGCTGGCCTGGGAGCTGACCCCATTCCTGATATGTCTATGGGGAAACATGTCCAGACTTAGGAACTGTCACCTCCAGAATACATCTTGTTCTAAGCTGGGGACATCCCATATTTTATTTGGCCAGGAAAAGCTGTTGCCAGGACGCTGAAGATGTGGTAGAACGTTTGACAGTCGCTGTTGGGGGTAGGCAGGCATCTCTTAGCTCCTGATGGATCACTGAGAGTAACTATTCAAGAGCCTGGTGTAATTATCTTCCCTCAGTCCTTCCTCTTACTGCCCAGAACTGGGGATCTGGAGTACACAGGAAGGACCTAATCCCGTAATCATACTTTTTCATCAGGATCATCAGCCTGCAAATGACACAGAGACTTATTAATTATGGAAGCTCAGCCTATAGCTTAGGCTTGCTCCTAACTAGCGCTTATAACTTAAATTAACCCATTTATTATATTAATCTACATTCTATCATGTGGCATTACCTCTCTTCCATCTTGCACCTCCTGTTCCCTCTCCAACTGGCTGGTGACTCCCCTCTGCCCTCAGAAGTCCCTCCTAACTTCTTCCTAACTAGGCCATTCTGCATTTTATTAGACAATCACAGCAACACATCTTCGCCCAGTATACAAATATTCCACAATAGGGATTTCAATATTGCTGGGTCCTGAATTGTAGAGCTCACTGGAAACCAGAGGATGCCCAGAGCTGCCTGTGGACACATGGTGTGGGGAATGTCCCTCATGTAAACAATTTCATATCTGCTCCTTGGAGCACATATTTATGAAAAAGAACACCACCAGGTCTCAGGGGAATGTAAGAGGTCAGGCTCTTAGAGACAGGAGTCACTCAGTTCACCCTCTGATTCTTCTTCCCAAAAAGAAAGCTACAGCAACCCCCTTTTCCTCTTACAGGAGAACCTCTTGGCCAATGACTATGTCAAGCACATCCAGCAGACCTTGGACATCTTCTATAAGGAGGTAGGACTGGGTAATGAGCAGTCTGTTTCCTGGTCCTGCAAGCAACCCTGCTTCCCCCCCACACACTTGGGTGCATCTAGACAAGTTACAGGACAGTTTCTAACTGCCTTGGAAGCTGGACAATAGCATAGCAAAGAGTTCTCCTCACTGGAGCCAGCTGGCCTGGGTTTGAAGGCGAGCACTGGTTTTCATTAGCACTGGGGTTTCTCTGAGTTTCAGCTTTTCTACCTGATGAAGTGAGGCACTGAAGAGTCAGTGTGATCACATTGTCCCCTCCCTGTGCATCCATTTCTTCCATGGTGATATCAGGGAGGGCAAGGTTAGATTGAAGACTGTCCTATAGGCTTCCGACCCCCACCCACTACTTCAAACTCATGAAATCCATGCCTCTGCTTCTTGCAGCTTCCCAGGGTTTTCATCAATGTGGTGGAGGTCATGGAGCTGGCTGGCCTGCACCAAGATGGGAAGTGTTCCATGCCACTGGTAGCTCAGTAAGTGTGCAGGGCATGGTTGCCTGGGGTGGGCAGGAGCCAGAGACTAAAAACACTTGGAACTGACAATATAACCAAATGCCTACTTCATTCCCTAGATAGTAGTTTGCTTTTCTATAAAATGGCATATACCAAATAACCCATAAGACTCCCCCCACACTTCTGATTCCATATTCCACCCTGAAAATCTACTCCCTGCAAGGACAGTGAGCTTCAAGAACACCTCCAGTGTCCTAAAATCCTGATACTGGGGAACAATTGAACCTGAACCTACAGTCTCTCTGGACCTTTGAATACTTGCCTGTAAAATAGGGGTAACTCCTTCCCCAAAAGCAACACCAACAGGAAACACAGGCATGGGCTAGAACAGGCTCTCAGGAGATAGCCTTTATCCCTTCTCAGAAGCAGAGCTTGGAGGCCAGCTAGGAATTGGCATTTGGGGCATCAAGCTTCAAAAGATCACTGTAGAACTCAGAGAGGCATTAGACATCTTTTGAGGCCTCAAGGACTCAGTTTCTACATATGATGGCAAACAGATGTCCTCTAAAGGTGGCTAAGGAATTCACCAGGTAGAATTACCATGGTTACTAAGAAAAGTCTCATGCCTCAGGTTCTGGTATCACATTCCACCTTGTCAAAGGTGTTTCAGGCCTTCCAATAGCCTTCACACACTAGACCTGAGAAGCCTCAGGACTGTGTGTGGCTTTGAGTCCAGAGCCATCCTTTCCAAAACTCTACCCCTTCTCCACCCAGGCCTTTTCTGATAGTTGAGAAACAAGTCATCTTAGAGAATGGGGGGCCCATACAAGAAGAGACCTTGCCTTAGATGTCAACCCTTCCAACTATAAACAAGTATCTTGTGTTGATCCAAATTCCTCAGACAATCTATGAGAATGGGGTTTTCTTGGTTCTTGGTTTCAGAGTTTTCAGTTCACGGTCTCTTGGCCCTATGGCAAGACATGTTTTTGGTGGGAATATATGGGGGAAACATGACTGCTCAATTCATGGAGGCTACAAGGCAAAGTGGGTGAGAGAGCAAAGGGCATGACCGCTGTGACTTCTTCCCTTCAAGTAGGCTCCATGTTTAATGGTTCTACCACCACCCGATAGTGCAAAAACTGGGACCAAGCCTTCATTGCTGCACTTGAGATTTTAGGGAACATTGACCATCCCAACCATGCATACATTTTTGACCTCATTCCTCAGTTAGGTCTCTATGACTAGGGTCCAAATGTTGTAGGGATAATTGTGTGTCAAGCCCCCACACACACATATCCATTGGGCAGCACAGGCAGCTCCCTGTGGGCAGAAACCATCAGGAGGGCACAGCTGGGCCACCCCAAGGAAGCTGCAACCATGATACCTTATCTCGTAGGAACTGCAGTTGCTTTAAACACACTCAAAGTCCCATGGCCATGCAGGAGCTGAAGAGGGTGAACTGGAACCTCCAGGTGAGTCTTAATGCTCTCTTCCTTCTGTCCAGAATGGGAGCCCATGCTGCACTCTCTGAGAGGGACTCAGAACTTGTGGATTCACCAGGGTTGACTGAGAGCCAGTGACTCCCTCAAATGCAGGTCTTATCTCTCAAAGTATTTATTCAGGAAAATTGGATGCCAAGGTCAGGGAAAGATGGAGTGGAGATTCCAAAGGGACAGATGGAAGAAACCCTGGCTCAGGGTCGTGCTGAGCAATTAACAGCATAGGCCACTTTCCTTACCTATGACCCTTATGAGGGGAATGGTGAGTGTACCTGGCTCCCACTTCCTTCCACTCCCGCTCCCCACCAGCAGGAAACTTAGCCCCACTGATGTCTACTTCCTGAATGCTGCTACACACCTGTGCCACTCTTTTGGGATCAGCCCACCCAAAGCCTTGTTGCACACTAATCCCTCTTCATGAGGCAAGTAATATTCCCCTCCGAAGCCACCAGGACTCCCTCTTCACCTCAGCAAGCTCCCTGGATCAAGTTAGGTCTACACCAGATGAACCTTTGAGCTGTCAATGCTTCTCATGTCTTCCCTTTTTACCTCCATTTACCAGATGTCCCTATTATACATGCAGCTAATTTAATCCTCCTAGTATTCCATGTATTGACACTTAATTCTTAGGCATTTTTGGAGAGCTGATGACATATTCCCCATGCAGTGGGGGCAGCCACACCCATGGCCAACCCATAACATCCAAAGCCTTGCCCCTTTATCCACAGAGTGGCATCTCCGGGCTCTCCTACGGGCAGCAGTACATGCAGCGTGAGGACTTTGCAGTCGTCGTGCAGCCTTTCTTCCGGCAAACTCTCATCCCACTGAATGAGGTGAGTTGCAGCTGTTTCTAGGAAGCATTTGAATGCAGCCCTCGTTTTTATTGTCTTGCTCTAGGAAGACTTATAGAGGAATTGTTTTTCAACTGTGTGGGGATATGATTGGAACTTAGACATTCTTTGAATAGTGACCAAGCACACCCGCACCTCCTGCCCCAGAATGGAAAAATCACATTTTCATTTTCAGGACAGGGATGAACTAGAGAAGCTTTAATTCGTGTTTGCTAAAAACAAAATCCAAAACCCAGGAGGTTTTCCATCAGTGTTGAGGGAAAGCAGGCAGCCATGTCCAGATGGTAACTTCATTGTCTCTGGTCACAGCAAGGGGGCATGGACCTCACCTTCTTCTCTGAAGACTGTCTCCACTTCTCAGAACGAGGGCATGCTGAGATGGCCATTGGCCTCTGGAACAACATGGTAAGAAGCTGAGGAAGCAATTGCAAGCTGTTGGCTCCTTCCTATCAGAGAACAAACTTGTTTGTTTCTCCCTAAGCTAAGCTCAACTATTGCTCCTGAAGTGTTTATGTGAGCAGATGCATGGGTTAGAACGTTGGGTATCCTGCTCTGTCATTCTTTGCCTATCCCCCACAATGCTGGCATTACAGGCTCCCACACCTGGTTTTTATGTGGAGTCAGGGAATTAAGGTCCTCATGTTTTAGCATGAGTTAGTAACAAGTTGTTATTCTCCTACCCTCTGGGGCTCAGACCCTAACATATGGAGATCAGAGGACAAGTTCAGGACATCAGACTTTGAGGGCAAGGCAAATTTTTTGTTTGTTTGTTGCTAAGCTAGCTCACTGGGGGGGGGAATGTTTTATTTATTGTGTGTATGCACACGTGCATACAATGGTATATATGTGGAGGTCAAAGCAACTTGTTCTCTTCTACCATGTGGTTTCTGGGCCTCAAACTCAGGTCATCAGGCTTCCCAAGTATGCACCTTTTCTTACACACACCATGTACCTGTTTAAAATATATATATATATATATATACATATATATATATGTATATATATGTACATATATGTGTGTGTGTGTGTATATATATGTGTGTATATATATACATATATATATATTCATATATATGTATACACACACATACTTGCACACTTACAACAGTTCCTAGGCATTGCTAAGAGACTGGATTAGAGCACCATCTGCACATTCTTGAGCAAATGGTGTCTGTTCTCCTGTATCCACATCTGGAAAATGATAGTTTAGACAAATGTCAGTCCCATTACCATTCAGTACCCAGTCTTCAACATCTGCAACTAGTATTTCTTTAGACATCAAAAAGAGCAACATCCACAGTCAGGTGGAGACTTGGTCCAGTTCTTTCCACTGGAGAAGGAGAAAACCTTATGAAATGAACATGCAGTCCTGGACCCAGAGGGGCAGGTGTCTTTGCGTCTCACCCCATCACCCCTGATGCCTACCTACATCATCTGGCTCAGAGCAAATGAAGCGCTTTCCTGGCCTTTAATCTAGGCTCCACCACACCTCAAAACCCACCTGGCCTGCATGCTTCCCATGGTGACTGAACCATCTACAGCCCTGCTCTTCTTCATGGCAGTGCCAGCCACCACTGGGCAAATATTCCCACCCCTGTCAGCAATTCCACATTGCCTGGTTCTTTCCTCAGCTGGCTCACAACATTGACTTTCTCCTTAGCTGCATCACCTCCTCCTCTCTAGCAACCAAAGCAGCACATAAGCCTATTTAACTGTAGACTCAGCTTTCTTCCTCTCCTGTTGTCTTAGGGTTTTCCTCCCACTGACATCATCTGTCTGTCCAGTTCCAGAACTTTCCATCATACCCTTTTTCAGTACAATATTCTAAATTGCCATATAAAAATATCCTTGAGTTTCCCTCCACCAGCCTCCTCGGTTTATCTTGATTTTTTTTTTTTTTTAATTCTTCTTATAGCCCAGGCTGGCCTGATGCTCTCCAGTCTGCCTCCCAAATGCCAGAATTATATAGCTGTATCTGGCTTTGGGGGTGTGAGTGTATATATTTCATTGTTTTATTACACACATATCATTGGTTCAGTACACACACACACATTTATATCTGCCACTGAGTTATATATCCCACGACTCTTATTTTTAAAAAAACAATGTCTCACTAGGATTTGTTTTGAACTCTGTGTCTCTGCCTCAATCTCCCAAGGGCCTGCGCTCATACAAGACTTTAATTTTTAAATCAAAGTAATAATCCCTACATATTTCTTTCAGCAACTTTGTTATTGAATGACAACTGTCCTGCAATGACTAAGGACATCTTTTTATTAATGGGAATCTGTTTTCCTGCCTCATGTTCCCCTAAAGATCTGAGGGAAAAGCAAAGTTTCTACTCTTCCCTTCCCAGCTTTTCCATCAAGCCACATCTGCTGACAGCTGGGACTCTTGGGGGATGGAGACCTCCTGAGGTGCAATATTGATACTCACACGACCCTGACCAAGTCCATTGGTCTCTACTGTGAGGACTAAACAGCATGGTTCAGACCTTTTTCTAAGGGCTTTTGTCCCATGAAGGCAGAAGGAAGGGGTTTAAAAGCACTGGTAACACAAGACAGTCTTGGTTCCCCAGCGTCCCTCCTCCTTTATAATTTGGGGGAATAATTACAGAATCCCTCATTTTCATCCCAAACCATCTCAGATATACAGCTCTAGCATCCCACCAACTCTCCAGTCGCTGTTTTACTGGAGTCATAGCAGATAAAATGGGCTGTTAGAGCTGGAACAGATCTGAGGGGTCTTCCAGTCAGAACACTCTGTAAGATCTAGAGACATAAGCCAGTTTGCCTAGCCTAACATAGCCATTAGAGGCACAGCAGAAACAAGAGTCCATATCTTCCCCTGGTGGCCCAGCCATAACACCAACCTCCCTCTTGCTCCCAGCCTGATAAGCACATGTACAGCCAATGAATTCATGTCTCATAATTAGAGTCCTATGACATAGTGTCTGCACTTTGGCTGGTGTTCCCAGGGCACCAAATGCACTTTGAGTTACGACATCTTTTACCTCTCCTTCCTCTAGAGACCCATTCCAGTACTGCTATACAATACCCCCTATCTACAAACCAATGCCAACAGCACTTGTGTCTCCTCCTGCTTAACTGGACTCACAGTTCTCAATCATGGCTGCATATGAGAATCCTCTCCCCAGACCATCCTCTGGTGACTTCTAAATGTAGTTGAGTGTTTACAACCACTTCAGCAAGCTCTTGTTAATCTAACAATGTTGAACCTAGGTATTTCCTGAGACCCAACAATTTTATCCCGGAGAGAAGAGTATACAAGTGTCCACTAAAAAGATGCATACTGTAGTTTTCATTGCAGCACTACACACCCCCCAAGTGTTCATCAACAAACTGTTGTATATCCATAAGCTGGAGTATTCTCACACACCAGGAGTAAGCAAACTTCAACAGCAGATGCTTGCTCACTGCACGTGTGCGCGTGCGCACTCCCCCCCCCCCCCTGTCATCTACCTCTCTGTCATCTACCTCAAAGGCAAGCTGCTAACTGTAAGGCGTTAAATCAGTGTTGTCTTCCCTAATGGTCTCTCTTTGGGTGAATAGGATTAGGGGAAGGTGTGAGAGGAGCCCTTCTGAGTACTAGTCATGTTCTCTTTATCCAAATGATCAGCTGCTTATTTGCAATGTATTTGTTTCTCTTTGTTAGCTTCTAGAAATAGTCCTTTAAAAACTATATCAAAGGGGCTGGACACATCTTGTCATCTATCACAAGACTGCATACTGCTCTTGCAGTGAACCCAAGTTCAGTTCCCAGTTGGATCAGACAGGGTCTTAGTTGGGTTTCTATTGCTGCTATATAATGCTGTCCCCCAAGAGAACTTGAGGAAAAAAGGGTTTATTTCAGCCTACAGTTCCACAGCATGGCACAGACCGTCAATGAAGGAAGCCAGGGCAGGAAGTTGGAGGAACATTGTTTACTGGCTTGCTCAGCCTGCTTTTTTATGGCATCTAGGGCCCACGATGGGCAAGGTCCCCGACACCAGTCACTCATTAAGAAAATGTGCCGTACGTGGACCTATAGTCTACTCTTATAGAGGCATTTTCTCAGTTGTGGTTCCCTCTTAGATAACTAGAGCATGTGTCAAGTTGACAAAAACTATCCTGCACAGGGTGTTTACAATTGCCTATAATAAGGGGATCTGATGCCCTTCTGGTCCTCAAGGACAACTGTCCTCATGTGCGCACACACATCCATTGACATACATAATCAACATAAATAATTTGGCTGGAGTAGGTCTTAGACATGATACTCTTTCCTTCTGTCCCTTTAAGATAGGGCCTCAGTATATGTCTCTGAACAGCCATATAAACCAAGCTGGTTTAGAACTGACAAATCTGCCTGACTGCTAGGATTAAAGTCACATGCCACTATGAAAAAAAGGAAACAGGTTAGACCCCTTTGGCATAACACACAAAGCTTTAGGGAACTTGGCCCTAATCCACTGATAGCATGTGAATGTTGCCAGGCAGGCAGAGGTCTGGGCCACAGTGTTCCATGAAGAAGAAATAGGACCCATGTGGCATGGAGTCAGGAATGAGTTTAAAGCTTCTGAGGGACATACAAGCCAGTGTGACGTTCCAGAGGTCAGGAACCAGGGTCAGAAAGACCTGGTTTAAACAAGGGGCTGACGTGTTCTCATTTGCCCTCTAGTCACTGTGCAGACATTGATTGATACAAGTGAAATTTAGCATGAGTAGAATGTGGCTGGGCCCAGGGTGACAGCCATGGAGGAGAGCTGTGATCACCTTAGGGTGTACTTAAAACTGGCTGAGGGAAGTTGGGGGACTACAAAACAGAGCAAATGGTCAAATAGAAATTATGTTCTGTTTCAGACACAGGAAGTGAGAGCTGACTCCTAGTCATTTATCTACACAAGAGGTATCAGGGTCTGCCAAAGGCAAGAGCTCAAATGGGAAAGTCTAGGTGACATGTGACAACCACAACAGAAAACTGACATTAATACACCAACATAGTATTCAAACCACAGAATTAACTGATTAATGCCATAGGGGAGGAGTAAGGAGCAGGGATCATAGGGCCAGTTACCAAGGGGCAGGTTGGGGGGGGGGTTCCATGAATATAATATAGCTGACTGCAAAAATGTTATACAGAAAACAGCCCAGGCACTAGAGGGTTGAGGATGGATGGAATAGATGCAGTCTGGTGCGAATCAACAGGAAGAGGAAATAGAGGCTCTTTGAACCCACAGGGACACAGATGTCCTCTGTGCCCTGGGAATCAGCCAACCGGACCTTTACCCTTCATCCTATCCCTAGTGTTTCTGTTTGCTAGAGTATAGTTGTGCTTCTTTGGCTCTAAGAAAGCGGAAATATATCTATATTCATAACCCATGTCCTAAATAAATGTCCTAAAAATTACACCAGTTAGTATCAGCTATCCTGCTGCCTTGGAGAAGGCCACTGGCCACCATGCATGGTCATTGTTGGTTGAGACAGGGTTCATACATGTGCTTGTGGTTTACGGCATCCCTCCCAAGCCCAGAGCCATTCCCCATCCTCTGAGTTCCTAAGAAATGGGTGTGGAAGGCATTCAGACAGCAGACAGTAAGATCAGGGCCTAGGTCTGCACCAGCATGGAAAGAATATTTACTACCTGCATGGTCAGGGCTTGGTGGCCAGGAACAGGCCTGAAGCAAATTACACAATGAATGAAGGAGAGACCAGTTCAAAGTACCTGATCTTTTCCTCCCCTAAGAACACAACTTCAGGACAGATTACACCTAAATTTGCTGGGGTGGAGGTATATCCTATTCCTGCTACTTCTCCCAGAGTCTAATGTGGAAGCATTTAACTGCACCCCACTGAAGCACAGCTGCTCCCTGGGATATTTCAAGTAAATGTTTTCATCTGTGTGACAACCCATAAAGTAGCTCCAGTTAAGGGCTGGCAAGCCAAGTGTAGTAAGGATGTCATGGTAACCAATATGCTTTCAAAGTTCTCCTGAAACTGACTAGCTGTGCACACACTTGGACAAGTTGGTAAATATGATCACCATTTCATAAAATTGGAGATACAGTGTCTGCAATCACTGCCACCCACGAGTGGAGAGGCAGTAGGCATTCTGGTCCCAGATCTTTGAGAGATTTACTATGGCCCGGATCATTCTTTCCTGGGGCCCCGGTGTCCTTCTGGGTAAGTCTTGGGGCATCAACTCAAGGGTCCTGCCCAGTTCAGTCAACTTTTTCTCCCTGTGAGTTAAGTCAGCTGGGCAGCAGATCTTACCAAGGAGCTGGTTTCAACCTGCCCTTCCAAAAAAGTACCCACATAAGCCAGATACCAACTTTCTACACAATCAAGGTATGCTTTTTCTCTTTCCAGCTGGAACCAGTAGGCCATAAGACAACCTCCAATAACTTCACATACAGCCGAACCAAACTCAAGTGTCCTTCGCCTGTGAGTGAACGATGAGTATCCTACCTGTCCTAAGTTGACTGAATGTGTAGGGGCGGGTCATACTGTCACTTACAGTATCACAATTTTCCCTTCTGGCTGCCGCAAAATAGGGGAAGTAAGAGCCAACAACTCCATTGGCAAAAAGAATTCATGCTAGACAATGCTGGCTAGAGGCCATAAACTACTTTTCCTTCAGAAGGATCTGTGGATCTTGTAGTGCCCAGCCCGACACTAGGATCTCAGGGATAGGGGTGACAATGCAGACCCTGGATGACTGTCCTAGAAAATTACTCCATTCTTGTCAAGGACGTTGGACTCCTTATCTGATCACCACTGCCCAAAGGAGAGACCTGCTTCCCACTATTACACACTTCACACCCTAAGCAAATAGACACACTTCCCAGAGTAGTTCCCCTAGTGTGCATGCGTGTGTGTTTTTACTTCTGTTCACTACTGATTTTGCCCATCCATTGGCCCCTTATCCCCTGGGCTCCTCTCCTGCCCCCAAACATACCCCTGTATTGGGCTCCCTCTCCTTTTTAATGTGTTTTTTTACATCTCTCTCCTAGACAATGAGAGGCTATATACTTGCAGTGCTTGACATTTGTTTACTAAGACGGCAGTAGACCCACAGAGACAGGCTCAGATAGATGCCTGCCCTCCTTCCACTTCTTCCTTGGGTGCTCGAATCTACTACAAGACCAGGGCTTTTGCCCTGACCTTTCCTGAGCCCTAGGCACTCCTGGGATGGGAAACTACCAGAAGGACCCAGAGGCAGCAGATCAGCCAGCACCCCAAGACTCTCCTAACAGCTTACCAACTCCCCATCTTCCAAAATCACATTTGAAAGGGAACCCTGGTAAGAAGCCAAAGAGACATTATATGTAACTGGTGTTGACCACTTGACATACCCATTCTCACAGTGAAGGTTCAGGTACAGTGTGAAGGAAGGAGATTTACAAGGACAGGCAACAGTGAGCTCATCTCTCTCTTTTAGAGATGGGATTTGGACAGATGGATAGGTGGACAGAGAGAGCCCTTTAACCTCTGATCCTCCTGCCTCCTTCCTCAGGAAAGCCCTCTCCTCTACACCCTTCGGAATACTCAGCTTCTCCCAGACCAGGTGGCTGAAGTGTCCTCCAAGGTGCTGTACTGGGCAGTGCCAGTGGCGGCAATAAGTGGACTGGTGGTTGGCATCCTTGGAGTGATGCTGTGGAGAGCCCGAAGACGCTCCTGAAAGGAAGTCCAAACACCACCAGTTTCAAGACCCTGAGTGGATCTATACCCAAATTCCCAGCTCCACTCTTATCTTCAGCTGCAGCGGCCCTGGACACTGTGGCCAACCAGAAGCCAAAGGGACTGTCACGATATCCTAGGTTTATAGAGGGCCAGAGCCTTCAATGAAAGACTGTTTTATTCTTAGCTTAGCCTGGTCCTTGCCCTCACCCTCCATCTGATGCAGATACAGGTTTGGGAGCCAGAATGTCTGTAGTCCTACACCAGGCAGGGTTGCCTAGGGGGGTATAAGACCAGAGCCAGACTGGCCCTGTCCAGTTCCATTACAGCCCTATGACAAGCATATCTTGTCACTCACCAAACCCACAGTTTCAAAATAAATGAAAGCACTGGCTACCTGATGCTGACTGGAATCTGAGGCTGACCGGTCCCTGCTCTATTGCACTCAGCACCTGAGTGCTTGTGATGGCTTCTGAGCTATGCATGTCACAGTCTGGCTGGGAAGACAAACTCCTCCCAACAAAGAGGCAGCTCTTTGATAATGCAGTTGATTACTGGTGGGTGTGTTTGGTTGCTCAGGGAGTTTCCCTGGAAGAATGTGCCATTTTGGAAGAAAATGAGGTTGGGATAGGAATTAGGTCATATCCCTTCAACCTGATTTTCGAATGGTGTTAATTTTAGGTCCTTTCTAGTTCTACATGCTGATACCTGAGAGAAATCTGGATTAAATCTGAAAATTCAAACCATTGGTTCAGGACAAGGCCAGCGCTGCATGGCTCATACACATTCTCCCTTTTATTCTGCACAAAATCCTGGTAGTGGGGGGACACTTTGAAAATGGCAGTGGTGATGAGTTCTTTTTAAAAATTGTATGCCATGTTGATTTCACCTCAAAGGAACCTAACAAGAATCCAGAAGGCCTGCATGGCCATCTTCATGTTAAGCGTCTCTATATTTCCAAAGCACAGAGCGACAGAGCAAGCTAGAGCTCCATATATTCAAACCTTGTTCTCGTGCTCAACTTCTATATCAATAAAACTGGAATGCAAGCACCCATCTTTCTTGGCTCACAGCACTTTTGAAAAGCAGATTATACAAAGGTGCTTGTTACCCCCAAACACTACTCCAATGAAAACATGACATTTTTTAGTAAAAGGTTGAGGCAAAGCCCTGAGGATGAGTCCTTGCTACTGGGTAGTGGTCTCAAGGGATGGAGACTGACTGAATTCCTTTCCTAGCAGTTCATCATCTCTTTTGGGGAAAATAAACAAGAGGCCATGTTCAGTGCTCTCCTGGGCTTCCATTTCTGACACTGAGTATGCATCATGCCCTGTTCATTCTGTGAACTGTATCAACACATCCCTAGGTGCTTCTTGTTGGGATGACCTAGTAAATCTAGAAGTTCCAAACCATATGTCTGCCTTTTCTCCTGGTCCCCATCCCAACCCCAGAAAACACCTGACTCAAAACCTGACACACTCAGCACCAATATGGAAGTACACATGGAAAATTCCATGCCTGACCCTATATGACAGGTGCACTGAAACATCGTGTAGAGTTACCTGCAGACTACTTGTAGTTGGTTTGTCTGAAACAAAAGTGGGTCTCATCTTTATACTTTGGTTCCATCCTTAAGGGTATCTCAACTACATACATACAAATAAAAAATATACAGAATCCAAAACACTGAGCTGTCACACATTTTGGATGAGGGACTCAAGATCTATGTCACTGGAGGTGTGCCATGTCCTTTTAGGTAAACAGTGGAGGACTACACCCAAAGCCACACCATGAGCAAAGCCAATAATTTCCAGGGATGTTGACCTCTGTGGTAAGCCCAATAGAACCTTTTAAATTCATAAAGGAAAGATTATGTGGATTAAACCTAGTCAGAATCCTTCAGCAAGGCTTTTGAAACATTAATTGAGCTCTGAAAGATGGAGTGATGATCTTGTTAGAGGCCCATGGGGAATAATTGAACTCTTAAGACTGGCAATTCTGTATAGGTAGAGAAAGGGACATGCCTGGTCTGCATCAGAGGTGATGTCTGGGGAAACAGGATGAATGATGAGTCAGCCACTCTTGGGAGGACCACAGTGAAAAGGCAAAGGACTAGCAGTGACTTGTGTTATGATTTGGGGCAGCATCGGGCTGCCTCTCATTGGGAACTGTAAGTGATAGTGAAAAAGATTCATTCAAAAGAGAGTGTTCTCAAGAAGGCCTAGGGCTAGTGCTGTTGCCTAGGTGGCAGTATGTTTACTGGAATGAATGAAACCCTGGATTGAATCGCCTGCACCAGATAAACCAGAAGTGATAGCACTCAGAAGTACAGGCAGGGAACTCAGAAGTTCAAGGTCATCCTTGGCTACTACATAGTGTTTTCAAAACAAGCCTGGCTTACATGAGACTCTGAAGAGAGTCTTATCTCGTGGGAGAGTAAGAAAGAGGACAAAAGAAAATAGACATCGTTCTAGCACTTGGATCAGGCTAGACAGGCACCCTACTCCTTCCTGTCATCACCTCCTTTTTACAGAGAAAGAAGGGGGAGAAGAAGCCAATTCCCTTAGAGAAGAGGGAATTGACTCAGTTATGTTTTCATTACACACAGCAGAAGATTATTCCGTGGTAGAAGAATAACCTCCAAATAGAAAATGACCACCAAGTCCAGTCATGAATTGAACCCAGATGCAAATGAATTGTCTATAATAGTGACAGTTCTATCATTCCCCTGGATAGAAGAACTCACCTGATTTTAAGAATTATCTTCAAACCAGGCAGAGGTGGCACATGCCTTTAATCCCAGTACTTGGGAGGCAGAGACAAGTGGATCTCTGAGTTCAAGGCCAGCCTACAGAGCAGTAAAGGCTACCTGGAGAGAGAAACCCTGTCTCAAAAAGATTTAAAAAAAAAAAAAAACAAAACAAAACCCAAAATTAACTTCAAAGAGTTTTAGCCAATCTTTTCATAAGCAAAACCATACAATCTCAGAAAGTGAGACTCAGATGTCACAATCAGACCCATGGCATTTTACCTGATGCTGCACTAAAGAGGGATCACAGCTTTATTACCTAATGACAGCCAGGTTCTGAGATTTATGTAGTTAGATGATTGTGTCACTGGGAGATCATAGAGTGTGCTTACATAGGCCTAAACAGCATGGGCCAACCAAGAAATACAACAGAGCTGGCCACGGTGGTGTACAACTCTAGTTCCAACTCTGGGAAGGGAAGGCTGAGGTAGGAGGACTCAAGTCCCATGCCAGCCTGGATAATCCTATATAATGAGACACTTTCTCAATGAGAGACAGATGGTGGGAGGTGGAGAGCCACAATATATGAGGCTCTTCATAATGCATCATGGCATGTTTTGTTTATAAATACAGAGAATAGTAAAGTGTAGAACTAGTGACATATTTATTACTGAGTGTTGTACATGCTATACTATGTATATTATTTTTAGTATCGTGTGTTTTCACTGATAACACTAAGAACTCATGAGTAATGTGTTACACCAAGACATCAGGGCTGAGCGCTGGAGAGATGGATCAGCTGTGCAAGCATGAAGACCTGAGTTTGGATCTGCAAGCACTCACATAAAAAGCTGGGTATGATAGTTAGAGTGTATAACCCCAGTGCTGGGAGGAAGGGGGCAGAGACACAAGGGTCTCTGAAGCTCATGAGCCTGTTAGCCCATCAGAACTGATGAGCACTAGGTTCAGTGAGAGACCCTGTCTCAAAACTAGAGAGCATTTAAAGAAGACACTTCAAAGTTGGCCTATGGCCTCCATGTGCCCATACATGTGCAGCCACACTCCTATGTCCATGTGCTGTGATGGTTTGAGTGTTCTCCTTAGGCTCAGGTGTTTGATGGTGCCATTTGGGAAGGTTAGGAGATCTGGCCTTGCTAGAGGAGTGTGTTACCAAGCAGAGGCATGGAGGTTTCAAAGCCTCAAGCCAGTCCCAGTTCATTCTCCTGCTTCTTGTTTACACTTTAAGATGTAAGCTCTCTGAGAGGAGAGGAGAGGAGGGAGGGGGAACTGAGGTTGGAATGTAAACAATAAGTAAATAAAAATAAGAAAGGAAAGAAAGGGAAAAGAAAGGAAAGTAAAGGATAGGGAAGGGAAGGGAAGGGAAGGGAAGGGAAGGGAAGGGAAGGGAAGGGAAGGGAAGGGAAGGGAAGGGAAGGGAAGGAAACGGAAGGAGAAAGATGTGAGCTCTCAACCCATGCTCCAGCCATTGTGCCTGTCCCGCTACCACACTTTCCAATGAGAATGGACGCTTACACCTCAGGAATCATGAACACAAATACACTCTGTTTCTTTAAGTTGCTCTCTTAGCTTGGGTCACTTGCTGTATGAAACACCATGACTAAAGCAACATGAAGAGGAAAGGACTAATTTCAGCTTACACTTCCATCATTGAAGGAGATCAGGACAGGAACTCAAGCAGGGTAGGAACCTGAAGGCAGGAGCTGATGCAGAGGCCATGGAGGGTGCTGCTGATTGCCTTGCTCCTCATGACTCCCCCAGCCTGCTTTCTTATAGAAGCCAGGACCACCACCCAGGGATGACCCCACCCAGAGTGAGCTGGGTCCTCCCCCATCAAAAAATGCCCTCCAGGCTTGTCTGCAGCCCCATCTTCTGGAGGCATTTTCTTAACTGAGGCTCCTTTCTCTCTGATTACTCTAGCTTATGTCAGGTTAACATAAAACTAGCTAGTACAGTTGTCTTGGCCATATGTCTTATCACAGCAATGAAAAAGTAACTAATAGACACACACACACACAGAGTTATGACATCACTACATGATTAAAAAAAAAAAAAACCTTCAACTCCATTATAACCTTATGGAAGCACCATCCTGTATGTGGTCCCCTGTTGGCGAAAATGTCATCACATAGTAACACATGAGCATATCAACTTTTTTTTTAATTAAGGAGTGTCTCAGTTCCAAAGGACCTAGGTTTGGTTCTCAGCATCCTCATTGGGTGCTTATAGCCACTGATTACTC